TTTGATAATCATTTTTACCGCTAATGCTGTCACCAGGTCAACATTTACATGGCTTCATGCCACCATCTGCCGTTTACCGCTGTGAGGCACAGAATCTTTTTTTCAGTTCAAACATGAATACTACATAATGACATCACAGTGACATCACAGTCATTTTGTCCTTAACTAAATATGCATGGCTACCACCACACACCTCTTAATATGCATTCTTGACTAATGGAGTTTGTCATCCTTGTACACTACAAACATTACATTAAATAAGCAATAACACCGAATGCATGTTTAACTTAAGTAGAGCACACATCTGTGTTGTACTGTGTACCTAGGATCCTTGCACAGTCAGTGTGACTGTAATTCACAATTTGGCGGCTGCTATATATTAATAACTAACTACTGTGAAGTAAGCATGTAAGATATAGACATAGAGTGAGGAAGTGAAGTCTGGACCTGTCAATGAATTTAAAAAGTACACGGTAAAACACCTGCCTGTCTTACCATGAACTGAAGTGTCATGAAAGTGTCCCTGAAAGTGAAATATGACTAACTGAAGTATTATCAGAGGAAATAAATTTCAACCCCCTGAAAATTATTACTTTTTTAAGTAAGCTTTTAGGAATCTCAACCTTTTGCACCTGCCACATATTTGCACAACCCAAAGTGCTTTGCAAAAGTCAGAGACCACCATTTGAAAATCAAACAAAGAAGCTGCTGGTGTTCTCAAAACAATGGACTGACGACCCTAAAGTCCAGACCTCAGCATCATTGAATGTGTTGGTGATAACCTGATCGTGAGAAGCAGGAAATGCAACCAACTTCAAAAACTCCAGCAGCACTGCTGTGTCTGATCCACTCAGACCAGCACAACACACACTAGCACACCACCACCACATCAGTGTTACTGCAGTGCCGAGAATGATCCACCGCCCAAATAGTACCTGCTCTTTGAGGGTCCATGGGGGTCCTGACCTCTGAAGGACAGGGTAAAAGGGGGCTAACAAAGTATGCAGAGAAACAGATGGACTGCAGTCTGTAATTATAGAACTACAAAGTGCACCTATATAGTAAGTGGAGCTGATAAAATTGACAATGAGCGTAGAAACAAAGAGGCTGCCATAATGTTATGCCTGATCAGTGTATATACATGCATACATATATGCCTTTTTTGAATGGAAATTAAATTAATGGAGGGTTCCACAGTTATAGTTTTTTGATCTGTAAATGGCACAAAAAATGTATTTGTGTTAATAAATGATTATGTATCAAAAGGCAGAACAATCCTTTCACTTGAGATTTCTGTGCTTTGTTAAGGTCTTGTGAAATAACTGTTAGAAATTCTGAGAAGACAGAGTGTCATTCAGTCAGACGCAGAGCATCATGTATTTATGTATTTCTACTACCAGAAAATAACTGGATGCAGTTCCTATCATTGCTGTTCATTTTTGATCAGAGGTGCATTTTCCTTTTTATCTTAAACCTGAAGTTGGTAGACTGTATAAAGTGACTGTAATTCTTGATTGATATGCAAGTATATACCATCAAATTAAAGCTGACATGCTATACTTTAACCTCATAGTCACTGTTTCATTTCATATCCAAACTTCAAATCTGGGGCACAGATCCATAGCAACCAAAATATTGTTTCACTAGTCAGCTACAGTAATTACACTTTCCAGCTCACTGCTGGCCTTGTGGAGAGCCTGTGTGATTTTGGTGGTGGGAAGTGGAGGCAATGCTCTCTGGAGGAAATAAATAGAACTCACTGGTAGTACATACAGGATTGACATTTCAGTCCACCTAGGTGAACACCCATGGAATGTGTTAAGCAATATCACCACAAATAACTGTTTATGTGTACAATGTGTAACTCTGATTCATAGCTTTTTAGCTCATGATCAAGCCTCCAACAGAGTGCAGTTTGTATGATGGCGTGGGATTTAAAGTGTAAAGTAATTGAGACTCTACTGGCCCTGCTCACCTAATAACTACCAGAGCAGACCCTCACACACTGTAGGGTAAACAATTTCTGTAATTTATACAATAATGTAATGTGTTCAAGCCAATAAGACACTTCAAATGTATTTTACAGTTATATACAGTATCCTGTTTAATTCTGGGCAAACATTTACAGCGCAGGCAGATAATATTATATCAAACACCTTATTGTATAGCTATTGTTATATTAAGCACTGAGGCTTTCTGTCTTAGACACTAAATTCACAAGAACATTTTATAACCTTCACTGATCAAACTTTACCCTCAACCTCTATGTTTGCTAGTATTCATACTGGTACATACTGGAATACACTAGTATTCCAGTATGAATCTGATGAAGTCAGTTAGTTCAAACAGTGACTTGATGATTTGTAGGTGAATGAGGCCAGAGTAAACATTGTCTGATTAAAACGTGGTCCAAGCTGATAATAATGGGCAATTTGAAGATAAGTGTAGCCCACAATTGTAGAGGTGTAACTACCTGCAGTGCCGTTGGGTTGATAGTGCTGGGTCTTGAGTTGGAGGGTTGGCGGGGTAACTGGACCCCTAATGGCTTTACTGAACCCCTGACATTACTACACATTAACTTAATAATAAACCTCTCAGTTGAGGTGGGCGATATGGCAAAAAATATAATATTGCGATACTTCAAGAAATTTTCATGATACACAATATGTAATGATATTTGTTTTTCCAGACATCGGATCACGTACTGACACTAAGCATGATATGTTCAGAAAAGCATATCGCTGCTGTCGGAAGAAAATCTCCATTTCTCCATTTTTGTCAGTTTTTGACACATTTGAAAGTGCCTGTTGCCCTTTACATTGTGTGTAAATTTCATGAAGAATAGACCAAAAGAAACGGCCCAAAATGTCTTGGAAAAAAGTCTAGTTCCATTGACTTGACATTAAAAGTAAAGTAGCTTTTTTCATTTTCCTGTAAAGTTATCATTTTGGAGATAGAAGGTTTTCTTCCAACAACAGTGATATTGTATTCTATTATGACATAATTTATCACAATAACGATATACATTTTCATATTGCCTAGCCCTACCTCACACAGTTGCCTACCCTACAGCACCAACTTGGTTAAAACATAGCAATTGAGAGCACATTTTTATCTTACATTCATTTTTTTTGCACTGGGGCCCGTAAGATCCTAGTTACACCTCTGATATAAACACATGTATACGTGTGCTTATACATATGCCCCAATACATACTGTATGTTGTCTATATGTGTAGACACTGTGCCAGAGTGCATGTAAGCAGGACTATGAATGATACGGTTTCTTATGTAACTCATGTAAACCTCTTAATCAGACTATTGTGCTAAATACAACAGATACACTAAAAGTATGTGGACTCCCCTCCTAATTATTTTATTCAGGTGTTTAGCTACACCCATTGCTAGCAAGTGTATCAAATCAAGCACATAGCCATGCAATGGCTTTGTTATAAGATGACACCTTTGCCACGAGTCAATTTGTGAAATTCTTGCCCTGCTAGATCTATCCTGGTCAACTGTAAGTGCTATTATTGTGAAATGGAAGTGCCTAAGAGCAACTACAGCTCAGGAAAGAAGCAGTAGACCACTAAAGCTGGTTGATACAATCTAAAACTCACAGAGTAGGGCTGCAGAGTGCTAAAGCGTGTAGCACGTAAAATTCGTCTATTCTCTGTTGCATCACTCACTCAAGACTGCCTCTGGAAGCAACATCAGTAAGTGAACTGTGAGTCAAGAGATTCATGAGATAGGTTTCCATGGCTGAGCAGCTGCACACAAGCCTAAGCTCATTATGCACAAAGCCAAGAGTCAGCTGGAGCGGTGTAAAGCACGCCGCCACTGGACTTCTGAGCAGTAGAAACGTGTTCTCTGGAGTGATGAATCACACTTCACTATCTGGCAGTCTGATGGACAAATCTGGGTTTGGTGGATGCCAGGAGAATGTTACCTACTCAAAGGCATAGTGCCAACAGTAATGTTTGGTGGAGGAGGGATAATGGTCTGGGGCTATTTTTCACGGTTTGGGCTCTTAGTTCCACTGAAGGGTGATGTTAATGCTACAGCATACAAAGACATTTAGACAATTATATGCTTCCAATTTTGTGGCAACAGTTTGGAGAAGGCTCTTTCCTGTTACAGCATGACTGTGCCCCTGTGCACAAGATGAGGTCCATAAAGACATGGTTTGATGAGTTTGGTGTGGAAGAACTTCAGAGGCCTGCACAGAACCCTGACCCCAACTCCACTGAACACCTTTGGGATCAGCTGAAACGCTGATTACAAGCCAGGCTTTCTCTTCCATTCTCTGACCTCGTAAGTGCTCTTTTGACTGAATGGGCACAAATTCCCACAGACACACTCCAAAATGTTGTGAGAAGCCTTGCCAGAAAAGAGGATTATTATACTCATAAGGGGGAGAGGGTTGGGGAGCAGCTCCATATTAATGCCCATGATTTTGAAATGAGATGTCCAACAAGCTCATTTAGGTGAGATGGTCAGGTGTCCACATACTTTTGGACATGTAGTGTACTTCTGTGGTCGCGCACCTTCTATTGGGAAATATCTCCCAATGAAGTCCCTCTTTTTCACTATTTCAAAACTCTTTGCACACCTCTCTACAGAAACATACTGCTAGGCACAACAAATCATTTAATGCCAGAAAGTTGAACTATCACTGTACAGATTATTTAACGTTAGCCAACATTAGCTGAGTGCAAATGACCCACACTACAGGCTGTACAAACTAAAGTTATCTCAGGGGGGACTACATGACACTAGGTGGAACAAATTGTAACTTGTGCTACAGTCTGTTCAAAAGAAATGAAAAGAAACCAAGCCTTGTGCATTTGGGGTTTTTTTGTTGTTGTACTTAACCGCAATGTCCAAACTGCAGTGTGAACCAAGCCGTGACTTCTGTGTACTGTTACACCCCTAATAACGACTGATTGTTAACCAACGTAACAATAATAATAATAATAATAATAATTATAATAATACTTAGCAAGCTGATATGCAGTTTATTGAATGAAAGAATCTGGGAAATGGAGTTCACTGAATGCATATTTTATTCAAGCAGGGAAAAGAGTTAATGGTTTAGTCCAAATAGAGTGTTGCTGCGCTGTGTTGAGTTTTGAAAAAGTGAAAATGTTTGCTAGCAATCATAAAAAACTGTAAAAGGCCTCAACAGTTCATGATCAAATGGTATTTTATCTAATTTCTAGTTTTCGGGAAGCAGCACAGTTCTGCACCTATTAAAGCACCAAACAATACTGAAGCACTGAAATCAGCTATTAAGGAGAGGGCTGCACTGATGTTACTAGACTTTTAGGAGCAAATAAAATCCAGAGCGCCTTTTACCCCAGGACACTTTTAGGCCTGTGATACCCTACTTTTATTTATGAGACCACTCTCAACATGCTTCTTTCTTATCTCTGCTTATATCTATCACATTGGTAAGTTATTGTCTTCATTCTTGAGATCTTTACTACGTATCTCTTTACAAGGTCTGTCAAGAACTTCATAAATGGGCTTTCAGCTTCTCTTACTGGTACAAAACGTTAATAAATCACTTTTGATAAATTCATGATTCATAAGGCATAATAATGAGACTTCTTTTTACTATGCTACTTATATTACTGAATACATTGCTGTAATGTTTTATCATGTAGGGTATTGTCTTTTACTTTACTCTCATCATTTTGTGTTTGTAACTGTATGTGCTGACTGGCCACGTTGTTCTTGGAAAACAGTTTTTAACCTCAGGGGTCTAACAAGGTAAAATAAAGGTTTAATTATTAAAAAATGTAAACATTTCATCTGGTTACATGTTTACCAAATTATTTCTTGCTACACTTAAAAGCTATACTGATTTAATGAGGGTTTACCATCTGTAGTGAGCATCTGTACGCATAGCACTGCCTTACATACGGTAAGCACAGCATTCCATCAAAGGTACTTCAGTTTGTGTGCTGTGCTTTGCTGCAGCAGTTATCTGGAAGTTCACAGTTATGCCTCCTGGGCACTAGATGGCAGTACGCTTCTTTCATAATCTCTCACACACCAAAACAGATAACTTCAGACTGGACTTGGTGGTATTTCTGGTTTCAAGCTTCAGTGAAATGCATTACAAATCTTGAATACATGTTTCAGGGCCTATAAGGGTAATACTTTTGCACAAATCTCATGAAATATGTCATATTAGCAGTCGGTCACATAGACCGGTCACATATTACATAAGAAAGTCTCACATTTATGAAGACATTTTTACTGATACAATTTACAAACCTTACTTTAGAAGTACTTTTGTGGCTAAAATAGATGTGATATAAAAATATCTGATAGTCCACTGAGCTGTGGCACTGACTGTTTGTGCTGCCAGCCATTATTTCACACCATAACCGACAATGTGTGGTCTGATGAGGGGGAACACTGGAGCCTGGAAGTGGAGAAGGTGCAAATCGGAGAAACCAGCTGCTTCTAGGTGCTTCCAGGTGGCACGAGTAGTCTCACAGCCATGACCGACGTAGTAACTACAACACACAACCAAAACATGCATCTCATAAACACATTCATATGAAATGCTACAGTATCTTCATGTTTAAAAAAGGCAAAGCTTGGCTGTATATGTTGGGCTAGTGTTCTGTTTATTCACACAGAGACGTGGCATGATTCTCCCTTGTAAGCTAGACTGGGGTCGAACTGGGATTCTCAGTTTATTATTGTTATATGAAAAATGTGTGAAATTTAATTAAAACATTATAATTACAAGTTGGCCATCAAATTTATTAAAAATCAATTCATTTGTAAGTGATCTAATGTAGGAAGATGATTTAGCTGCCTTAGAGGAGAATTTAATCCGGCTATGCAACTTATAGCTATCTAACATTACAGCAGGACAGTAAAGAACAAATCTATATAGCAAATTGAAAAATCATGAAACAGCAGAAAGTACTAACAATAAGACACATCGCAAAATATGCTGGACAAAAAAATAAACAAACATGATTGTGGTTCGTTACATAAGGGTGACTGGGTGAGAGTGTAGCTGTCTAGCGGTTTCCTTATAGCACAGTTTATCACATAAAATATTTAAATAGTTTTCATAGTATGATAAATGATTGACATTTTCATCAAAAAGTTCTGCTTGCCTTTCACATACAACTTTTTGTCAGTTTATACTTGTATGTACAATCACTGGCCATTTTATCAGGCAATACCATATAGGTACACTTTATAGGTTTACAGTTACCAACTCCAGGCAATCTGATCCTTCACAATTTATCAGTGTAATTTTCACAGGACCAAAGGCAAAAAAAAACAAAAAACAAAACAACTAGCAGCTTACTAGCCCTGTGTTTTTGCATGGCATCTGTATATGTGGAAAACTTTGGAACACGTGTGCTTTCATAACATTTGGTGAACGTTGTATTCTTTAAATACTGTTACAGTTTCACTACAAATGAAGGAGACTCCATGTGGACGCTAGTGGTTCCGAAATTTCCTCTTGTCCATATGCATCTGCTTGTTATGACCATTGCAACACAGCAACATGACTGTGCAACACAGCAACATGTCATACCAGTGGAACACATGTTTACGTGGTACCACCCAAATAATAACTTAGGATGGTCCTTTTCCATTAAACATGGGTGAGAAATTGTGTAGCAACAGAATAGCTACAGTGAGCAATTGTATACCTACAAAGTGCACCTATATGTTATTCTCATGAAACGGCTAGTGATGTAGGTACGAGATAGGCAGCAACTCAGGATAAAGCAAAGGTGACAGAGATCTGCTCTGGCCCAATTTAACCCCTGCTTATAGCCTATTATTAGAGCTGCTGTGAAATCTCATAAAACCCTGAAGGAACTGTAGTAGAAAGTATTTCTTAGTGGAGCTTACACAATACTTCCTATAAAGGTACCCCAGGACCCCAACACCCAAAGAGAATTAGACCTTGACTAATGTAGTGGAACATAGTAGTGTTGATTCACTGATATGATAAACGATATTTTATCCCAGCTAAAATAAAAAGAAACTAAATTGTATGTGATCACTGCCCCCCAAAAGAAAAAGTATCTCCATTTTTTTATTTTCACTTTTCAACATCATTTGCGCACCAGAGTGGCCCTTCACATTGTGTAAAAAATTCATAAAAAAATAGACCAACATAAATGCTCCAAAATGACTCAAAATAAAATCTCTTTACATTAACTTAAAAGTAAATAATGTTTTGCCATCTCTTGTAAAGTGGCCATTTTGGAGATACTTGTTTTTCTTTGGACAGTGACGAAATGTAAATTATAAAGCGTGTAAATATTTAAATAATAAAAAAATCTAAAGTATTAAAAACAAACAAAAACTGAATATACTAAACAGTGTTAATATTTAAAACTGGATCTTGGTTTCTTCTGAGGGTATTTCATTTGATGTCTTTCATAGAAACCACTGTCGAAGATTCTTATTAACTCTAGGGTCTGTGATTATCAGGCATATTTTGTTTGTGAAAAATCTAATCAAATCTTGACCTCAGATTTACAATTCACATAGAACCTTTACATATGTGTATTATAACACTCCTATATGAATCTGTGTACTGTAGGACTTTCACTGAGTTGTGCAGCTGTGTGTGTGTGTGTTCAGTACATGAAAGGCTGGAAAACATGCTGAAAGAAGTATATCCAGGTCGAGGAGTCGGCCTCCACATGCTCCAAGAAGAAGAATGCTCCACCCTGTAAGACAAAACAGTAAAGTCACTGTGCTCTGCTGCCATTTTGTGACCTTTACTGCTAAAATGTTATACTCTCAATCTCTGGGTTTCCATGTACACTAATATTCCAGAATGAATCTGATTAAGTCAGCTAGTTCAAATAAGCCACGATCTGAATAAGGTCTGAGTTGAAGTAAACACAGTCTGATTAAAAGTTTCAGGTTGATATTAAGAGGCTATTTCTAGTTTAATGTAGCCATGTTAACACCTTAATCATACCAGGACTAAGTCTGAGGTTTTGTGAGATTGCTGGCCACCTTACTTTATCAGTATGAACACTATGATTAGCATTGTAACAGCATTACATGAGTGTGGGCAACTACAGTCACAATAGACAAATATATATATATATATATATATATATATATATATATATATATATATATATAAAGCTTTCTGTTGCATCCGTTTAATATTGGGATTCAACCCAAGTGCATGTAAACTGGACTATGAACCGATACAGTTTCTTATGTAGCTTGAAATGTTTACACAATCAGACTACTGTGTGCATGGAAACTTAGCCAAGAGATCTGAGCCTGAACATATCTGGAGCCAGTGCTTTAAACAAGTTCAAACAGCAAGAACTACATGCTCAAAGAAGATGGTTCTCCAAGGGTTCTTTAGTAAGGGCAATGGTTTTATTTAATACTATGAGTTACAGAATGTATTGTAAATGTCCTATATAGCACCATAACGGGTTCTTCTATTATAAGCTATATAGAACCCTTTATAGAACACATTCTTCAATATGTACAATCATTTCACCACGCAAAGAACCATTTAAGCATCAAGTGGAACTATTCTACATGGAACTCACTGTACTAAATACAACCATTGCCTTTTCTAAAGAACGCATTAAGAACCATCTTTTTAAAAGCGTAACACTAAGAACGGGGTGTTTAACCGGTTTGAGGGGATGACAATAACTTCCTTACCGGTCTCAGGACTCTTATGGCCTCCTGGATAACCTTGGGAGTGTTTTTAACCGAGCACAGAACGAGTGTGCAGACCACCACGTCCATAGAATTGTCCTCCACGACCCTCAGGTCCTCCCCAGGCGCCACTACGAAGTTCTCGTACACCAGGTGGTCGTTCTTGTCCATGCTTTTCTGCAGGTAATCCTTAAAGTGAGGGTTAGGGTCGGTGCAGGTGATCTTGCAGCCGCTCGGGTAGTGCTGAAAGTTGGCCCCGCTGCCGCAGCCCACCTCCAGCAGGCGCAGCGGCCCATCGCGCGGAGAGAAGCGCATCAGGTCGCGAAACAGCTCGCGCTTCTTCTCGTTCATCTTGCTGTTGTACGACAAGCTAATCTTGTACATGAGGGCAGGAAACATGCGCTTGTAGAATCGGTACACACCCAGAAGCTCCGCCAGCTGCAGCGGCAGCATGAGGATTTTCACCACCAAAGTACAGGCGTGCATTAAAATCGACATCTCGGCCACAGACGTGGAAAAGCAGCTCAACAAACGAACGTAGTCTGCTGACCCTTATGAACTCACAGAGCTAAGACAGGAGTGACGGAGGAGGAGCTTCCTGCGATGGGATTGGCTGGAACTGACTGTGCCGCCTTGTAGTTCAGACTCTCAGAGTCATTTTGTTTTCATTTTGTTGTTTTGTACAATTTCTGTCCTGTGACGTTTTCCCTGTCCGCCGTCCTGGTCTTTTTATTTCTAAATTCTTGCTGTTATTCCGTTATTAATCTAATGGCCTTCGATCTAGTAACCACCACAGTGCAAAAGGGGTTCTTAAAAATAACAAATAGATCATTTTAACATTACTGACTTGTGTCAGAAAGACACGTCATACAATGTTAAAGCCGTCCCCCACAGCGGACTGTACCACTTTTTAACTTGATGTCTCAACCCTACATTAGCCTACATAGTCATTTACTGTGAAAAGGAAGATTTAAGTGTTTTGGTACTGAAATATGTAGGGGTTAGCTTTTGAAGTATGTTTGTCTTAATGGTACACTACATTACATTAAATAAGCAATAACACCAAATGCATGCTTAACTTTTGTTCACTAGAGCACACATTTGTGTTGTAATATGTACCTAGAATCTCTGCACAGTCAGTGTGACTGTGTAATTCACAATTTGGCAGCTGTTATACATTAATCAGTAACTACTGTGAAGAAAGCATGTAGGATACATAGCTATGAGAGTAAAAAACTGAAATCTGGTCCTGTCAGTGTGTTCTTGGATATTAAGAGTTCTAAAAATACACAGTAAAACACCTGCCTGTTTTAACCATTAGCTGAAGTGTCATGAAAGTGATCCTGAAAGTGAAATATGACTGAAGTATTATCTGAGGAAATACATTTCAAACCCTTGCAAATTATGACTTTTATCAAAGTAAGTTTTTAATAATCCCAGTCTTTGCACCGGCCACATATTTGCACAACACACAGTACTTTGCAAAAGTCAGAGACCACCATTTGTAAATCAAAGAAAGAAGCTGCTGGTGTTCTCAGAACAATAGACTGACCACCCCAGATGAGTCCAGTCCTCAACACTGGAGCCAGTGCTTTAAACAAGTTCAACCAACCGGTCTGAAAGGAATTTAGCAAACAACAGTAAGGTCATGGAAGGCATAGTGCCAACGGTAAAGTTTGGAGGAGGAGAGATAATAGTGTGGGGCTGTTTTTCATGCTTTGGGCTTGGCCCTTTAGTTCCAGTAAAGGGTGATGTTAATGCTACAACATACAAAGACATTTAGACAATTATAAGCTTCCAATTTTGTGGCAACAGTTTGGGGAAGGCTCTTTCTTGTTCCAGCATGACTGTGCCCCTGTGCACAAAGTGAGGTCCATAAAGACATGGTTTGATGAGTTTGGTGTGGAAGAACTCCAGTGGCCTGCACAGAACCCTGACTCCAACTCCACTGAACACCTTTGGGATGAACTTTTGGGATGTTTTTGTCCAACATCGGTGTCTGACACGATAAATGCTCTTTTGACTGCCTGGCCACAAATTCCCACAGACACACCACAAAATGTGAAAAGCTTTGCCAGAAAAGAGAAGCTTGTTATAGTCATAAGGGGAGATCAGAGTAGCTCCATATTAATGCCATGATTTTGAAATTGGTGGTTCAACAAGCACATTTAGGTGTGATGGTCAAGTGTCCACATATTTTTGGGCATATAATGTACCTCTATGATTGCTTACCCTCTATATCTGGAACTCTCCCAATGTAGTCCCTCTATTTCAGTATAATAAAACTTTTCGCACAACTCTCTACAGAAACATGCTGCTTGGCACAACAGATCATTTAATGCTCAAACAGCTCTAGAGCTAATAAAACACTGACCACCCCAGATGAGTCCAGTCCTCAACATCATTGAACATGTTGGAGATAACTTGGATTGTGAGAAGCAGGAAATGCGACCAACTTCTAAGACTGAACCTTGGAGGTGTGGAAAACTATCTCTGCAGATTTCTTTAATAAACTGAAAGCAAGTTAAAAAGAATTTAAGCTGTAATAAAGGAAAATGGTGGACACACAAAATACTGTAAAATATGAAATTATATTTAGTTATTGTGGCTTCTGTGTAGTTACACACATACATACGTACATATATGCCCTTTTTAATTGGAAATTAAATGAATGGAGGGTGGCCTCTGACCTTTCCACAGTTATTAGCTTTGGATCTGTAAATGGCACAAAAAATGTGTTTGTGTTAATAAATGATTATGTATCAAAAGGCAGAACAATCCTTTCACTCAAGATTTCTGTGCTTTTTTAAGGTCTTGTAAAATAGCTGTTAGAAATTCTATGAAGACAAAGTATCATTCAGTCAGACACAGAGCATCATGTATTTATGTATTTTTAATAACAGAAAATAACTGGATGCAGTTCCTATCATTGCTGTTCATTTTTGATCAGAGGTGCACTTTCCTTTTTATCTTAACCCTAAAGTTGGTAGACTGTATAAAATGACTGTAATTCCTGATTGATATGGAAATACATACCATCAAATTAAAGCTGTAATGCTGTACTTTAACCTCATAGTCACTGTTTCATTTTAACTCCAAAGTTCAAACTTCAAATTTGGGGCACAGAACCATAGCAAACAAAATATTGTGTCACTGGTCAACTACAATAATTATTCTTTCCAGCTCACTGCTGCGCTTGTGGAGACACTGTGTGATTTTGGTGGTGGGTAGTGGAGGCAATGCTGTCTGGAGAAAAGTAAGAAATAAAAGTTATTAAATAGTAATAAGAAGCTGATAAGTTGTCGCTCTAAGTAAGTACAGGATTGACAATTCAGTCCGCCTAGGTGAACACCCATGCAATGTTTTAAGCAATATCACCACAAATAACTGTTTATGTGTATAATGTGTAACTCAGAGCATCTGATTCATAGCTTTTTAGCTTATAATCAAGTCTTGAGGCTTTTTGTCTTAGACACTAAATTGACATGAACATTTTAGAACCTTCACTGATCAAACTTTACCCTCAACCTCTGTGTTTACATATACACTAATTTTCCAGTATGAATCTTATGAAGTCAGTTAGTTCAAACAGTGATTTGATGATTTGTTGGTAAATAAGGCCAGACTAACATTGTCTGATTAAAACATGTGGTCCAAGCTGATATTAATGGGCAATTTGAAGATAAATTTAGCCCCCAATTGTAGAGGTATAACTAACCTGCAGTGCCGGTGGGTCAATCGCACTGGGTCTTGACTGGGGGGAGTTGGTGGGATGACTTGACCCCTAATGTCTATACTGGACCCCTTACATCACTACTTATGTAATTTTACACCTATGACTTTTATTAATAACTTCATAAAATACTTCACACCGGAGGTGGGCGATATGGCAAAGATATAATATTGCGATACTTAAAGAAATTGTCATGATACACAATATGTAACAATATTTATTTTTTCAGACATCTGATCATGTAGAACAGAGAAAGAGGAAACAGAAGTGCTACGTTTACTACCATATTTTGGATTCAAAGGTTTTTTTTACATATTTGGCATACTGTGTTGCACTAAATTCAGTATAATGAAACAGGGAGTTGGTCAGTGTTCTACACATACTGACAATAAGCACGATATGTTTAGAAAAGCATATTGTATTGTATTATGACATAATTTATGACAATGGCTATATATATTTTAAGACTGTCCAGTCCTACCTCACCAAATTTAAACCTTACATTCATCTTTTTTTGCACTAGGGCTCATAAGACCCCATTTACACCTCTGGTATAAATGCATGTATATGTGTGCTTATACATACGCACCAATACATACCGTATGTCGTCTATATGTATAGGCGCTGTGCCACATTGCATGTAAGCAGGACTATAAACCATTACAGTTTTTTATGTAACTCATGTAAACATCTTAATCAGACTACTGTGTGAATAGAAACTCAGCCCAGAGATCTGAGCCAAGCAGCCTGAACATATCTGGAGCCAGTGCTTTAAACAAGTTCAACCAACCGGTCTGAAAGGAATTTAGCAAACAACAGTAAGGTCATGGAAGGCATAGTGCCAACGGTAAAGTTTGGAGGAGGAGAGATAATAGTGTGGGGCTGTTTTTCATGCTTTGGGCTTGGCCCTTTAGTTCCAGTAAAGGGTGATGTTAATGCTACAACATACAAAGACATTTAGACAATTATAAGCTTCCAATTTTGTGGCAACAGTTTGGGGAAGGCTCTTTCTTGTTCCAGCATGACTGTGCCCCTGTGCACAAAGTGAGGTCCATAAAGACATGGTTTGATGAGTTTGGTGTGGAAGAACTCCAGTGGCCTGCACAGAACCCTGACTCCAACTCCACTGAACACCTTTGGGATGAACTTTTGGGATGTTTTTGTCCAACATCGGTGTCTGACACGATAAATGCTCTTTTGACTGCCTGGCCACAAATTCCCACAGACACACCACAAAATGTGAAAAGCTTTGCCAGAAAAGAGAAGCTTGTTATAGTCATAAGGGGAGATCAGAGTAGCTCCATATTAATGCCATGATTTTGAAATTGGTGGGTTCAACAAGCACATTTAGGTGTGATGGTCAAGTGTCCACATATTTTTGGGCATATAATGTACCTCTATGATTGCTTACCCTCTATATCTGGAACTCTCCCAATGTAGTCCCTCTATTTCAGTATAATAAAACTTTTCGCACAACTCTCTACAGAAACATGCTGCTTGGCACAACAGATCATTTAATGCTCAAACAGCTCTAGAGCTAATAAAACACTGCAAACACGTCTCAACATACACTAATTCTATCAAAACATCAACACTAATTATCCTGCAACAAGCTCACTTTACCTAATATTAACAACATTCAGCATAGACCCACTATTTTAGTAAATCTATGAAGTAGCAAAGATTTATTGCCCTATTATTGTTTGCTTTGTATTGTATTTTTTCTTTGATCATGTAAACAATGTACAGTTTTTTTCCCATTTTTTTTTATTACATCAGAAAAACATTACAAAACAGAATGCTGTGTCTTTACTGTGTAGGAACAAATGGAGGTAACAGAAACAAGTGTTCACAGATGAAGGAATGCTTAGTCTACCTGGTCTGCATCATTTGGCCACATGTTCTCTCTTGCTTATACACAGTGTTGGGCCCTCAGTGGACAATTCCCCAAATGACTCTAGAAGAGACGGCTTTTTATAGAAGATGGAAATCAGTTGCAATCTGCAGTTTATCTCCATAACCACTAGGGGTGTGACACTACATGAGTTTGAGGTGTTTGAACAGTGAGCGAGGGGTGAGGAAGGCAGCTATCAAGATAAATAAAAAGAGAGAGAATTAAGAAAAAACACACACACACTAGCTGAAATTAAACAAATGAAACTGGACTTTTTCCTGTCCACGGCCTGCAGTATTTCTGTACTTGTGAGGAGATTCAACACGAAGCCTTACAATTTTCTTTAGTTTCTCTGCTCCTAACTACAAAATCTGAACTTGAACTCTCACTGTACAGATTATTTAATGTTAGCAAACATTAATTGAGTGCAAATGACTCACACTACAGGCTGTACCAACAACAGTTATCTCAAGGGGAGACTACATGGTGTAACACACTGTAACTTGCGCAAATGTCTGTTCAAAATAAATGAAATCTAGCCTTGTGTATGTGGGTGTGTTTCGTTGTACCGAACCGTGATGTCCAAACTGAGGTGTGAACCGAGCCGTGACTTTCGTATACTGGTTGTACCCCTAATAACCACTGATTGTTGTCCACTGTAATAATACTACTAATAATAAGACTCAGCAAGCTGATATGCAGTTTATTGAATGAAAGAACCTGGGAAATGGTGTTAAATGCATATCTTATTCAAGCAGGGAAAAAACAGTAAATGTTTTGTTTCAAACAGAGTGTTGCTGCGCTGACTGTACTAAAAGTTTTTTTAAAAAAAAGTGAAAATGCTTGCTAAAAATCAGAAAAACTGTTAAAGGATCATAAAAGCAGTTCATGATCAAATGGCATTTTATCTAAATTCTAGTTTTAAGAAAGCAGCCTAGTAATTCACCTATTAAAGCAGCAAAAAATACTCAAGCACTTAACACAGGTGTTAAGGAGAGGGCTCCGTAGATGTTACTTGTTTTCTGTAAAATAAAATCCAGGGTACCTTTTACCCCAGGACAATTTCAGGCCTGTTGTACTCTACTGTTATTTATCACACTTCTGTCTTATCTCTGCTCATATTTATCACATAATACTGGTAAATTATTGTCTTCATTTGCCACGTATCTCTTTACAAAGTCTGTCAAGAACCTCATAAATGAGCTTTCAGTTCCTCTTATCCTCTTACTGGTACAATACATTAATATATCATGTTTGATAACTTCATAATTCATAAGGTATAATAGTAAGGCTTGGTTTTACTGTGGTACTTGTATTAATAAATACTTTGCTGTAATGTTTTACTATGTAGGGCATTGTCTTTTACTTTACTCTTATCATATTGTGTTTGTATGTGCTGATTGGCCATATTGTTCTCAGAAATGAACAGCACTGCATACAGTAAGCACAGGATTCCATCAAAGGTATTTGTGTCCTTTGCTTTGCTGCAGTATTTATCTGGAAAAATTCACAGTTATGCCTCCTGGGCACTAGATGGCAATACAACTCTTTCATAATCTCTCACACACCAAAACAGATAACTTCAGACTGGACTTTGTGGTATTTCCAGTTTCAAACTTCAGTGAAATACATTACAAATCTTGAATACATGTTTCATGTAAGGGACATACTGTTCACAAATCTCATGAAATACTACATATTAGTAGTTGGTAACACAATCTTCTTATTACATAAGAAAGTCTTACACTTATTAAAACATTTTTAGTGATAGAAGTTAGAAAAGTTACATTAGAAGTACTTTTGTGTCTAAAATAGATGTGATATAAAAATATCTGATAGTCCACTGAGCTGTGGCACTGACTGTTTGTGCTGCCATTATTTCACGCCGTAACCGACAATGTGTGGTCTGACGAGGATGAACAATGGTGCCTGAAAGTGGCGAAGGTGCAAGTCGGAGAAACCAGCTGCCTCTAAGTGCTTCCAGGTGGCACGAGTAGTCTCACAGCCATCAATAAAGTAGTACCTACAACACACAATCAAAACATGCATCTCATGAACACAATCCACCAAATGCTACAGTATCTTAATGTTAAAAAAGGCAAAGCTTGGCTGTACAAATGTTGGGCTAGTGTTCTGTTTATTCACACGGAGACGTCGCATAATTGTAAACTAAACTGGGATTTAGGATTAACAGTTTATTATTGTTATATGGAGTCCCACGAAACCTCAAATATTAGGTTTCATGAATACAGTATGATAAATGATTAACATTTTCATCAAAAAGCTCTGCTTGTCTTTCACATACAACCATTCGCCAGTTTATTAGGTGCACCTTCCTTGTACCTGCAATCATTGGCCATTTTATCAGGCAATTACCTTATAGGTACACATTGCAGGTTTACAGTTTCTGACTCCAGCCGATCAGATTCCTCACAATTTATTATTGTAATATTCAAAAGCCAAAAAAACAAACAGCTACCAGTTTACTAGCCCCGTGTTTTTGCATGTCATTTATATTTGTGGAAAACTTTGGAGCGTGTGCTTTCACAACACTGGCAAATGTTGTATTCTTTAAATGCTGTGACAGATTCACTACATATGAAGGAGACTCCATGTGGACCCCAGTGATAACAAAATCTCCTCTTGTCCATAAGCCACTGCTTCTTATGAATATTGTCTAATGTTTTATTAGCTCATAACAGGTAGCATATACATATGTGTTGTTACATCTACTTCATGGTTAGTGATGTCTCTGGGTCATAGATATTAGTATTTAAAATAAGAAATTAACCTATTAAAATCCCAGGCTTTTTACATACTAAGACTTATTATTCAGTAACTACAGGGTCTTCAGAGCAAACTGTTTGAGCTATTCTTAGGTTACAGAAGTGTGTAATAAACTTTGGGCCTGCAGGTGAGCCCTGGCCACTTAAGGGGTTAAATAAAAAAGTTCTCTCATTAGGTGAGGGACTAGGGGAGTTAGGCCCATTGACCTTGCTTTGGGTAGTACTGGACAAGAGAACTAGCACAAATTGTGAATGGAAAAAAGTCTGTAACTGTACAACAAAGTAAGTGTCTAACAAAGTGGACAAGAAGTGTACACAGTGTTTAAAGCTCTTCCAATAAAGGTGGGTGACAAATTGTGCAGCATCAGAATAGCTACAGTGAGTAATTGTATACCTACAAAGTGCACCTATATGTTAATCTCATAAAATGGCTAATGATGTAGGTACAAGGATAGGTAGAAACTCAGGCTAAAGCAAAGGTGACACAGATCTGCTCTGGCCCCAGTTAACCCCTGCTTATAGCCTATTAGTAGAGCTGCTGTGAAATCTTATAAAACCCTGAAGGAGCTGTGATAGGAAGTATCTCTTAGTGTAGATCACACAATATTTCCTAAAAAGTACCCCAGGACCCCAACACCCAAAGAGAATTAGACTTTGAATAATGTAATGGAACATAGTAGTGTTGATTTACTGATATGATAAATTAGATTTTATCCCAGCTAAGATTAAAAAACTATCATTGCTGTCCAAGAAAATAAAGTATTTTTTATTTTCACTTTTCAACATCATTTGAGCACAGCAGTTGCCCCTTATATTGTTTAAAACATTTATGACAAATAGACCAACAGAAATGCTACAAAATTGCTTGAAATAAAACCTCTTTACATTAACTTCCATTACATGTTTTGCCATCTCCTGTAAAGTTGCCATTTTGGAGATACTTGTTTTTACTTTGGACAGAGACGATATGTAGATTCTGAAGGGTTTAATGATTTCAGCCATCAAAAAATCTAAAGTTTCAAATCCAAGCAAAAACTGAATGTACTTAACAGTATTAAAAATCAACACTGGATCTTAGATTCTTATGAGGGCATCTCGTCTGACCATTAGTAATCAAAACTAAGCATCTGGGTGCATCCTATCAGAGAAAGACTAACATTGAAGGAGGAAGGGCTTACGATATACACACATCCATGCCCAAAATCACCCCCCCCCCCAAGATACTTATCAACTCTAGGGGCTGCAATTGTCACAATTATTTTGTTTGCAAAAAATCTAAAGCTTGACTTTGACTCTGAAGCTTGACTTTAGAATCGGAATTCGTATAGAACCATTAAATACTATTTGTGTATTATAACACTCCTATATGAATCTGTGTATCTTAGTACTTTCACTGAGTTGTGCAGCTGTTTGTATGTGTGTCTCAGTACATGAAAGGCTGGAAAACATGCTGAAAGAAGTATAACCAGGTCGACGGGTCGGCCACCACATGCTCCAAAAAGAAGAACGCTCCACCCTGTAAAACAAAACAGTAAAGTTACTGTGCTCTGTTGCCATTTTGTAACATTTACTAATTACATTTTACCCTCAATCTCTGGGTTTCCATGTACACTAATATTCCAGAATGAATCTTATAAAGTCAGTTAGTTCAAATAGGCCACGATATGACTAATGTCTTACTTGGAGCAAACACAGTCTGATTAAAGGTTTCAGGCTGATATTACACTATTTCTAATTTAATGTAGCCATGTTAACACCTTAATCATACCAGGACTAAGTCTGAAGTTTTGTGAGATTGCAGGTCACCTTACTTTATCACTCCTGTCTTTAGCTAAACATCAGTGGCAAACCTGTATGATCAGCATTTTAACAGCATCATGTGAGTGAGTGGATGTACAGTCATAACAGACAAAAACATGTATATGCATATGGAAATACATATGTATATTTATTCTTACAGATGTTTACAGGTACATACAAGCATGTATATGGTGAGTATATGTACATGTGTATATTAAGCTCTCTGTTGCATCTGTTTAATATTGGGATTGTACCCAAGTGCATGTAAACTGTACAATGCGCTGATACAGTTTCTCATGTTGCTCATGTAAAAATTTTAGTCAAAAGCTGTGTGCATGGAAACTCAGCCCAGAGATCTGAGCCAGCCTGAACAACAGCCTGAACATATCTGGAGCCAGGGCTGTAAACAAGTTCAAACAGCATGTATTGTATATGGTTCTATAAAGCACCAAAAAGGGTTCTTCTATTGTTATAAGCTTGACATCATGACAATAGAAGAATCCTTTTTGGTAGAACCACTTTACCATGCAAAGGCCTATTTAAGCATCAAGTGGTTCTAAGAACCATCTTTTTAAAAGCGTAACACTAAGAACAGGGTATTTACCAGTTTGAGGGGGATTTAGCAGAGGACAATAACCCGCTTACCGGTCTCAGGACTCTTTTGGCCTCCTGGATAACCTTGGGTGTGTTTTTAACCGAGCACAGAACGAGTGTGCAGACCACCACGTCCATAGAATTGTCCTCCACGACCCTCAGGTCCTCCCCAGGCACCACTACGAAGTCCTCGTACACCAGGTGGTCGTTCGTGTCCATGCTTTTCTGCAGGTAATCCTTGAAATGAGGGTTAGGGTCGGTGCAGGTGATCTTGCAGCCGCTCGGGTAGTGCTGGAAGTTGGCCCCGCTACCGCAGCCCACCTCCAGCAGGCGCAGCGGCCCATCGCGGGGGGAGAAGCGCAGCAGCTCGCGGAACAGTTCGCGCTTCTTCTCATTCATCTGGCTGTTGTACGACAAGCTGAACCTGTACATGAGAGCGGGAAACACGCGCTTATAGAGTCGTAACAGACCCAGAAGCTCCGCCAACAGCAGCGGCAGCATGAGGATCTTTATCACCAAAGCGCAGGCGTGCGCTAAAACCGACATCTCGGCCACAGAAGCGGACAAGCAGCTCAACAAGCGAATGTAATCTGGTCTGCTGACCCTTATAAACTCACAGAGCTAAGACAGGAGTGACGGAGGAGGAGACTCCTGCGATGGGATTGGCTGGAACTGACTGTGCCGACTTGTAGTTCAGACTCTCAGCCTACTTGATCTGAATGTTTTAGTTTTCATTTTGTTGTATTTTACAAGTTCTGTCCTCCTCCTTGTCCGCCTTCCTGGACTTTTTATTTCTAAATTCTTGCTGTTATTCCGTCATTAATCTTCTGACCTTTGATCCAGTAACCACCAGAGTGTGAAAGGCGTTCTTACAAATGAATAATTAAATAAAATTCCCTACTTGTGTCAGAAAGACACGTCATACAATGTTAAAGCCCTCCACCGAAGACTGTACCACTTCTTAACTTTATGACTGTCGCAGCTCTACATTAGCCTACAAAATCACTCACTGTGAAGAGGAAGATTTAAGTATTTATGTAGTGAAACATGTAGGAGGTAGTTTTTGCCCTCCCCCCACCCCCCAAAAAGTAAGGTACATTAAACATTATATTGTAGCCTACATTTTTTTTTTCGTATTTATGGCACCAGTTAACATGTAAATCTGAACAGCATCGTATGAATGTTGACATTTTGAGTGTTTCATTTATACGCTTTTATGAAATGATGAAATAGCTCGTAGCTGATAGGGAAAAGTTGAGGCGTGTGAGAAATAGACCTCGAGAGTCATGTCGTCATTCTGCACTTAACATCATGCCCACATTAGGAACACTGGATCTAGGCCGTTATTCTTAATGGGAAAAATGAGTGTTTTGGGTGTTATTGTGTGCTGTGGTAAACAAACACGCTCTCAGTCTGATATGTGTTGTCTGGTGTTCATCCCCCAACCCCGACCCCCCCTAGTGTAACTAGTTCCTCTGAACTACGAGGCCATTTAGCAGTCAAAATACGAATAATGCTACATTAATGCTACAAGCAAACTAGAACTCCTGCACTTCGGAGTGATATATTTATATATCAACACCAGTTCCTCAAACTGTTGGCTACTACTAAAAAAACTTAACTACCACATTTAACAAAGCTTGCTGTTTTGCTTACCTCCACACCAGCTGGTGTGTGTCTAATAGTCCTAGATCAAATTGAAATAATATCCAACAACCACGGCCTACTGTTTCCAACTAGCTCACTGTTAATCGATTTAGTGTTGAGAAGGAAAAGAGCAAACACTTAAAGACAGCATGTGACATCATGGTTGTCTTTATGTAAATATATGTGATTGCCACTATGTTTCTCAACATATGTTCTGAATACTTTACTAACTGTAATGCTTCTTTACTTTTATTTGTGTTAGTCAGGAAGAGTCCGACGCATGCCTGATGTAGAGTTAATTGACAATGCTGCATTTACATGTGGGTGATATACAGGAGATAGCACATTCCATCGTTTTTTAATGGACCTGTGTCAGAAGATTTTGACACCACCTTCAGCATTCTGTCAAAAGTTCAGTTTTTCACACCCTCTGCTGTTGACCACCGTGGTCAAATAAACCAGATGTTGATTGTTTTGAGAGCCATACGACAAAAAATAAAAGAGTAAAAGAGTCCTCCTTTTTCCACCTTATACATTATCATTGTACACTATAAGCATTACATTAAATAAGCAATGGCACCAAATGCATGTTTAACTTTTGTTCACTAGAGCACACATCTGTATTGTACTGTGTACCTCAGATTCTTGCACAGTCAGTGTGACTGTGTAATTCACAATTTGGCAACTGCTGTATTAATTAGTAACAGAACTGAAGTAAGCATGTAGGATACATAGTTATGAGAGTGAAGAACTGGAGTCTGGTTCTGTCAATGAGTCCTTTGATAGTGAGGGTTTTAAAAATACACAGTAAAACACCTGCCTGTTTTACCATTAGCTGAACTGTCATGAAAGTGTGCCTGAAAGTGAAATATGACTGAAGGAAATACATTTTGGAGCCCTTGCAAATTATTACTTTTATTAAAGTAAGTATGTTTTTAAAAATCCCAATCTTTTGCCACTGCCGCATATTTGCACAACCCGCAGTACTTTGCAAAAGTCACAGACCACTATTTGCAAATCAAACAAAGAAGCTGCTGGTGTTCTCAGAACAATAGACTGACCACCCTAGAGTCCAGTCTTCAACATCATTGAGCGTGTTGATACCTTGGATTGTGAGAAGCAGGACATGCAACCAACTTCTAAGACTGAACTTAGACACCTATACAAACACACACACACACACACACACACACAAACACACACACACACACACACTAACAGCAGGCCATGTAGGAGGAGAACAGAGAGAAGGGTCAGAGCACCTCCACACTTTTATTTCATTTATTTTATTCACCCCAACACCACATGTGTAATATAAATGTGTAGGGGGGTGTACGGTGTGAAGTCATTGAAAATGTGTTATTTTATATGTTCTTCGTAGAAAATGAGCAAAGACCAAGGAATCTGGGGTTGAAATAATAATAAGTCTCATCATTTTCTGTTTTGGTAAACATTAAAAATAGGTCCTACAGATCCAAACACCAAACAAGGGTTAAAAACTAAACGTAATCATTGTAGGCAAAAGCATATTGCCACAGTGGGCATGAAACATGTTTATGGTCTTATTTATGGTCTTGTTTATGGTTTATGTCTTAACTGTATGGCTTGATGCACTGAAGTAATGCCTGTACAGGCACCTGAATGTGGGACAGATAATGAGGCTAATGTCAGTTTCATCTAATCTCTATCCAGTGTTACATACCACCTCTGGTAATTGGCAGCCAAAATTCCTACATTTGTTAACTGAATTTTAATGAATAGCTAAAGTCAAAAGTTCAGTTTTTTCCACCTTTGGCTATTTTGACCACAGCGGTGAAGTAAACCAGATGTTGATTGTTTTGAGAGATATAACACGAAGAATAAAAGAGTATGGATAATTCTCCTGCCTTTTCCCTCCTTAAACAATTAAAATCTACACTGCTAAAGCTTTCTTTGCTAATCATCCATTGCTTGGCTTCATGCTGTCGTCTGTCGTTTATCACTTTTTTCAATGCAAACAGTGACATCATAGGTGTTTTGTGCTTAACAAAACATGCATGACTACCACCACACGCCTCTCAATATGCATTCCTGACTAATGGAGTAAGTTTGTCATCACTGTACACTACATTACATTAAATAACCAATAACACCAAATGCATGTTTAACTTTCATTCACTAAAGCACACATTTGTGTTGTATCGTATATCTAAGATCCTTGCACAGTCAGTGTGACTGTGCAATTTACAGTAACTACTGTGAAGTAAGCACGTAAGATACATAGTTATGAGAGTGCAGAGCGGAAGTCTGGACCTGTCGATATTAAGTATAATACACTTATACATTACAAAAAAGGCAATAATTTATTTCTGTTTGTCCAGATTACTGGACATTAAACTATATCTTAAAAATTGTGTATGTAGAAATAAGTATCTGCTAACATTACCTGATAAATTGATCTTGGTGGTTAACCATTAAGTTACACTATATGGCCAAAAGTATGTGGCCAATTATTGAGTTCAGGTGTTTCAGTTTCACCTATTGCTAGCAAGTGTAAAAATCAAGGACATAGCCATGCAATCTCCATGGACAAACACTGGCAGTACAATGAGTGGATGGGAGCTCAAAACTTTAAACATGGCATTGCCATAGGATGCCACATTTGCCACAAGTCAATCTGTGAAATTCTTGCTCTGACAGATCTGCCCTGGTCGACTATAAGTGCTATTATGAAATAGACAGCAGCTCAGGAACAAAGCGGTAGACCACAAGAACTGGCTGTTACAACCAAAAACTCACACAGTAGGGCTGCAAAGTGCTAAAGCACATAGCATATAAAAGTCATCTATCCTCTGACGCATCACCACTCAAAAACTGTCTCTGCAAGTAACATCAGCAGAACTTGGTTTGGTGGATGCCAGGAGAATGCTACCTACTGGAAGGCGTAGTGCCATCAGTAAAGTTTGGTCTGATTTTCATGGTTTGGGTTCAGCCCTTTAGTTCCAGTGAAGGGAGATGTTAATGCCACAACATACAAAGACATTTAGACAATTATATGCTTCTAATTTTGTGGCAACAGTTTGGGAAAGGCCAGCATGACTGTGCCCCTGTGCAGTACAAAGTGGCTCCATATTAATGCCCATGATTTTGAAATGGGATGTCCAGCAATCATTTAGGTGTGTTGGTCAGGTGTCCACATACTTTTGGGCATATAGTATACCTCTACGATTGCCTACCCTCTATCTGGAACTCTCCCTATGTAGTGCCACTTTTTCAGTATTTTAAAACTCTTCGCACACCTCTCTACAGAAACATGCTGCTTGGCACAACAGTTCTTTTAATGCTCAAATTGCTCTAGAGCTAATAAAACACTGCAAATATGTTCCAACATACACTAATTCTATCAAAACGTCAACACTAATTATCCTGCAACAAGCTCACTTTACCTAATATTAACAACATTCAGCATAGGGTAATTTTATTTTAGTTACTATTTTAGTAAATCTATGAAGTAGTAAAGATTTATCACCCCTCTATTTGATTGTGTAAACTATTTACAGTTTTTTTCCCCAAAAGCTCATTACATCAGAAAAACATTACAAAACAGAGTGCTGTCTTCACTGTATAGGAACAAATATAAGTGACAGAAACAAGCGTTCACAGACAGAGGAAACGTTTAGTCTACCTGGTCTGCATCATTTGGCCACATGTCCTCTCTTGCTTATACACAGTGTTGGACCCTCAATGGACAATTCCCCAAACTACTCTAGAAAAGATGGCTTTTTATAGAGGATGGGAATCAGTTGTGATCAGCTTATTTACATACGTTCAATGTGCAGTTTGTCTCCATAACCACTAGGGGTGTGACATTATATGAGTTTGAGGTGTCTGAACAGTGAGTGAGGTGAGGAGCTACTGAGGTAAATAAAAAGAGAGAGAATTAAAACTCAAACACAAGCTGAAATTAAACAAATGAAACTGGACTTTTTCCTGTCCACAGCCTGCAGTATTTCTGCAAAGAGATTCAACACGAAGCCTTTTTTTTTATTTTCTCTGCTCCTAACTACAAAATCTGAACTTGAACTATCATTGTACAGATTATTTAATGTTAGCCAACAGTTCTTGAGTGCAGATGACCCACACTACAAGCTGTACCAACTAAAGTTATCTCAGGGGGGACTACATGACACTAGGTGGAACAAACTGTAACTTGCACAACTGTCTGTTCAAAATAAATGAAACCTAGTTTCGTGTTTTTTCCCTTGTACTGAACTGTGACGTCCAGACCGTGGCGTGAACAAAGCCGTGACCTTTGTGTACTGTTACACCCCTAATAACCACTGATTGTTGGCCAATATAATAATAACAATAATACTTAGCAAGCTGATATGCAGTTTATTGAATGGAAGAATCTGGGAAATGGAGTTCACTGAATGCATATTTTATTCAAGCAGGGGAAAAACAGCTAATGGTTTAGTCCAAATAGAACATTGCTGTGCTGTGTTAAGAGTTTTGAAAAAGTGAAAATACTTGCTAACAATCGTATAAAACTGTAAAAGGATCATAAAAACAGTTCATGATCAAATGGTATTCTAGTTTTCAGATAGCAGCTCAGTTCTGCACCTATTAAAGCAGCAAACAAAACTGAAGCACTCAATACAGGCATTAAGGAGAGGGCTGCATTGATGTTACTAGTCTTTTATGAGAAAATAAAATCCAGAGCGCCTTTTACCTCAGGACACTTTTAGACCCGACGTACCCTACTTCTATTTATAAGACTGTTCTCAGCATGCTTTTATCTTATCTCTACTCATATTTATCACATAATATTCGTAAGTTATTGTCTTCATTCTTGAGATCTTTACCACGTGTCTCTTTACAAGGTTTGTGAAGAACCTCATAAATTGTCTTTCAGCTTCTCTTACTGGTACAAAACTTTAATAAATCACTTTTGAAAAATTCATAATTCATCAGGTATAATAATAATGAGGCTTGGTTTTGCTATGCTACTTATATTAACTAATACTTTGCTGTAATTTTTTGTATTTTGTAGGGCATTGTCTTTTTCTTTGCTCTATTCATTATTGTGTTTCTATGTGCTGATTGGCCATATTCTTGGAAATGAATAACACTCCATTACATACAGCAAGCACAGCATTCCATCAAAGGTATTTAAGTTTGTGTGCTGTGCTTTGCTGCAGTATTTATCTGGAAAAATTCACAGTTATGCCTCCTGGGCACTAGATGGCAATACAACTCTTTCATAATCTCTCACACACCAAAACAAGTAACTTCAGACTTGACTTGGTGGTATTTCCGGGTTCAAACTTTAGTGAAATACATTGCAAATCTTGAATACATGTTTCATGTAAGACCTTTAAGGGAAATGCTTTTACACAAATCTCATGAAGTACTACATATTAGTAGTCGGTAACACAGACATCTTCTTATTACATAAGAAAGTCTTACATTTATAAAAACATTTTACTGATAGAAAATATAAATGTTACTTTAGAAGTACATTTGAGGCTAAAATAGATGTGATATAAAAATATCTGATAGTCTATTGAGCCGTGGCACTGACTGTTTGTGCTGCCATTATTTCACGCCGTAACCGACAATGTGTGGTCTGATAAGGGAGAACACTGGAGCCTGGAAGTGGCGAAGCTGCAGGTCGGAGAAACCAGCTGCTTCTATGTGCTTCCAGGTGGCACGAGTAGTCTCACAGCCATCAACGAAGTAGTACCTGCAACATACAATCAAAACATGCATCTCATGAACATATTCAAATGCTACAGTATCTTCATGTTTAAAAAAGGCAAAGCTTGGATGTATAAATGTTGGGCTAGTGGTCTGTTTATTCACACAGAGACGTGGCATGATTCTCTCTTGTAAGATAAACTGGGATTTAGGATTGTCAGTTTATTATTGTTATATGGAGTTCTCAAAACATGTGAAATGTGATTAAAACATTATAATTACAAGCTGGCCATCCAATTACAAAAATCCATTATTTTGAAATGAATCTAATGTAGGAATAGGTTTGATTTTTCTGCTTCAGTGGAGATAATTTAATCTGGCTATGCAATTTATAGCTATCTAATATCACAGCAGGACAGTAAAGAACAGAAATAATCTAAGATAAAGGTTGAGCCATAGTGAACCAGTTTATACAGCAAATTGAAACATCATGAAGCAGCAGAAAGGCTGGAAAATGTGACACTTCACAAAATATGCCAGATCAAAAAAACAAAAAACATGATTATGGTCCGTTACATAAGGGTGAGTGGGTGAGAGTGTAGCTGTCTAGCGGTTCCTTTCAGCGCAGTTTATCAAATCAAATATTTAGTTTTCATAAATACTGTATGATAAATGATGAACATTTTCATAAAAAAAACTCTGTGTCTTCCACATACAAAATTTGACAGTTTAGTAGGCACATCTGCCTTGTACCTACAACCATTGCCCATTTTATTAGGTAATTACCATATAGATACACTTTCCAGGTTTACAGTTACCAACTCCAGCCAATTTGATTGTTCACAATTTATTAGTGTAAGATTCACAGTGGGCCACGAGCCAAAAAACCAAACAGCTAGCAGTTTACTAGCCCTGTGTTGTCGCATGTCATCTGTATTTGTGGAAAACTTTGGAACATGTGTGCTTTCATAACATTGGCGAATGTTGTATTCTTTAAATACTGTGACAGATTCACTGCATATGAAGGAGACTCCATGTGGACCCCAGAGAACAACTAGCATAAATAGTGAATGTAAAAAGATGGGCTATCAACAAAGTATGTCAAACAAATAGGACAAGTACTGTACAGTGTTTAAAGCTCCAGCCACATGGTTGTGTTTAATACAGTCGTTCCAGTGCAACACATGCTTACATGCTACCAGCCAAATAATATCTTATGATGGTGCTTTTCCATTAAAGGTTGGTGACAAATTGTGCAGCATCAGATGAGCTACAGTCAGTAATTGTATACCTACAAAGTGCACCTACATGTTAATCTCATAAAATGGCTAATGATGTAGGTACAAGGATAGGTAGAAACCCATAGTAAAGCAAAGGTGACACAGATCTGCTCTGGCCCAATTTACCCCCTGTTCATAGCCTATTTGTAGAGTTGCTGTGAATCAGAATTCGTATAGAACCATTAAAAACTATTTGTGCATTGTTAAACTCCTATAAATCAATCTGTGTACTTTCAATGAGTTGTGTGTATGTGTGTTCAGTACATTAAAGGGTGGAAAACATGCTGAAAGAAGTATAACCAGGTCGAGGGATCGGCCTCCACATGCTCCAAGAAGAAGAATGCTCCACCCTGTAAAACAAAACAATAAAGTTACTGTAACCTTTATTGATTAAATGTTACCCTCAATCTCTGGGTTTCCATGTATTCACTAATATTCCAGAATGAATCTGATTAAGTCTGTTAGTTCGAATAGGCCACAATCTGAATAAGGTCTTATTTGGAGTAAACACCGTCTGATAAAAAGTTTCAGGCTGATATTGATGGGCTATTTCAAGTTTAATGTAGCCATGTTAACACCTTAATCACACCAGGACTAAGTCTGAGGTTTGGTAAGATTGCTACCTTACTTTCTCACTCCTGTCTTTAGGTAAACACCAGTGGCAAACCTGTATGATCAGTACAAACACTATGATCGGCATTTTAACAGCATTACATGAGTGGGTGGACGTACAGTCATAACAGATAAAAATATGGAATTATATATGCTGACTATATGTACATGTGTATAATAAGCTTTCTGTTGCATCCGTTTAATATTGGGATTGTACCCAAGTGCATGTATACTGGAATATGAACTGATACAGTTTCTGATGTAACTCAGGTAAAAAGTTCAATCAGACTACTGTGCGCATGGAAACTCAGCCCAGAGATCTGAGCCAAACAGGCTGAACATATCTGGAGCCAGTGATGTAAAAAACTTGAAACAGCCACAACTACACACTAAAAAAAGATGTTTCTTTAAAGGTCTCTAGTAAAGGTGATGGTTCTATTTAATATCATGAGATTAGACTGATGGAGATGTATATGGTTCTATACAGCACCAAAAACGGTACTTCTATCGTTATAAGCTTAACATCATGACAACAGAAGAACCCTTTTTGGTATAACCATTTAACCCTGCCAAGAACCATTTAAAGCATCAAGTGGTTCCACGTGGAACTCTAAACAGAACCACTGCTTTTACTCCTCCTTTTTTTTTAAAGCGCAACACTAAGAACGGGGCATTCAACCGGTTTGAGGGGGATTTAGCAAATGACAACAACTTCCTTACCGGTCTCAGGACTCTTTTGACCTCCTGGATAACCTTGGGAGTGTTTTTAACCGAGCACAGAACGAGTGTGCAGACCACCACGTCCATAGAATTGTCCTCCACGACCCTCAGGTCCTCCCCAGGCGCCACTACGAAGTTCTCGTACACCAGGTGGTCGTTCTTGTCCATGCTTTTCTGCAGGTAATCCTTGAAGTGAGCGTTAGGGTCGGTGCAGGTGATCTTGCAGCCGCTCGGGTAGTGCTGAAAGTTGGCCCCGCTGCCGCAGCCCACCTCCAGCAGGCGCAGCGGTTCGTCCCGTGAGGAGAAGCGCATCAGGTCGCGGAACATCTCGCGCTTCTTCTCGCTCATCTTTTGGTTATACGCGAAACTAAGCCTGTCCATGAGGGCAGGAAACACGCGCTTATAGAGTCGGCACACACCCAGAAGCTCCGCCAGTTGCAACGGGAAGGTGAGGGTTTTTACCACCAAAGTACAGACGTGCATTAAAATCGACATCTCGTCCATGGACGCGGAGAAGCAGCTCAACAAACGAACGCAGCCCGCTGACCCTTATAAACTCACAGAGCTACGCAGGAGTGACGGAGGAGGAGCCTCCTGCGAGGGGATTGGCTGGAACTGACTGTGCCGACTTGTAGTTCAGACTCTCAGCCTACTTGATCTGAATGTTTTAGTTTTTATTTTGTTGTATTTTACAGTTTCTGTCCTGTGACGTTTTCCCTGTCCGCCTTCCTGTTTTTTTTTATTTCTAAATTCTTGCAGTTATTCCTTTATTAATATTCCGGCCGTTCGATTCAGTAACCACCACAGTGCAAAAGGGGTTCTTAAAAATGACAAATGAGTCATTTTAACATTAAACACAAAATGTCCCTATTTGTGTCAGAAAGACACTTCATACAATGTTAAAGCTCTATGGGGAAAAATGCGTGTTTTGGTGTTACTGTGTGCTGTGGTAAGCAAACGTTCTCAGGATGATATGTGCTGTCTGGTGTTCATACAGTCACATTTAAGCTTCCATCGGTTTTTAGTGGACCTGTGGCAGAAAATTCTGACACCACCATCTTCGTTCTGTCAAAAGATCAATTTTTCCCACCCTCGGCTGTTGACCACAGAGGTGAAATAAACTGGATGTTGATTGTTTTGAGAGTCATACATCAAAAAATAAAAGAGTACAGAGCGTTCTCCTGTATTTTTCCACCTTAAACAAATACATCATCATTCTTCACTATAAACATTAAATTAAATAAGCCTAACACCAAATGCATGTTTAACTTTTGTTCAGAGCACACATCTGTGTTGTACTGTGTACCCAGAGTCCTTGCACAGTCAGTGTGACTGTGTGATTCACATCTTGGCATCTATTATACATTAATCAGTAACTGCACTGAGGTAAGCATGTACTACGCATAGTTACGAGAGTGCAGAACTGAAGTCTGGACCTGTTAATGAGTCTTTAGATATTGAGGGTTTTAAAAATCCGCAGTAAAACACCTGCCTGTTTTCATGTTCCTGAAAGTGATATATGACTAACTGAAGTATTATCTGAAGAAATAAATCTCAAACTCTTGCAAATTATTACTTTTGTTAAAGTATGCTTTTAAAAATCCCAATCTTTTGCACCGGCCACATATTTGCATTAGCCACAGTACTTTGCAAAAGTGAGAGACCACCATTTGCAAATCAAACAAAGAAGCTGCTGTTGTTCTCAGAACAATGGACTGACTACCCTAGAGTCCAGACCTCAACATCATTGAACATGTTGAAGATAACTTAGATTGTGAGAAGCAGGAAATGCAATAGGTAAAAGTTTTTTTGATCTGCAAATGGCACAGACATGTGTTTGTGTTAATAAATGATTATGTATCAAAAGGTAGAACAATCCTTTCACTCAAGATTTCTGTGCATTTTTTTTAATAAGAAGTCTATAAATCCAACAGGTAGCAGTTCAGAGTTTATACATACATATGAATTATGAAGTGATTTTGCTGTGTAATCTTCTGTATAATCCAGAAACGGAGTGGACTTTTTTTCAGACCTGGAGTTACACACACACACAAAATGTGCTAATGTCCTGCAAAGTCATTATATCAGACTATAGATTGTTTCTAACAGCCATGTCTTTGTCAGTCTACATACTCCAACACTTTTGTCCTGATAAAAAAAAACAATAACAACCAATCAGAAAGTTGGATCACACAAACACAACCAACACTGCAGCATCTTCACTATAAAGCAAGCTCACCACAGATACAACATTTGCCCAGAGAAGACGACAAAACTAGGTTGAAATAAGACAGCTTAGATGTTCAAAGTTAAATCTACAAAATTAAAGATGAACAAACTTAAAACCTAGTAATTATTGAAGCCAAAACACAGGTTACTGCCACAGCTGGCCTACCCAAATGAAGAAGACATCAAAGTTAAATCAAGCAGCTGATGTACAAAAATGAGGAAAACAGCAATCTTAACCCTTGTGTGGTGTTTTGTTACTCAGTGGTCTGGTAGACCCACTGCATTTCTGTTTCTCCTTTAGCAGCTGTAGCCAGTCAGCAGCCTGACCATGTTGTCCACCCTCACACACACACACACCTACAGAAACACATACACACACAGACACACACACACTAACAGCAGGCCATGTATGTGGAGAACAGAATGAAGAGACAGAGCACCTCCACACTTTTATTCCTCGCGGGTTCAACCCAACACCACATGTGTAATATAAATGTGTAGGGGTGTACAGTGTGAAGTCATTGAAAATGTCTTATTTTATATGTTCTTCACAGAAAATAAGCAAAGGCCAAGAAATCTGGGATTGAAATAATAATAAGTCTCATCATTTTCTGTTTTGGTAAACATTAAAAATGGGTCCTACAGATCCAAACACCAAACAAGGGTTAAAAACTAAACGTAATCATTGTAGGCAAAAGCATATTGCCACAGTGGGCATGAAACATGTTTATGGTCTTATTTATGGTCTTGTTTATGGTTTATGTCTTAACTGTATGGCTTGATGTACTGAAGTAATGTCTGTACAGGCGCCTGAATGTAACCGCTACATCATTTAAGGTTGGACAGATAATGAGACTAATGTCAGTTTCATCTAATCTCTATCCACTGTTACTTACCACCTCTGGTAATTGGCAGCCAAAATTCCTACATTTGTTAACTGAATTTTAATGAATAGCTAAAGTCAAAGGTTCAGTTTTTCCAACCTTTGGCTGTTTTGACCACAGCGGTGAAGTAAACCGGGTGTTGATTGTTTTGAGAGATATACTACAAAGAATAAAGAGTATGAAGCATTCTCCTGCCTTTTTCCTCCTTAAACAAGTACACTACACTGCTAAAGCTTTACTTTGATAATCATCCATTTTTACTGGTAATGCTGTCACCATGCTGACATTTGCTTGGCTTCATGCTGTCGTCTGTCGTTTGCCACTATGAGGCACAGAACTTTATGTTTTAAAATCCAAACAGTTGTGTTGTCTTTAACTAAACATGTATGATTACCACCGCAACTCTCTTAATATGCATTCCTGACTTTTGTTAGTTTGTCGTCATTGTACACTACAATTATTACATTAAATAAGCAATTACACCAAAAGCATGCTTAACTTTTATTCACTAAAGGACACATCTTTGTTGAACTGTGTACCTAAGATCCTTGCACAGTCAGTGTGACTGCATAATTCACAATTTGGCAGCTGCTATACATTAATCAGTAACTACTGTGAAGAAAGCATGTAAAATAAAGATATGAGAGTGAAGAACTAAAGTCTGGACCTGTCAATATGTCCTTAGTTATAGTTACTTGAAGGGGTACATTACTAACTGAAATATTATGTAGGGAAATAAATTTCAAGCCCTTGCAAATTATTACTTTTGTTAAAGTTATTTTTAAAAAATCCCAATCTTTTGCACCGGCCACATATTTGCATTAGCCACAGTGCTTTGCAAAAGTGAGAGACCACCATTTGCAAATCAAACAAAGAAGCTGCTGTTGTCCTCAGAACAATAGACTGACCACCCCAGAGTCCAGTCCTCAACATCATTGAACATGTTAAAGATAACTTGGATTGTGAGACGCAGGAAATGCAACCAACTTGTAAGACTGAACTTTGGAGGTGTGGAAAACTATCTCTGCAGATTTCTTTCACACAGCATTGAAATTGAAAGCAAGTTAAAAAGAATTTAAGCTGTAATAAAGGAAAATGGTGGACACAAAAAATACTGTAAAATATGAAATTACATTTAGTTGCTGTGGCTTATATGTAGTTGTCAGTATACATACATACATACATACATAGACACATACATACATACGTACATATATGCCCTTTTTAATTTGAAATTAAATGAATGGAGGGTGGTCTCTAACTTTTTCACAGTTATTCGTTTTTGATCTGCAAATGGCACAATGTGTTTGTTTTAATAAATGATTATGTATCAAAAGGCAGAACAATCCTTTCACTCAAAATTTCTGTGCTTTGTTAAGGTTTTGTGAAATAACTGTTAGAAATGCTATGAAGACAAAGTGTCATTCAGTCAGACACAGAGCATCATATATTTATGCATTTCTAATACCAGAGAATATCTGGATGCGGTTCCTATCATTGCTGTTAATGTTTAATCAGAGGTGCACTTTCTTTATTATGTTAAAGATAAAGATGATAGACTGTATAAAATGACTGTAATTCTTGATTGATATGCAAGTACATACAGCCAAATTAAAGCTGACATTTCTGTATTTTAACCTCATAGTGACTGTTTCATTTTAAACCCAAAGTTCAACTTCAAATCTGGGGCACAGAACCATAGTGTCACTGGTCAACTATAATAATTACACTTTACAGCTAACTGCTGTGCTTCAAGTTGTAAAGTTTTTGAGACTCTACTGGCGCTGCTCATCTAATAGGCTAACTATCAGGAGAATAGACCCTCACACAATGCAGTATAAAGAATTTCTGTAATTTATACAATAATGTAATGTGTTCAAGCCAATATGACACTTTAAATGTATTTTACAGTTTTGTACAGCATCTTATGTTTAATTCTGGGAAACATTTACAGTGCAGGCAGATTATACTACATCAAACACCTTGTAGAGCTAAAAAGCTCCTCATAGAGTATTGTGAGCTTTCCTGTAAAACAGTACGAAAAGCACTTCTCTGAAGCAGCAAAGGATGCTAACTCACCTATTACAACCTGTACCAACATAAATTAAAGCATGGGATATTCAAGTGAATTCATGAACTTTTTGTCATGTATGTGAATATATGGGCCATTCTACTGGATTAGTTCAATCTGTGGTCCAAAAGAGATCAAAAATGGAATGACATACTCAGATCTTTAAACCTAAGTAAATAACTGAGATAGTAATTGTGAAATACTTGTGAAAATAAGACTTACTTTTTTTTATTTATTTCAAAGTGAAGTTGAAAGATTTCTATTTATTCACTGTCATCATCTTTATAAAATTGTGATTTCTAATAAGTAGTGCATTCAGCCAAAAGAAATTAGTTTAACATTTTATGTACACATGAATTATGAAGTTATTCCACTGTACAATCTTTATGTAATTGTCAGATTAAAATTTCTGAGCATATTCATTATCTATGTGAATTAAACAACAATTCAAGAAATTTCAGCTGCAGCTTTATAGTGAAGATAACAAGCAGCAGCATGAAATCACATGGTTTCACCAACATCAGTCTGCTGGATACAAGTTAAGATCAAAATTAATATTTTAATGAATCAATCATTTTTTTGTTCATTTATCATGCATTGTAAATTAATTAGAGAGTCAGAACCTAAGGAGATGCCAGATTCTTTATGTAAATTGTCACGAACAGCCACAGAGTCTAAGCTAAATTGTTGGTTTCTCTTGCTGCTGAAATGGTTGGCTGACCTCTGAACAAAAAGTGCACAGGAATGTATTTGGGAGAAAGTGTTCTACACTAACGAATAACAATAGTCACTAAAACAGATACTGGTTAAGAAGGGCATCCTGGTGAAAATGAAAAGATGAATTAAATCAAACAACTCTGGTTAGCAGGAAGATAACGCAATGTGTAGATTGATGGTAGAGCCATCATGCTTTCTACCATGTAAGTGCACCATCTGACAAACATGGATATTGCAGACTAGTCATGAAAGAAAAAAACACAGCAAGACTAGGGAATACAAACACCACACCACAATGTGTCACCAATAATAAACACATTATATTTCAAATATTCATAATATATTAAACTCTGAACTGATATCTGTTGGTTTTATGGACGACTTACTAGGAAATTACCATTATAAAACTGATGTGTCAGTTTGATTGGCCGAGCTGTGTTTGAAGCCGTTGTAAAATCCATGATATATGCACACCTATGACAGCCTCACAGCAACTGAACTCTGTGTTTCTGCACCACAGCACATAAACCCTTCCGTTGTTAATGGTATAATTTTTGACTCTGCTGCTCCATGGACCACTGAGTAACTATACTGATTTGGTAAGAACCTAGTTCTGTTTACACTGAGGGGCAGACAACTTAACTAGAACCAGACCGGTGAGCTAGCTGACAGGTTAAAAGATAGCAAACATGCAAGTCTGTTATTAGTGCATAGGAGCCAGTATTTAAATTTCTATGTAATGCACTTTGTAGGGAGCAGTGAGCTTTTTGAGATTCAGCCCCAGCGTGGGAAGAGGGGCACCGTTAGCTTAGTGCTAAATAAGACTGGAAATTGCAAAGAGACACTAATGGAAATTAGCACTGTCGTTGAGGTGGTAATTTGGTGACCAAAAAGTACTTATAAAGCAAAAGTTGTGCAGTGCTATGTTATGTTCATTATTATATGACAAAATGTGGAAAAGTTCATGAAATGACCAGAGCATACAATCGCATGTGACCATTCTTCTCCTCATTCAGTAACTGTTAGATAAGTAAATAAGGACAGTTGGTGCATAGAACTATAGAACTGACATACTGTGATCAACTTCAGGACAACTTTAATTCAGTGTTGCTCTGCACAGTTCACTCCGGACAGTTTCTCAAACCTTGGATAATATCAAGCAGACTTCACTCAGTGTTTGAGACTGAAGAGAGGGGTGGTTCCAATTTTATTAGCATCACAACCCCAACCACAACCTGTAAGTAGCAGCCATGCTGTGTGATTTTATTCACTTTCCCCACTCTTTGAGCTACCTCAGGCCTTGTGGTGATCTGAGGCCCCTGGCAGTCAGAGGCCCCTAGACACTGGCCCCTCGCGTCTGGTCAGTTATCCATCCTGGGTTGCTGGTTTTCATTCCAACAAAGCAGGAGCACTGATCCATTTTGAAGACTGAGACCAAGTGATTAAACAGTTGAAATCAGGTGTGCTCCTGCTTGATTAGAATGAAAACCTGCAGCCACACCGGCCCTTTGTGGATAAGACTGGACACCCTGATTAAGGGTCATAATAGTTTTAATAAGGGCTCCAACAGGATTCGTCATGGGTCATGTTAAGCAGTTTTATAGCTTTCCATTAGATATTTAGGTAGCTACGCAGATCATTCTGACCTAACTGAAGGCTCAGAAGACTTAAGTTGCTCAGTGGAATCTCCTCGCTCCCTTCGTTGCTCTGTAAAGCGGCACGTTTGCAGACGCTCCCTAAGAATCTGCTGAGAGTCATCAATTATGCAGGCTCGCCGCGCGCACTGGCCAGGAAGATAGAGCAGCAACAATATGGCGACATCCGCAGTTTCTCCCGGGTCCCTTCGACATCCTTAGCGACACAGCAACCTGTATGGATCTCTCTTAATGCCGGAAAAGTGAGTAGACCTTGTCAATTCATTGTAGAAACCGGCGGGAAGGTTTCGTTTCGGGGGGGCTGCGAGCCGCGCGGCGCCTGTGCGCTTCTGCCGCAGAGCAGCATGTTTTCAGCGCGCGGAGATGTGCACAGGCTCGCTGCCAGCGAACCGCAGGAAAACGCTCGGACAGCACGGCCGCGCTCAGTGCATGTTGACTAGGCGAGTCAGGAGAGGTGGACGCGGCTCGGGATGTATAGTGTGAAACCGGCGAACGGAGGGTGTTGGCCTGGCGGCGGAGAAGGACTGACGTTAGCGCGCGCTGAAATGTGGAATACGCATACTGTGGGACAGGAGACGTCAGGGTGCTGAAAACTTTGGTGCATGTGTGAACACTTTGCGGGGAAAAGAGCCCAGCATGGAAGACATGCATCGCATGTGTATATGCAACGCAGTATTCCAAAAACTCTAGTGTGGCAGCTCTCTGTTAGCACCCCCCCTGCACTCACTCACAGCATCCCTCCTGCATCCCTCCTCCCTCTCAGCCTCTCAGTCGCCCTCGCCATACTTATTTGGGCTCGGGATGGGTTTCGTGTCGTGAAAACTGGGGGGCCACCACCCCGTGCTTCACACAGCCGCCCCCCCCCACTCCACCACCAGCCACCCCCTCCCTCACTGCTGGTGCCCGATACTGTGGGGTAAATGTGGGGGCAGGTGTACAGCGCGGCTCGGGTGTGGTGCGACACTCTCAGGCCAAAATAAAGTCGTTCCTGCCTGGCGTGCTCATGCCAAAGCGCACATGGAAGCGGTTTGCAGAAGCGACAGGCAGAGAGACACCCTCCCCTCTCCTCCCTCCCTCTTCCAGTAGCGTTGGGTTTTCTCCGTGATTGGCTGGTCGCGGATGTCTCGCAGCTCCACCGGCTGGGCTCGTGCCTCCCCTCCGCTCCACTGCAGTATTTTAGTCCAGAGGCTGTGGCCCACGCGCCGGAGCCTGTAGCTGCACGCACACATACACACACAAACACACACACACACACTTGCTGGGGTCAGCGCTTTCTAACGACGTTGAAGTAGAAGCTCGTGAAATATTACGGTGCACGCAAATGACCAGGATGAGAATGGAGGGGGGTGGGGGGCAGGAGGGCGGTGTAGTCTGTGAAAGAAAGGGGTTTGCAGAGGTGAAGGCAGTTGTGCGCTGTTATATAAACCGATATTTCACCAGGCAGTGATGACGAGCGTTTCCCTGAATGACCCGTGGCAGGAGGCGCTAGCTGCAGGTTTCATATTCTCCTCCCATTCATGAGTCCTGCACTGGAAAGAGCGCATTTTTTGCAGGAACATAAAAAAGAACATCAGCCTCGTTAGCAGCAGCAGGGAACGGTTTACTTTGAAGCCCAATATGAGTGATTAACTCTATGCTGAGGGCTTTAGGCTATTCTCTGCGCGGGATAAGAGGCTCTCCCCCCTCCCCCGCGCGCCCCACACCCCCCAGCACCCTCAATCGATTTTACCCCTTCTCTCAACCATCTCTCCACAAGCTCTGAAGCTCTGAAGCTGAGCGTTCACCTCTTCCCCTCCCTGCCGTCCCCTGTACACGGACCGTAGTGCGAACGCGGAGAGGTTTAAAGTGCGCTCAGGTTCTCTACATGGGCGTTTTGGTGCTGATGGACGGGGGGCGCAGCGATGCTGCTGGAACTCAAGATACAGTCACTGGCTGAAACACAGAGCGCCGCTCAGGACCCCAGATCTAGACGGCATCTAGAAAACACTGGAGCTGTATAGGTCACCGCCGTCACTGATTCAGCGCGCTCCGTCCAAACCCAGACCTGAACAGTCGAGCCGGAATTTCGTCGTGGTAAAAACGAAAAGCTTCGGAGTATTTTGGAGTATCTTTACTTTTTTTCGGACGCTGCGCGTTTACGCGGCACGACGACAGGCGCGGGATTAGCAGTTTGGGCGCACACGTGAGTAGCATATAGCCCTGGATGTCTGAAGCAGTGGTTCCTTCAGTAGATGTGTACTGTATGTTGCTTAGGCTAAACACGCGATTGTTTGAAAGAGCATAAAAAGTGCCTCATAGTTGGCGACTGAGTAATACAGCACTGCAATACCAACACAGGAAAAGCTGGTGAAGTTGAAGTGAGTGTAATCGTGAGGGACAGATCTTGTCTGACCCAGCGTGTCGCTCATGCATCACCTTGAGCGGCGGTTCCTTTAACATGCCGTCCTTTCTGGAGACTGAGGAAGGAGATTTAGAGGTTGGCACTGGCCCGGTTGTAACCTGAAACTGCGCGTGTATAATCTGCTCTTCCGTTTTGCCTGGCTCTGTGATCCTCGCGTGTTTCGCGAGATACTGATGGGCAGTAATTTGTCATCGCCGGGTTTAAAAGGCCCACTGCAGATTGTCCGAGTAGTAGCCTTGCGTACCTGATGGCTTGGTGACTTGCTACGTCATTTAGAAGCGATTGGCTGCCACGTGACCATGAAAAAATAGGATGAATCTCATATGGCCCCTCACTGCCTGTATAGTGCACATAGGTCAGGAAATAATGCACCCAACTAGTGCACTGTGTGTCCAACAAGAAGCCACTTGGGATTTAGGTTTGGGCTGTCCAAATTTACCAAAGTGAGGAATGGGATGTGTCTAAAAAGATAAGGTCTCTCAGTTAACATGGACAACGGGCTCTCAGTCAGTGCATTGAAGGGCCCATGGAGAGCGCAAGTGAAAAGAGTAACAGCTTAGGAGTGGTGGTGATCTGGGAACTGATCAATAGTAAGGTGTTGTGGCAGCAGAGGCATCAGGGGAGAAAAAGTTTTAGTGCATTATTTCTGTATGACTTTGCTCATGCATAATTAATTTATAACCTGAAATGGCTAGGCTGCTGCATTGCTAGGCACTAGCAGAGATGTGTAAACATGTTTCAGAATGTATTTTGTTATAAACTGTGATTAAATGTGTAAAAGACACATATTCCATTGTAATATGCTTTTTTCTGCTTTCTACTTTAGTTGCCTGCCTATAAGGAGACAGAATCTGGATCTTAAACACAGAAATGTACTTTAACTGGACAGTTGAAATGTAGGCTGGTTGGGTTTTCTGTAGCATATCATTGACTGTATCTGCGGGTTTGATAATGCTTCTGGCTGGAATCATCCCTGTCAACAAGCCTGGCAGCATTATACACCAGGGCAGCCCACATTGTGTCCCATCAGCAGCTTTGCTTGGCCCAGCCGATGACATTCTTCTTGTATTTTAACAGCAACAAAAACACTCATCACTATTGATACTCATTGCATTAACCTGGTTTTGTCTGCCCCCCAGACCTATAATCAGATTACAGATATTTGGGCTAGTCCAGATTCTGTCATTAGTAGTGTGGGTCAAGTTTTAGGCTGTGATCCTTCACCTCTTTACAAAACTGAACTCTCTACGCTCATCTGCGTTTGACCCATCCCTGCAGCTGTGTCCCCAATGTCAAAAAAACATTAGTACTTACTAAGTGGTTTCTACCCCTATTGTATATTAATTGAAGAGCCAGCTTAATCTCAGCACACGACAGGAAATGAGTAGCTGGAGAGCCACTCTTGAGCCCTTTTAGATAGGTTGTCTGCAGAGTGTCACCAAGACGAGGCTGAATGGCCACCACATTGATTCATATACATGATGTGACTTATCCTGACCTAATGAGAACATCTGAGCCAAGAACTGTATGTGTCCAGCTAGCATTGGACAATATGGCAATATTTTATCATACATCACAGATGTTTTTCTGAACATATTATGGATATGTTCAGAACTTAATGAACATGCAGCAACTGCATGTTTTATTGCGAGGAGAGCATAATTGTCCTGTTTAATTGTATTTAGTGCAACAGAGTATTAAACATTGAACATCACTGCGTTTGTAGTTTTTTCAAAATATTTTTAAATGTGGCATGTGGCAAATCCTGATGTTAAATAAATTGTCCACCCCTATGCCCAACGCTACCATTGATCAGAATACTGGGTCATCATCAGTTCTTTTTTCTGTGCTTATTCCTGAAGGTTTTTTAAGCACCTTAAATAACCTTGATTGCTGAATAGTTCATATAGTAAACATTAAGTGTTCTAAATGGCTTTGCAAACTAGTACTACTCTTTACTAATTCAGTCATTAATAATCAAACTACCCAAATGCCGAACCATACTCTCAAGGAAGTGTATTCTTAGGCAACGCATCAGCAGCTTGTGAGCTATCAGGATGTGCATAGCTTAAAAACTAATAACTAAATAGAATTTAGGCGTAGGCAGAAGTGTTCTTGTAATCATCAAAGTAGTTCAGCCTAGTTTTGCTGGAAAAGGGATTGGGACGCTATCTTTTATGTCAGCTAAATCTAAATGTTGAAGCACAAACAAAGCTAGCAAGCTAAAGTTAGCGAAAATCGTCATTATGTGATGAGGTCCATTTATATAACTAGCTCTCTGTGAATATTGGACCCTTTTCATGGTAGCACTGCTGTTAGTATTAGTCCAGCTTGTCTTATCTGGTTGTGATGGAGCCACCTACACTGCATGACATACCACTCTTGCACATGTGTTTCAGCAACGGGTAGTCAATCAGCCATTGAGTTAGATAGGGACACTCACTGTTCTTGATTGACCCACCGAGTGGTCCATCAAACATAGAAGTCTAGTTATATGTCTTGTTGAGACATCCTACTTAAAGCCATTTACTTAGACAGGATTGGATTTCTGGGCTGGAATATTAGATAGGTAACATGTAAATGCAAATGTGATAAACTGTTGATATAAAGATTCTATCAGTTATTAGCCCACTATTTTATTCTTCTGTTCTTTGTGTCTGCCTCTGTCTTTTCTTTCTCTCTCTCTCTCACTCTCTCTGTCTCACACACACACACACACACTCTCTCACACATACACACACACGCAGTTGGGTATCATTCTGCTTGGTCATCCACTTCTTAATGGATATAATGAAAGTGTATGTGAGCCCATGAGACAGAAAGGGTTTGGGGGTGGGGCTCTGAGAGTAAGAATAATGGATAGTGTTAAAGTATATTAAAGTTTGTGACTCATATATATGAAGAAAGTGCGCACATTTGTCATAATATGCATATGTATTTGTTAAGGTGCATGCAACATTTACAATTTACACTAAAAGGGAATGTATATATTTATTTATTGAAGTAGTTGCTGGTGTGATATACACGTTTCTTATATACACACACACACACACACATATATATATATATATATATATATATATACACATATATATGTGTATATATATATATATATATACATATATATATATATATATATATATAGATGTTGTCTATAAATTTTATGATAAATGGACCAAAAGAAATGGCCCAAAAAGACTTTTTAAAAAGTAGATTTTTTTGTTCTCCTGTAAGGTTGTCTTTTTGGAGATATGAGTTTTCGTTCCGGCAACAGTGATATATATATATATATATATATATATATATAGCTGCTGTTGGAACAAAGCCTTGCGTCTCCATTTTTTTAACCTAACATTAAAAGCCAGCTGGCTTTTACATTGTGTCAAAATGTAATGACAAACGGACCAATAGAAGTGGTCCAGAGTGACATAGGATAATATTATATTACTTTAAGTTATATTGAAAGTTAAGAAAATTTTTGCCTTCTTCTGTAAATTTACTTTTTTGTATATACAAGGTTTTGTTCAGACAGTGATGATATTATAATATATATTACATTTCAGTATCCAGCATGGGACCTAAACATGTCAGACAAGCTTTCTTGCTGGCTTGATGAATTCCAGGTTTAGAGCATCACTACTTATTGGCCCTTTATGTCAAAGCGATGCAGTTTTTCTGTGTGAAATTAAAGATATAAGGGCAGCTGCCTTTTGCATGGCTTGTGCTGTTAATTTATGTTTAGATCAGTTTTCACCTGTCATCTTTGTTGATGATGTATAGAGTAATGTAGATACATCTTTGAATGTTGTGCTCTGTTTTATGTGGAATAAGACATCCTATTAAGGTATATTGGAATATTTACTGATTGCCATGTCACATTAGCTGTAGCTGTCCTGAATCTGAGGATATGTAATAATTGATCATGAAAAACATAAAAGGATGCAAAGGTAGAAAGGCCTTAAATGTACACCTAAATGGGTAAAGTTATGTATTAGGACTGTGTTGTGACTCATTGGCATAAAGAAGTAGTGCAAATGCGTGCTCTCAAATTATGTGTGTGTGTTTTCTTTGCAGATCATTCTTATGTCTTTCCTTTTTCTTGATATACAGCCCAAATAGCCCAAACTTTTTTACAATGGAAAATTATATGAAACGTAGCATAATAGTAATAACTGACAGCATCCTTTCTTTTTCCCCTGTTTTCTTTTTCTGCTACCCCCACCCCATCCTCAGAGCTCACTGTCCTGGATGGCTTCTAAATAAAGAGGGCTCTGCTGCAGGATGACAATATGGCTGCGCCGCTGCTCGCACCCCCAGGCCCCGACAGCTTCAAGAGGTTCACCCGGGAGACTTTGGCCAACATTGAAAAGCGTATCGCAGAGGAGAAGAAGAAGAAACCTGTCAAGCCCCGATCAGACAGCAGTCACCGCGATGATGATGACGACAGTGGCCCTAAGCCCAACAGCGATCTGGAGGCGGGGAAGAGTCTGCCGTTCATCTACGGGGACGTCCCTTCGGAGATGGTGGCAGAGCCTTTGGAGGACTTGGACCCCTTCTATATGAACAAGAAAGTGAGTGAGCTATCAGTGCCTGCCTGTCCTGACACAGTCCTTCTCCCCTTCCACCCCCCTCCCTCCACAGTTGGTAAGGGCCTTACCACATCATGTCTGCTGCAAAGTGAATAGAAGACCAAAGTACAGGTTTTAGGTCCTGGAGTGCAATGGAGGCGAGAGAGAGGGAAGGAGAGAAGCATGTGGAGAAGTGGCTAAAGGGGTGATGGGCAGGGCAATACGTTTGAAAAGCTCTAAAGGACCTGGAAGGAAGTTCTGTCTACTGGTGGGTGACTGTTGTGAGTATGTGCTCACAACAGTATGTGCTGAAATGAATGTGTTTCACTATTTGGTGAACACGTTCCAGGTCTGCAGTGGTTTCTAATCCACCTAGGGGTCGAATTCAAAAGAGAGAGAGATGTGTTAAGAGAGTTATGTCAAATGTTAAAAAACATTTTATGAGATTTTAGGGTTGTAACTATATGCACATTTTCCATTCTGAGTTTTTTAATTCGTCGGTTCTACAAAGTTATAATTGTATGCTACTCAAATTGGTTTGGCCCAGAAAAAAATAGGCCCTGTAGTTTTATAGTTTCCGTCAAATCTCCAATGCTGATTTTTTCGCTTAAGCAAATATCGGCTGATACCAGCTACACATTTCATGGAAAATGACAAAAGATTGCAAAGTAGCTGTAAAATAATGATCTTGTAAAACAATACATCAGAGAAATAAACAAGACAAAAATAAAAAGGATATACCCAGATGACTCATTTACAGAGGTTTTTATAAAAGACAACAGAACAGACCTCAGAGCAGACTGAAGGTCCTAAAGGTGATACTCTTTTAAATTCAAACACATTGTTTTGTGTGATTTTTCAGTATTGCATCATAATCGTCACACCCTTACGATATTTTTGTGTATGTGTCATGTCATTACACACAGTATGGTTGTTCTTTCTCTTGTTGAGAAATTGTGCATATGTTCAGTTGGCTAATTCATGATGAAGAACTGTTCAGTTATCTTTAATTGTTATATATCCAGTGATGAAAAATACTACAGTTTTGTAGTGAAATATATTAAGATGTACAGTATAGTTGCACAAGTCTCAAATGTACACTGTAACTTAACACTGGTGTTAGGTTTGCTGATCGTTTACATTAGCAACAGGCTGTGTGAGTTTCAAAGGATGCAGATTATAATAGCATGACTAAAACAGCATCATAGCATTAAAGGTACAAGAGTATCATAGCATTAAGATTCTCTTGTCCTACCATGATCCAGTAGGTTCTTGAATATTTTCTTTGGACTATATGTAATATTGGTATTAAGAAATTCTAGTGGTCAGTAATTATAAATTCTGGTTTTAAGCCTTAACTAAAGCTTCATACATGCAAGACGTGTATTGTTAAGCTATGTTATTTTATTATTAGCCTGTATTTGCCATTAACAGAAGTAAGTGTAGTAGTTGTAAGAGTTTGGATAACATGGAAGATTCGAGATTCGAGCCTTACGGATTACAGATAAAAGGATTAGCACAAAGGCCTATTGTTTTCTTAAAAGATAGAAGTTCTTTGATCATGGCTTTTGGAGAAATACAGTAACATTTCTCTCTCCACTCTGACATGGTAATGTTTAGCCTATACTGTAAACATAAATTAGTTGACTTTACTTTAAAAAATCATGCGAACCTATTTCTTAACAGGTTCAAGCTTAAATAACTTTATATTAATTTGTAGTTATTTTCTTATTGTCAGTGATCCACACTTCTTCAGCAAGTAAGGAAATGGCCAGAAAACCCACCAGCAGGTCCAAAATTTTACTACACACCCCTATAACCTAAGAATAACTCAGTCAGTTTGCATTGTAGTCCATGTAGTTACTGAATAATAAGTCTTAGTATTTAATAGTAATATACCTGGAATTTTAAGGGGGTAACTCAATCAGCGCAATCATTTTAAGTAGTTTCAATTAAGCTAGCAGTACTCTGCTTTTTAAGTTGTCTTTACTGTTGAATTGGTTAGGTTAACTTGACTTAAATACTCATCCCTGTCCAGCATATGTATCAACTGAAACAGCTCCACTCTTTTAAATGGATGGTTTCACACAATATTAAACAAATAGCTCACATATGATGAGTCACTCATTTCTAAAGACTGAAATGGCTTTGTGCATTTTTGCCATTCTGTTTAAGGGCTGATATCACCTGATAGCGTTTATGACTATGTGCTGAACTGGTAAACCTGGACACAAAACACCATCATGATGAGAACAACAAAAATATGTAAAATGTGTCCAAACTTAATATTTTAGCATAAGAATCTGCTATGACACAAAAATAACATTTTACAAAGAGAACTAATGAAAAATTAGAAAAATAAGAGTTGAGTAACTTTAAGACTTTCCTGGTATTCTGTTAAGAATATTGGGAAAATATTTGGGCAAAATCCAAATTATCCAAATTAATTGATGTTATTTAGAATTACATAAGTAACAAAGTATTATACTATAGTACGTTACTAGATTTGCATTAGCACGTCTAACAGATGAGTAAAGTAAACTAAAAAATTAGGTTAGTCCAATTGTTCATTTTTACTGTGTATATTGTGATGTGTGGTATATGAAAGATGTGGTGCACTGGAGCATTTAGCATGTTTCTGATAGCCTTAGTTTCAGCCCAAGATGTGCTAATGGGAAGCTTAGCTTAGCCCAATACACATTATTACCGTTGTTTTGTAAGTCTTAAAGCTTCAACAGAGCTGAATAACTGAAGAATAAATGTATGTTTGGAGGGAGGAGGGAGGATTTGCTAAAAGCTCAGGAGGAGAGGATCTGTTTCAGGGTGGGGTAATACACGCATAGGGCAGGCTAACCAGCTGACTGATAAGGGATTCATAAATCCTCGTAAGTGTTTATATGAACAACTGTAGGCACATGCACGGGTTGCCGGCTGCTGTAATACTTGGTGGCATGCAGTGCTATAAGAATGTATTCCTCTTTAATTCAGAAAGTGTCGGTTTATGTGCAGCATTTTCTTTATTATTGGGGCAAAACCATTGAAAACATCAGGAGATCTGTCCTTTACTGTAGGGTGTCATGAGCAAGATATATTCACATTTCTCAGGTCATTCTCCACTAATGGACTTTTTGGATTATTCTTGCATTATTTCTTATTTAGAGCAGTCTGATTTTGCGTAGGCTGCCCGCTCAAATGCTATTTGGAATTTTTGTTGCAAGAGATACTTCTGAAAGTCAGTTGGCTCAGAAGATATGACATGGCTTTGGATGGTTGCTGGCATAGTAGTTTGTTATCATTAGGGGTGCACAATATAGACAGAATTCTAGCAATATTGCACTGTGCCTTGCAATATTTTAAAAATGCATTTGCCGACCAAGGAGGTGCGATAGTTAAACATTGGCATGCATTAATATGATTTTATGAATAATTTGATTCATTAAAACACCCACAGAACTGTGGATTGTTCAAGATGCTCAGAGTACGTAGGATCGCAGCCCTCTCTTATATCAGTATTGCGAAGGCCAATATCATGACAGTTATTAACAAATGATACATTGTGCAATCCTAGTTAAAATTACATAGATTCTCTTTATGCTGGGTGTTAAAATGTGTCACATATCTGGAGGTTTGTCCTTATAAACAACAAGTGTAACTGCGTTTGTGATCGGAATGTGTTTGGGTCTAGCCGTCATGATCCCAAAGTAGTCGATCGTGGATCAGATCTGACTGTATCCAAGCTGGCCATGGTTAGTTCATGGCGATCAGATGTTAATGCTGAGTGTAAACAGGGCCACAGTCGTCTCCTGTTTCTTTACCACCTAAATCGAGGAACAGAAAGAGCATGAATGAATACTTGCAGTGTGTGTTTGTTTTGTTTGCTCTGCTGTGTGGTCTCAGAGGTGACTGGGGTCCAGTCTCCAGTTTGGTGTGGAGATGTGTAATAGAATATGAGTACTTACTGGCTGCAGAGTGAACTCAGCAAAAAAGATCCATTAGCACACACACGCACACACACACACACACACACACACACACACACACACATGCGCACACAGATATATATCTTAAGAGTTTCGTTGCAAAATGCTGCATATCCATTTGTAACAATTTTGGATATAACAATGTTATAAAAAATAATGGCATAACATATAATGGAAACCACATTTTATTTCTCTAATAAAGGTGACATTAAGCATAATACAGCATTAATAGTTTTTGTATGTGTAAAGCCCACTCCCAACTACATATATCATGGAAAGAAACCCTTCATATATGTTTAATCTACTGATCACACAAGAACTGGTCATAAAACGCGCTGTATCTCCTTTACTGTCTCTCTCTTCACCTTTTTCTCCTCTTCTTCCCTTCTCTTCTCTTCTTTTCTCTTCTCTTCTCTTCTCTTCTCTTCTCTTCTCTTCTCTTCTCTTCCATTAGCTTCTCTTTTCTTCTCTGGTCACTTCTCTACTGCTCTTCTCCTCTCCTCTTTGCCTTTTCTTCTTCACTTCTCGATTGTTCTGTTCTGTTCTCTTTTGTTGTTTTCTTTGTTCTTCTGCTTCTTACCTGCTCTTTTCTCTTGTCCTCTTCTCTTTCACTTTCTCTTCTCTTCTCTTCTCTTCTCTTCTCTTCTCTTCTGTAGCGCTCATACGTTGTTAAGAGTGAAACAGGGAATAAAGTCTATAAAGAAATGTGGGGCAGTATAAGAGTGCAGTTGGTGCAGTTCTCTGCCCTTTCCCTATTGAAACCATCTTAAAGATTCAGAATTATTTCACGAAGTCAAAATTCCTTCACTAAAGTTGCAGAGTTACTGAACTAAGAACACAGTTTGTTAATTGTTAACAAATTTGTAATTTTAAATAATTAAATTATAATCTCAAACAGCAGTGTTCAGCAAATGGTGTGGAAGTGAATCACAGGGCGTTGCACTGCGTGTACTGGAAGTGCACTGACTAGTCTCATATTGTACTGACAGCTTATGTGTGAGATGTTTGAGGAGTATTTGGTGGTGTTTGAGATGTGCTGTTCTGAGTTTGATGATCTAAATGTTTTCTCAGTGATGTAGAGAAGACTGGTTGCTTAGATTAACTCTATGTGATCTCCCTCTCCCTCTCACTCTCTCCTCCACCTTATTCCCCTGCCCTCTCTGGCTCTCCTCTTTGTAGATGATAAAAATTTCAGTAGCTCTGCAGCAAATCATTCACGCTTTTAAAAGGAAGAAGGATGGATAGGCTGTCATTGTTTGTGTGTATGTCTTTATACACACACACATATATGCTAAACCGTATTAATGTTCACACACCTTCTGCCCCACCAGTAAAATATGTGCTACGCTGGTTGTGATGCTGGAAGCTAATTACTGACATCACCAGAAGCTTTTTAGGGAGGATTTAAAAGAAGCTTTTATGTTGTTATGGTTTCATTCATATGGTTGAAATAACATTGCTGTGGTCTGTAGATGGCCTTCCTTATGCTTTAAATAAAAGAGAAGAGGTTAGATTAAAACATAAAAATGAAATTTTAGATAAACATTGTAATCAAACTTATCGGATGTTTTCATTACCTTTAGCAAGTGCGCTGAAAAAAAGTGATACATTGAATTAATTTGATTCAAATGTGTATTATTTCCACATGAATTAAACGTATTACATCAACACAATTATTGCCAAAAGCAAGTCAACTGAAAGAAAAAATTGTTGGGGATGCACAGTTGAAATTGGCCAAAACCTGAATTGGCAGATTTTGCTCCAACACTTGATTGGCAATCGACTAATGTATTATTTTTATTTTGGCTGATCTGTGTTGTATTTTATGACACAAGGCAGGTAAGAACACTCGTGCTGTATTGAGTGCTAGTGCTAGACCTGGACCAAAATGTCCTAGCAAATTATTCGTTACCCATTGTGCTAAATAGCCAGTTGCTTCTAAATTTAGATGTAGCAGTTTATTTAATTCATATTATTTAAATACAGAACTGTTTTTTAATTTACAAATTTAAGATGGCAGTTTGACAAAATGCAAAGTAATGTTATTAAGTTGACTTGGAAAAGCCAACTTACTGTTCTTTGTAACATTATTATTCTGCACTTAAATTTGGTAAACTTTTCATGGTCCACAGTTTTTATTAGCATAGCGACCAACTATCAACACCTTAGCAACAACCTGGGACACCATAGCAACCACTTAGCAACACCTTACCAACCACCTTGGATACTGTAGCAGTAATTTAACCAGGTGCACGTTTGTGTATGACTGTATACATGTAATGTTTTTGTTCCTTAATACGGTATTGTGATAATATCATAAAATGTGACAATATAGTTAACTATCATGGTACAAAATTTTTATATTGACACATACTTTATTTCTTGGGTTCGTTTAGGCATCACACTGTGAGCTTCAGGTTAATATACAGTATTATACAATAAAAATCAGACAAAAAAATCTGGCATTATAAAAAGAAGTCAAAATTTCAGTTGGCCATAAAATTGTAGTATTGTAAAATCTCATTCATGTGGAAATGACTGTACAATTTTGAATAAAGTAAATTTAATGCAGTGTAGTGTTATTTCCAGTGGGATGTATGTGAACGGTGGGTGATTTGATGCTGAAGTTGAGGTTGCTTTCCAGTTTCTAGGACAGAGGAAGGGAAGGATAGATGGCTCTGCAGCTTTCTTCTCCTTGAGTAAAGCAGTATTGTGAGTGTGGGAGCTTGAGCAAGCAGAGGAAGCCCACAGTCTGTCGCAGTGTGTGTATGTGTGTGTGCGTGTGTGTAAGAGACTCTGGGGAAGCCAGCACTCAGTATTCAGTAACACACAGAGCCCTGCTGGGCTGTTCACAGCTTTTTATTTTTCATTTATTTATTTATTTTTTTTATGTTTTTTTTTTTTGACTGTGACAGCCTTTAGGATTCAGTGTTTCAGTAATTTCACTGACAGATGTCTTTAAATGGAGGACATATTGTGCTCTGTCTGGCTTATAAGTCTTGTAATTTTAGATTTTACTCAAACGTATTGTGGGTTTTTAATTACACCATGGCGATGAGACAAAAAAGACAGATGCGTAGCTAGACCGAGACCCAAATAAAATAAATAAATAAATAAATAAAAATAAGGCAAGAGAAGCGGAAAGGAGAAGGGAGGGATGGGCCGAGAGAGTAAAGGAAGGAGGGATGGGCCGAGGTGAAGGAAGGAACTCACTCTGTCCTCCCTCACTCTGCTGCCTCTATTTTTAATCTAATTAGATTTCAGGAAGATTCTCATTCTACCTGGGTCTCTGTGGTGTTTCCCTCTGTGTGTTACGATCTGCTGTATATCTGCAGGCTGTATGTATGCTACATCCATTCCTCTACTGTTCCTCATAGAAACTACCTGAAATTAAATGAAGGTGTGAAGTGAAGCTTGATTTCATTTCTGAGGAACAGTAGAGGTAAGGATGTGATTCAAGTGAATTTTTCTACTGTAGGTAGAACTACATTGACTCAAGGGAGCATTGCAGTGCTTTTGTCTCTCTGTCTCTCTCTCTCTCTCTCTCTCTCTCACTCTCTCTCTGGAGTCAGCATTTCCTGCTCCTGATGGATGGTGATGTTAGCGGTTAGCGTTAACGTTAGTGTTACTGTCTGACTTCCAGTAAGTGGTGTGTCTCTTTGCCAGAGCACACTGCGGCTCTCTTTCAGTTATTAACGTGAAGAAAACTTCAGTAGTTAACAGCTGGTCAAGCGGTCCTTGCAAATGACCTTGACATGGGGAAAAAATGAAGAAAAAAGTGCCTCAGTAAACAGAAAAAACAATAACGCTCTATTAATTTTGAAGTCTTTTCAGTTACTGTTTCTTTGCCAACATAGCCCTTTTTTGTTCCTGTACTACTCCTGTGATTTTCTTTGGTGGTGATTCAATCAGTGTTAATTGTTAAAATGTAAAAAAATAATATTTAAGAGAAAAGGGTGATGCAAGTTACATAAGACATTCCTTTTTCCTTTAATTCAAACAGAAAATACCTGTGTGCTCAAAAATGCCCATGCTCCAAAGTTATTTCACTGATTTTTTGTTTGAATGAATATTGCTTTTAATTGAATGCATGCAGTGAAATACTTTATAATAATTCTGTATCTTTCTAAATGTCACAAACTGTGAACAGATTATACTTCTGTATTTTTGCTATGCATTCCAGTAATATCTCTCTCTCTTTCTCTCTCTCTCTCTCTCTCTCTCTCTCTCTCTCTCTCTCTCTCTCCCTCCCTCTTCCTGTGCAGACCTTTATAGTGCTAAACAAAGGGAAAACGATCTTCCGTTTCAGTGCCACGCCCTCGTTGTATATCATTAGCCCTTTTAGCCTGCTCAGGCGAATAGCTATTAAAATTTTGATACATTCATATCCTTTTCAGTGCTTTATACAGCATTACTTTTTCCACTGTCTCATGATTGTTGTTGCAGATGTCTTCACACCCAGCCATACTTCTTCTGTTCTGTATTCACGTTATCTAATGACATGTAAAAATGGCCACTACACCTTTATTTATAGTTTATTTCCTTTTCAGCATTTATGAAACTGCTTGATTATATGTAAATATATGTAAACAATTTGGGGAAAATATACATGTAATTTTTTCTGACCAGTATTGTGACTGCAGTTGAACTTTTGTGTAAGAACAACATCATATCCACTTTTTGCAGTGGTTTGCAGCTTGAGTTTGCACCAGAATACCTGTTAGTTGTTAGTTGCCTAATTTCCACACTTACCTAAGATAACGTTGCTGATAATGTAAGCTATAAACAAAGTTGCAGCCTTTGCACTTTGAAAATCACACTCTTTCACATTGAGAGTTTAATATAAAAACAGTTGATCTTTTAGTTCTACATGTAATTATATGTATATGATATCCTTTGTTCACCTTGCTCACTTATTATTAATGCCAGCTTGTTTTCTCAAGAATTCAGGCTTAGTGATTTTGTCAGACTATTGACAACACAAAGTGCTTCCAGGACGTGTTCTAGAAATGTGGCAGAAAGTGTGCCCATTTCACTTACTGATGGCTCATGGGAAAAACACCAATCAATGTCCTTAGTGCACGCTTCCTTTCCAATTGACCTCTGACCTCAGAAATTGTTGCAGTAATGACATTTTATTTAGTGCTGAGTCAATGTGTAGTTTTCTCTTAATGTATATCTGGAGCACTCAGATATTGTGAAGTGAGAACGCCCAGTTTGTCAGTATGTGTGATTAGGTTGGGCTGTGTGTTCGTTTCCTGGCTTTCCTTAACTCCTTTTCCTACAGTTTTCAGCATGATCATTATGTGTACAATTTTGACCAACTGTGTGTTCATGACCTTCAGCAATCCCCCAGAATGGTCCAAACAAGTAGAGTGAGTATTTTATTCTATTCTATTCTATTCTATTCTATTCTATTCTATTCTATTCTATTCGATCGATTCGATTCTATTCTGTATTGTTACATCTCATATTTGTGTTGATTTCATACATAATAAAAAGCACTTAAAGCACATGTACACACTCTCTCTATTTCCCAGATACACCTTCACAGGGATCTACACCTTCGAGTCCCTCACAAAGATTGTGGCTCGAGGGTTTTGTATAGACGACTTCACGTTTCTCAGAGATCCCTGGAACTGGTTGGACTTTATGGTCATCTCTATGGCGTAAGTATAGGCCCACTGCAGCATCACACACTTTAGGTACTGCATATGACAGTTACCAATGAAAAGCACTTCTGTGTGCAACGTTCACCTCAGTGGGAATTTCTGATGTTTTGATGTCAGCTGTACGCTCATTTTTGTAGTTATTCTGTTATATACTGGGTGTGGTCTGGGTGTAGTCTACTTGTTATATGGGTGTAGTCTACTTGTGCGCAGGTATATGCTGTATACCCACTAGGAAACCACTAGGATTTGAATATATTGGTTTGAAAAAAATTCAGTAATACGTAAGAGCTTTATCTATTTGGCCATTATTATGTGAAATTTTGACACGAGAAAGTAATGAATTAACAATTCTGCCATGGAAATCAAACACCCTCTCACTCCTTGTCAGGCTGAAACTACTTGATTAACTTCAGACCTCTGAAGTCATGCATAATTCTGTAGTCTGCATCATGCCTATTTTAGGAATTTTGGGTCTAAGTAGCTTTTCACTATGGGTAAAATCACTGTTGCTCACTCTGTGGTAAACGAATCCTGATACATTTTATACACGTCATGTGTACATTTTTCCCCCCAATTTTACAGGACCCTGTGAATTAAGAGGTTGTTAGGCAGTCGAAATACGAAAAATGCTACGAGCAAACTACTACTGTTACGCATTGAGATGACATTGTATAACCATGAGTCTACTTTTAAAGATCATTAAAACAAATTACTGCTAAGAACACGTTTATTTTAAGACTGTTTTTGTCGTTGCTAGGCTGGATGCCTGGGGCCCAAAAAGCCCCTTTAGAATTTTGATGTCCCCTATAATCTCTAAAGTTTGGCAGGGAAATAGTCATTTCCAGCAGTGAGAAAATCTCTAAGCGAGAAGCTCATATGCACATGCTTACATATTTCCTCTGGGATCCTTGTGAGCTCACATTAACAACAGCTGTTTTAACTAGCCTTTGGGAAAATTAAGTAAAAAATACTTAATATACTTAATAAAAAACATTCGGGATTATATTTGAAGTGAAATTACACCCTAAATGCATTGTTAGTGAGTCAGGAGTTATAAGTATTTGTACAGCTAGCTAAGTGTTTTTCAGTTACATTGCTATGTGCTAGCTAGGCTAGTCTTGCTAACTGTGATCAGGTCCTCTATTCACAGTATACCCACTACTGCACACTAGACTGCACCACTGACAATGTGTTGTGGGCCCATGGCAGTGAGGACAGAGGATTATGCAGATGAAGGACACATGAGCACAGAGTGGTGGAGGCTTTGTGCAAACCTGAAATACAATACAAAAATCAACACTGACTCTGTGACCTCTGCACAGGTTACTGGAGGTATCTGAAGCCCTGAGGTCTTCGTTTGCACACAGGAGTTTGTGTATTGTTTTGCTTGTGTGTGTGGGGTTGGGGGGGAGGGGAGTGAGTGATTAAGTGAGTGTGTGTATGATTTCTGTCCCAACTCTCACAGGTGGAAGTGTAACAACTGAAAAAGGCTTCTGTGCTCATCCGTGTTTCAATGTGGCCATTATTTGTGTCTTTTTACTCTTCACTCCTTCTCTCTCCATTTTGCCCTCCCTCCATTACTACAGACATTTTAGTCTTTTTTGGACATTTTTCAATTAGTGTATTTTGACGCATAAAACATCAAACTAGGGATGCGCGATGATCGGAATAATATTGGCATCGGACAGATGTTTAAATTTGATTCGTAATTCAAATCAATTTGCTGACGTATTTATTGTTGCCTAGGAAAGAATGTTTAGGCAACACTGGGCTGCTGGGCTAAAATTTTACTGCATTTGTAACTCTAAAGAAATAAATATTACATTTCACTAGAAGACACATCCAGGTCAATCTTTCTTCTGTCGAGTAATCTAGTAATTTTTGCATTTTAGAAATGTTGGCATCAGTATCAAAATACTGGCCCACAATTCCCACATCGGTGCATCTCCACACCGAAAGAAAACAGTTTTATTTTCTTTGTTTCATATTTCATATATGTAACCATGTGATGTTTATGATTACTGTTAATGAGTTCTAGATCTACTGTCTGAATGTGTGTATAAGTCTTAAAGCTATAATTTACATTTTACAGTCATTTTCAGAAATACATTCTGTTTTGGTCTCCTCAGATTGAGACAGACATGACATTTCACATTTTTCAACATGATTTGTCTAATATGCACAGATGGCCGTTAAATGGCCATTATTCATTTCCAAAAATAAAATGGTTGTAGCTTATACAGTTGATTATAGAACAGTATACAGTACAGTGAAAGTTTTGGACACACCCTAAAAAACTGTTTATCTGGGTGGCACTTGTTTATTTGTTCTGAAAACCTTAAATATTAGAGTAAATACAGATAAAATTAATACAGAAAGTAGAGATTTTGCATATGCCAGTGTGTTTGTTTAACTGTTTCCTCGCCTCTCCTCACAGTAGCCCAGTATTATTTGTGATTATTGTCCAGTACCTAGAATGGTTAATGAGTGCTTCATGAAATTAAATGACTTGTGCTGGTGATGGAATTTAACACATCTTTACGATGACAAGGGGTATCGAGGAGAAATCTGGACCCAAATCTGTGGAGCTCACAAGATATCAAGTACTTTTTCCAAAATTTTGTTACTGTTTAGTGCATTAATGCTTGATTGCATTGATTCTAATGTTACATAGTTTTTGAACTAACATACTGCCCAGATAAATAGTTTTAAACCAACTTTTGCACAGTACTATACATGTAACAGAACATGTGCTGTTTTTCAAAAAATATTGTATAATAATTTCCATGATGCTGCTGTTTTTTTCTTTTTCTCACAAAACTCTCTTTCTGCTTTCATCTATCTTTTTCCTTTATTTCTCTTTGTCTTTCTTCTCTCTCTCTCTCTCTCTCTCTCTCCCTCTCTCTTCTAACTGGTGACTGTTGCGATCCGTTCTGCAGGTATATAACAGAGTTTGTAAACCTAGGCAATGTGTCAGCTCTACGCACATTCAGGGTGCTGAGGGCTTTGAAAACTGTTGCTGTGATCCCAGGTAAGAGTCCAGCAGGCCTAGGGGCCAACAGAGGGCGCCGCTCGCTGTCTCTCTTTCCACGCTCCTCCTCCTCTTCTTCCTTTCTTCTCCGTTCGTTTCTTTCTCCTCTCGTTGGACAGGCTGTCCGTGATGTCTTCCTCCCAGTTCAGTGGTGGTGCTGGTGGTAGTGGCGTGTCGTGCGTGTTGTCGTGTTGTGTAAGTGTGTGTGTGTGTTGTGTCATAGTGTTTGTTCTGTGTGTGATCCTCCCTTGTTGCAGATATGTAACAGAGTTTGTGGACCTGGGGAATGTGTCAGCCCTGAGAACCTTCAGGGTTCTACGAGCTCTCAAAACTATTTCTGTCATACCAGGTGAGAACGCGTTTAAACACAAAGGCTGAGCTGCTTCCCACGCTGACGCAAACAATTATTCTTGATTACTATGATTATTACTATTTTTACCCTTTTTATTTGTTTTTGATACTCTTCATTTTGTACTTGTCATTTTTTTCTTAAGAGGATGCTGCAGAAACAGTATCTTTATTTTGTTTCAAATTTATGTTAATTTTTTACCGACACAATCAAAAATGGTGACAATACATTTTTGATAGGCTTTGCAGTCTGCTGTCAGGCCGCTGAACTCAGGTGGTCAGCTAAAGGAGCCTGAAAAGCTTCCTCGTTTTGCAGATTATTACGTTAATTTCGCTCATTAATTGTGTGCATTGCTTGTTTTTCCCCGAATTATACTAAAATAAAATTTTCTGTAGGTATCAGTTCTGACTCTTCTGTGACTAACTGCAACTTATTGGGTATGATAAAGACACTGATTGTAAAGGAATGTTTTTGCTGCAGGTTAAAACATAGCACAGCACTTAAACAGATGGTAAAACAGTAAAAACATCTTACAATTGTATATGTTTTCATGTTACAGTGTGTGTTATTCAGCTTTAGATGACTCACTTTGTTTTCCATGTTGAGTTTTTGTGAATTGCAGTTTCAGTAAAACATCACAAAACTCAATAAAATCAAATCATCAAAGCATAACAGCATTTGTACGTGTGTTTCATAGTGTCTTAGCTTTCATACTTTTGGAAGTTTCATTAGGACTCCAACTGGAGCTCATAATATATGTCAGCAGCAAATGTTTATGGATAATGTAGTTCGCTCACCAAGACTGCCAAGCCTAGTTTGACACACTTCTGCTGCATGATGCTTTCTGAGACACCTGCTTTTTAGTTTGTCTTTCTTTTATTATTATTATTTATTTTATGACTGGCTTTCCTCGAATTTCTGCATCCTTTACTTCGATATTTTTTGCCAAAATGAACTTTTTAAAATCCCTCCTTTTTCTTATTTTAAAGAACTTGGAGCGGAGCGTAAAAGAGAGAGACATCAGAATATCAGCCCTACGTTGGAGGAATTTGCAGTGTGTGATTTTGTAATTGTAGTTCAATTTCCGTTCATGTGCACACATACTGCATACTGAACGGAACCTGCGGCCTCCACCTGACTATGAACATTTTTTACGCCGGAGCTCTTCATTCGTCTGGTGTCTCTCGAACAATGGGAAGTTATCTCGGAAAGGGCGATGTTAAGCGTTCTCTGGATATGAATGATTGGTTTAAAGGCATTGTCACCATGATGATAAGGTGATGATGATGTTGCTGCCTTCAGCCTTGGCGTTTAAATGACCTGCATGCATCCCTTCCTCCCTTTGCCTGTCCTCCTCTTCCTCTTCCTCTCTCTGTGTTGGCTCTCTGCATTTATGTGTGTGGCGCTGCTCTGTTATCTATTTTGCTTATATGTGTTAAATATTGAATGTAATGTATATGTATGAATAAGAGTGTCTCCTCAGGGTCTCCACACACAAATAGGGACTCTAAATTATGACCTGAACCAAATTCTAATTGTTCCTGACTTGCTTTGGAATTCTCCATTTAAACAGCAAAATCCAAACCCCCCCTCCAGGTAATAGAGGGTTCAGCATCACATTTGGAACAACATGTACATAAGTATTTTTAAAACAGGATTTCTGTTATTTCTAGACAGGGTCAGTCCCATGATTCTGTTTTTGTGGTGGGGTGTGGGAGAGGTGGTGTTTCTGATTTTTTTTTTTGTTTTACTTCATATGCACCATCAGCTATAGAACAATCCTGTTTTCCTGCAGTGTTGCCGTCCATAATGCTGGTGCTGAACGTAGTACTAGGGTCATTTACATCTTATAAAATTAAAACAGTACTCCCAGTTTGTCCTCTTTGTGTGCAATCTGGAGCCATGCACTTTAACCTAGCCTGACGAATGTAATGCTGTGCGATTAGCTGATTGTCTCCTCTCAGAAGCAGTAAAATAGACATACCAAGGACAATCATTGTTTTGTCCTGTTTTTTTTAACTAATGATCAGTGGTAAATTCACTTGTTTGAGATTGTGTCTCTTTGTCTGCTCTTGCAGTGCCTGTAACTCTTTCATCCAGCAGATGTTTAAAATGTAATTTGTTCGCAATAGTTTAGAAAGCAAGTGATTCAGTAAATATTACGAACTTTTTTATTCCTCATATATAAATGTATTACATACATGTAGCAACCATCCAGTTGTTAAGTCACCCCTCACTTTCTGTGGAGGTTAAATGATCCCCTAGACACACATTATTTATGCAAAGTGTCTCTTTGCATAAATTTGATCTAATATTTTATTTTACAAATAATAGATAAAATAATGAAAACACTCATATTTTAAAGTTAACTAAACTTTAGTGTACATGCAATTCCTGCTTTAAGTATATATTATGTTGGTGTCATAAGATTAGAAAATATAAAGCTATAGAAGGAGCTAAAAAGGGCTACAATTTTAAAAATGTGGAACATGCAATTAAAATATAATTAAATGTATGTCTAGCTTTGGACAGTTTCCTATATAAAATGTAACAAAAAGGATAACCAAGCAAGGGAAATCATCTCCCAAGAAAGAACAATTGAGAGAGGGAAAAAGAAAAAGAAGCAAACAATCCTGATTTACAGGTTTTTAAGAGTCTGTTTAAAAGTTGTATTGTCAGTTTAGTCTAGTCATTACTGTAGCTATGTTACAGGAGTGCAGATTTCAGATATGTCTTTTTTATTGTACATTTAAAGTAGATGATGTTCCCTGCAGGTTTAACACAAACCATGTGGTACTTGCCCTAATATGCATATTGAAAGCCTACATGTATTTATGAATTGTCTGGTGTTCCTGTTATTTTGTCGGGCCAATATAATTTCAGATTACTCACAGAAGAGAAAATTGTATTGATGAATTCCTCCATCTTTAGGTAGTTTATGAATAACTAAAACGTTAGAATATTCCTTTCACTGAAAAATTCCTCTAATTGAGGACATCTGGAGACATCCAGTGATCCGAGTAGGTCTTAGCAGCGCAGCAGTGGCTAGAGCTGTATTTAAAAAAAGAGAGAGAGGGGCATTTTTATTGGATTTTATCTTTGTAAATATTCTTATATTGCAAAACCAGTTTGTGTGGAGAATCTACGAGGAGGGACTGAACTCTATATTTTTCAGTTTTTTCTGTTTAGAAGCACAAAAAATTATATACTGGGACACCCTCTGGGTGTTATGTGTGTGAGTGAATGTGAGAGAAAGAGATTATTTGTAGTGGAGAAGAAACAAGATCTTTTTTTAATCTCGTTTTTATTATTTGCTCTAATACTGTCTTAATCCTCAGCTATAGAGTTGGACAATATGAAAAAAAAATCTCAGTTATGATATAATATGAAATATCTTCATGACGATTTAGATGGTAATTAGAATGCTGAAGTTGCTGTAAATCATGCTAATAGTATGTTGCCAGGTTAGCCTTGTCCCTGTTGTCGGAAGATTGGGAGATGCCAGGTGATACCACAGCCATCCATGGCCGGGAGTCCATGACAGCATAATTGACCTCGCTCAGACTGGGTGGGAAGGATGGCTGTTACATGTAAAGATGCGGTGGTGCACATGCTAGCCTTAATTCTCCCATCATGGTAGCATCTTGTGGGAGACCTAGCTAGCAGGTGGATTTGACAGTGACTACAACTCCAAAAAAAAGACATAACAAAACAAAAAAAAACACCACGTCGTCCCCTCGCATTCAAGCTGTTTTTTGCTTTATTCATTTGTTTTTTAAAAACGACACCTTGTGCGTTGCATGTTACTCACTTTACACTCCTTTGAGCTAAAGACCCAATTTACTGACAATATTGGTTATGTTTAAAAACAAGACCCTACTTGACGGTATAAAATTTACACTCCTAAGCCCGAAGGGGTAATGAACCACAGGATCTGCAAATATACACAATATAGTTTAGAAAAATTTAGAAAAATACAGACTATATCGTTGCTGTCCAAAGAAAAGCAAGTATCTCTAAAATAGCAACTTTACAGGAGAGGGAAAGAACGCTCTTTACTTTTAAATGTAATTTAAGTAATTACTTTTTAATGTAAAAAGATTTTATACCAAGCAGTTTCGGAGCATGCCTGTTGGTCCAGTGAGCATTCAATTTTCACTCAGTGTAAGGAGCAGCTGCTGATTTCAAATAATGTAGAAAAATAAAAATTGACAAAAATAGAGATTCTTGTTTTTCTTTGATAAACAAAATATTAATAGTGAATTTTGATTATTATCCAACTCTACTGTTGAGTGGTTCTATATTATAGAAAGTAAGATTAGAACAATTCTGTGTGTGTGTGTGTGTGTGTGTGTGTGTTTGCAAATACGTATGTGAGTTTGTATAGTAAGATGCTCTGCGCTTGTCAATATTGTTACAAAGCCAGGCAACCACAAAGATGTGTGTATTGAGCAGGTACAACACTGCTGTATGTGTGTGTGTGTGTTTATCTCCTCTCAGGACTGAAGACCATTGTGGGGGCTTTGATCCAGTCTGTGAAGAAGCTGTCTGATGTGATGATCCTGACTGTCTTTTGTCTGAGTGTATTTGCCCTCATTGGCCTCCAGCTCTTTATGGGCAACCTCCGACAAAAGTGTGTGTTCTGGCCAATCAGCAACCTCACCGTCACCTACCTGTCCAATGGGAGCAAGGGCTTCGACTTTGATGAGTACATCATGAATGACAGTAAGTAGAAGCACCTCTTGGGTTTGAAGTAAAAAAGCAGCCTTACAGGCAGCACCCTACAGTGTTTTTAATGCAGATTTAAATACACACTTTTAATCGTTGCCCACAGAGTTAAAGTTGTTTTGCTGTATTATTTAAATGAAATGTCATAATTACATAATAAATTACAAAATTATTTAATGAATTACATTTGCATTTGATTTATATTATGGATTGACAGGTTGGAGACTACTCTAATCTTCATCAAATTCAGCTGATAATATCTTCTCTTCTACTATGAACACAAATGTAAAAAAACACAAATTGAATGTTTGGCATTTGCACTTTCAATAGAACAAATACCGTGCATGTGTTAAATAAGTGCCAAATAAGGTGATGTACTCAGTTGATGACTTTAATTTCAAAATATATATTAACTTTAAAATATATGTGTCTCCCCACTAAAACGTAGCTTTCATTTACCTGAACCACAATCATTATATCATGCTCATTACTATGTGTGTCTCCTTAAAAGTTACTTTGCAGAGTGTATGTCTTTGTTAATGTGTAAGTAACACTTTGCTTTTTACAGCTAACTTCTACTTCCTGCCGGGAATGCTAGACGCTTTGCTGTGTGGGAACAGCTCTGATGCTGGGTGAGCCATGTACACACACACACACACACACACACACACACACACACACACAAACAAACAATCAAGAAAATTAATGCAAGAAATTAGAATTGGGTATGTTTCAAAAGTTTTTTTAACAAGTGAGTATATTCTGTCAAACTGACTGTTTTCAGTTACAGTACACCTGCCTGCATTTTGATGCTTTCAGCATTGCATAAAAAACAAAACTCAAATGAGCACCTTTTATTGTACATTTATGGAATTTGTGTATGTATAGGCGGTGTCCAGAGGGCTACACCTGTATGAAGGCAGGCCGTAATCCAAACTACGGGTACACCAGCTTTGACTCATTCGGTTGGGCCTTCCTTGCTCTCTTCCGACTCATGACACAGGATTTCTGGGAAAACCTTTATCAGCTGGTGTGTATTATCCTCCCTCCACTGCGTTGATTTCTCCTGCCTCTCCTGATCTTTTCATCTTCTGTTACGCATAAGTTCATGATGCACAGTCCATAGGTTTCCAAATTTTTTCAAGTCAGTTTGAGGCATAAAACGTTCCAGGTTTCCTTAGAAAAAAAAAAACCTATCTGCCAACCTTTACTGTCACACAGACAAAATGCAGGAGTTAAACATATTGTCTCGAATACAGTTTGTAATCATTTAATATTTGGTGTTACCATATAGAAACTAATATATAGTGAGGAGTTTTTACTTTAAATACTTCCAGTGCATATATTCACTTCAGCTTTACACACGTAGTGTCTTTTGACTTTGTTTTTTAACATATCTTAGTTTATACTTACAAATACATACTTTTTTGTTCATATTTAGATGTACAAAGAGACATTGTGTGTGTAAATCTGAAGTGGACACATCATTACTACAAGGAAAGAAAAAACCTGAATACTTGTTTCCCCTCACTGTGCAATAATATAGTTATAGTTTAATCAGGAAGCGTATGGATTTTAATCCACAACTTTCTGTCTTATTTTTTTGGTCTGACAGACACTGCGAGCGGCAGGAAAGACATACATGATCTTCTTTGTGCTGGTGATCTTCGTGGGCTCCTTCTACCTGGTGAATCTGATCCTGGCTGTGGTGGCCATGGCCTATGAGGAGCAGAACCAAGCCACCATAGAGGAGGCAGAGCAGAAAGAGGCGGAGTTTAAAGCTATGCTTGAACAGCTCAAGAAACAGCAAGAGGAGGCACAGGTACGTTCAGTGGGGTCCAAAGGTCTGAGACAACATTGAAAATCTGGGATTTCTTCATTTAAACCTGCAACTAAATAAAACGTTTTAGAAATACGTGAGACTAAAAAAAGTTATGACAACTAAAATGAAGAAGAAATATTGAAGATTCAGCACTATTTCTAGGTCACTATTCAAACTGAAGCAAATTAGGGAAACTGACCATGTTAAGGCTTTTGCACACATTTAATTAGACAACTCTCAGGAGGATTTGATCTACTGATCAGAGACTTTTGCATGATCTTATGGAGTCCATGCCAGCTTGAGTGCACACTTTCATTAAAGCAGAAGGGGGACATACTGTGTAAATGAAGACATTCTGAAATTCATGTTAACATTTAAAGATTCTACTTTTGACTCAAATTGTTATGCTGATAATATCATTTGTAATGAAAAATGATGTATTAAACAAAAGAATGAAGAATAGAAGCATTTTCACCAGTGGTCTCAGACCTTTGGACCCTACTGTACATACACTCACACATACACACACAGGGTGTAAATCTCAGATCCCACAGTGATTTAATGCAATTATAATTCTTCAGGAAATGATTCAATATCATTCAAAAATCAATAAATGGATCAGATTATTATGGTATAATTCAGAATTGTTTTAAAAAATACACTGAATGCATAAATGGCTTGAGACACTATTAACAAAGGAGTGGAATGTAGACATAAAAAAGATTAAGATTTGTTACAAAATTTAATTCTATTGTTCCAAATCGATTCAGTCGAATCTTGACCATCACAGTGCGTTGATATACACATTCATGCAAGAAGAAAATACCTAAAGGCCATTTGTAAGATCCGGCTTCATATGTGCTCTCTTAAGCCCCCCTTTTTATTCTCTGCTCCCTTTGTGAAGCCTGCTAATTGTCTTTTGTATCTTTCTGTCATCCATGATCTCTCGAACATTAGGCCAATGCCATGGCCACCTCAGCAGGGACGGTATCAGAGGATGCTGTGGAGGATGATGGAGGAGGACGCCTGTCTCGCAGCTCCTCAGAGGTGTCCAAGCTGAGCTCCAAGAGTGCCAAGGAGCGACGGAACCGCAAGAAAAAGATGAAGAAAGAGCAGGAAAAGGAGAAAGGAGACAGCGAGAAGGTTGTCAAATCAGAGTCAGACGAGGGCAGCAAGAGTTTCCGTTTCCGTTTCCCTGACAACAGACTGGGCAGGAAACCCTCCATCATGAACCAGGTGAGAGCAGGGATATGCAGATTCATGCACATACTCAACACATGCATGCTCACATGCACACAAATGAAAATACATTTGTTAAAAAATACACAAAACATAATTAGCATAAGAATAACATCCACCTACAGTCAAAAGTTTGGACATGCACACTCATAGAGGGGGTTTTCTTTATTTCATTTGTTTTCTACATTTGATTTTTTTAATGACTTCAGTCAGAAATGTTGGCTTTCTACCAAAGTACCAGGCTGTTTACACCCACATTGCCACACACAACACAACTGAGTGGTTGAAACACCTTAAGAAAGACAAACTTTGCACAATTTAACTGTTAAGGGGACACACAGTACTGTGCATGATATAATGTTTGTGGTTCAGGTAAATGAAAGATACTTTTTTAGTTTGGGGGTGGTATAAAAATATATATTCTTTTACATTTTTTTTGTAAATAAGTTCATAAATTAGCATCAGCTTCATTATTTATATTTTTGGTTTAAACAAATTTAAAGCATTCATTCATTTGCCTTGAAATTGGGTGTTTTAAGTAATTAGAAACAAATTAAAATGAGTATGTCCAGACTTTGGGGTGGTACTTGGTGCAAACGGAATAAGGAATCAGATGAGTTTTGTTTTAAATATTAAAATGCTGTAGAATCTAATGGAATTCAGTGATTTAGAAATTAGTCTGAAAGAGTCTGTTGGAGAGTGCCTTCACTTACTTTTTCAAGGTATACTTTTAGCTCTAATGAACTGCTTAATGTCTTCACTGGTGAGCCCAAGCTGTCCTAAAACTGTACAAAGTACAGAGATCATGCAGCAGGCTAGATTGCTGGCCTGAGAACGAGTGTCGAAATGTAAGCAGCAAATGTAGCAATATTCATAAACTACATGGCATTCAACACCTGCTAAGCAAGTATTCAAGTATATAGATAATGGCATAAACCATTAAGAAATTCACAGAGCTGTGCAAAATGCAAAAAACATATATATGTAAATATATAAATGTTTTGCATTGTTTTGAGAAACAGTGATTTTAACCCTATAATGATCTGCTGAACCATTTGGCAGAGCACATTTTGAGTCACTATATATGCCACAAACTGCTATCTCGACCGTTTAAAATTGTGGGGTCAAAAAATGAAAAAAAAAAACACCAATTGTTTTTATTATTGCCCCAAACAAATAAAAAATACTGAAAAAAATCCATTGCTTTTTTCTTGGTGAGGACATTAAAGGGTTAAAGATTTTAAATTTCAGTAGTGTCGTTTTGAGAATGAATGGGAAAAACATCATAATTTTGATGCAAAATGGCTTTTCACATCCCTGCCCGTGGCTGTAGTGGTGGGAAGGGGTCTGTCTCTCCTGCAGTCCCTGCATTTCGTGAGCTGATAATGACTAATAGTTGCTGTTGTCAGTTGCTTGTAGTAAAATCAGGTGACTCCCAGCCAGTCCCAGCCCAGCCCTCTTTCTTCTGCCTTCTGAGCTGTGCAGTTACTGCCCCCTTTTCGCTGAGTCATCGTCCATTTCACCACTATGATTAGACAAAGTGCACCAGCCTTGGTCCCAGAGATCAGAGGAAGTGCCTATGCCCATTCATCTATCTACACTGTCTATATTTCTTTGTTTTATCTCTCCATCTTTCTCTCACTTTTTTTTCTCCCATTTAATGTCACTGTGGTCAAAAAATTAGAGATGGTTCAGACTACCTGAGGCCTCTTTATTTTTTTGTCTGTTCCTGTCTCTCTTTCTCATTGGCCATTTTAGTTATAGTTGTGTAAATGTGTGTGTAAATGTCCTGATGTTTAAAGGTAGTTGCTAGATGACATTACTGACACCTGTTTTTAATGCTAGACTGTCTGTGTATGCTGTCGTAGAGAGGAGTGGGGTGCGGTCTTAGGACGCCATGCTTTCGCTGGCCCTGTCTGAATTATTCATCCAGCTTCTATAAATCTTTCATCCCCTGCTGAGAGCAGTAATATGCCTGTGCTTTGGCAGGACGTTGAGCTCCTGGAAGACTATGGGCTGAGGCCACATCCTAAGCTCCACCCACAGGAACTGCTTCAGACCAGTGGCATAGCAGAATATCTTTTTTTGAGTTGGGCCTGGCTACAGGTTAAGGGGGCCAGGTAGCAAGCATTAAAGCCCAGAGACATTGCTGTAGAGAGGATGACAACCAGCAACTGGTCAGCTTCATTATGGCTAATCGTTAGAAAATCATCCAGTGATTACTGTAATTTGAGGGGAAAATTATTTTTGAATGCTAAACACATTATACATTTTTGAATATTAAATGTGATTGCTGACCTCACATTTACATGGCTAATTAGTTACTATAACAGCTGACAGCATAAAACGATGGGTGAAGGCTAATTAATCAGTGTGCTGCCTTTTACAGCACTAGGTGTAGATTTCTAGTATGAATGGTTGAAGACTGTGCTTTTCTTGTTGTTTCTTGTCGTATTGATCTTTTTACTTTACTGCAGTCCGGTAGTCTATAGAAACTAGCAGAACTAAGCAGAGCTAAGTTCTCACCACCTGGTGAAACAGTAGAGCGAGCTAATGCTGTGTTTGCATGTTGCCGTTAAAAAGGCGTCATTTAGTACTTTTTGTGCGACTGACATAAATGCTGCCATGGTGGTAGCATTCACCAAAAATTTGTGGTGATCTAAAGAGAGGCTTTGAAGTGAAGCGCCCTAGGCCCCCTTGGCCCCCCCAGCAGCTAAGCCTCTGCTGTGAACATGAATATTATTTTTTGTTTGTTTGTTTTTTCTCCTCTGCCTCTTTCTTGTATTTTTGAAAAGTTTTTATTTTTTTGCATTTTGTTTTGTATTTACATATAAATCATAATAATACATATAATATGCAATTAAACCCATAACTAATTTGTTTTACTGAGACCGTAAGACTGTATATGTGCTATACTGACAGGCATAATGACTGATTATTAGCACACAAACATTGTGTCCTGATGTACTAGCCAAGGCTGTTTCTTGATACCTCCTCTCATATCTGCTAGTGCAGCAGTGCAGGCCTGACCACTTTACCAGATCAATCCCACTCTTCTCTGTAAGTGAACTGAGTGAAATAGCCTTTGCTGAGAGGGCGCTTGGGCTGTCTCTGCTGTACTTAGTCTGCAGTGGTCAACCGCTCCATTAGGGAGAGGCCACTCAGACCCACCTCAGTGAAAGTGCCTGCGCTAGCAGCTAGCATTCTGCACTCTCAGTGAATTTCACCTAGCCGCTAACACTCTGCAATATCACTGATTTTCATCCAGCACCTTGGGTCATCTGTGAATTTCAGCAGGGAGTGAGCAGCAAATCTTTGCCAGGAGGTGATAGACAATACTGCTACATTAAGTGTTCAACTACAGTGTTTACCAAACATCTGAGAATTTATATGAGCTGAGACCAAATGCAAAAAGGTAATACTACAAATTATTACAGCAGGTAGTCATTATTATCTGTAAAGCAATATAATATATATGGAAAGTCCTTTTTTAAGAAAGACCTAGCTGCTCCTGTTGCGTTTTTAATATATGAGCTATAGCTGGACGATATGGCAAAAATGCAATACTGTGATACTTGTAGAAATTTTCACCATATACAGTATGTCACGATATTTATTTCTTAGACATCAGTTGGAACAGAGAAAAAAGAATTAGTGCTACATTTTAAAAAATGCTATCAGAAACTGTGAACACAATGATTTTTATCCAGTATTTGGCATACTGTGTTGCACTAAATCCAGCTAACAGGACTGCAGTTGGTCATTGTTCTGCAAGTACTGATGATATGCACAACGTTCAGAAAAGTATGTTGTATCGTGACAGAATGTATCACAATAACAATATTTTTGTCATATTGCTTTACTGATGCTGTTCAAATTAAGATGCTGTCTCACTGTTTGCATTTCTTTCTTTCTCCCTCTCCTAGTCTCTGCTGAGTATACCTGGCTCGCCCATGTCTCGCCATAACAGTCGCAGCAGCATCTTCAGCTATAAAGGGCGCTCACGGGATGTGGGCTCGGAGAATGAGTTTGCAGATGACGAGCACAGCACAGTGGAGGAGAGCGAGGATCGTCGCGGCTCCCTCTTCATCCCTTACCGACGCAACAGCTACAGCGGCTACAGCCAAGGCTCCTCACGCATCAACCCACTAGCGCCTCACTCTGGCTGCAAGAGGAACAGCACGGTGGATTGCAACGGCGTGGTGTCTCTGATCGGGCCAGGGCCTGGCCGGCTTCTGCCTGAGGTGAAAATAGATAAGGCAGCTACTGACGACAGTGTAAGGACGTCAACAGGGGGAAGGTTTACAGTATAGGCATGACAGTAGCGACCGGTCTCTATCCCAATTCCTTTTTCCTTATTCTTCTCCCTTTTGGCCTTGATCCTATCCTTCTGGTCTTTCTGGTTTGTCCCCACTTCTCCTATTTTTGATACATTCTTCTTCTTCTCACACTCTACTTTTTTGTGCCCATGCAAGTCGTGATCTAAATCACCAGTTCTGAGTAATCCGTCCAGTCCCCAAACCCTGCCTGCAGTGTGCTGCTGTGAATGGCACAGCCAATTAAAAAAGACAGCTCAGGAGAGCTTTCCAGAGTCCCCCTTTTGCTTATGATCCCCATCCCAAACAAACCTCTTTCTTTTCGAACATTCTTCAAATGGCCGAACCCTATAAACAAAGAAGTTGGTTATCATTAGCCTTCCAGTGCTCATCTATCCAATACTACCTGTGTCCATCTAACCTTACTAAATCCACCATTTATTTTTTACTTTTTCTCGTTTTGTCCACCATATCCACCTCTTCCATGGACTGGGAAGTTCAGGACCAGTCCTCAGTACTTCTCCTCTTTTTCCAGTCTTCACTCTCTCTCTCTCCCCAAATAAAGCGTGATGCAAGAGAAACCTTTCCTAACCTTTCCAGTAACAGCATTATGCCTCATCTTAGTTAGCATGGTAGACTGACATCCTTATACTCTCTATCCAGCTTCTGCCTTTATCTTCTCTGATTGACGCATGATCTTCGGCCCAGCTTTCACAGAGCTTATCAACTGTCACCACACAGCTAATTGTATTAGTCTATAATCTGATTGAATCTTCTCTGCACAATGCAATTAATTGAGTATAGGCAACAACTTTGTGGGAAACTTCTTACCTTATGGATGTGAGCTATCCTTATTTGAGATTGTGTAGTAGAAAGAACAACAAACACAAAAATTAAAGCAGCTCAAATGAAAGAAGTCACCTTTTGAATAACAGCATGAAAAAGGATGAAATCCTGTGATTTATCTGTGCATTTCATAAGTTGCGCTGCTTGTAACTAGAAATGCCTGACAGTAGGGGTGGGAATCTTTAGGCACCTCACGATTCGATTCGATTACGATTCAGAGGGCTGCGATGCGATTATAAAACGATTATCGATGCATCTCGATGCATCTTTTTTCTCTATGCATGATTTCTATCTTCCTACTGTCTGAGGACTTGGTAGTTTTAAAGCAAAGTATTTGTAATGATCCATAATGTAAATGCATTACGGATCATTACAAATACTTTGCTTTAATTATCTAAAATATCTTTTATTAATAAATCAAATGGAAGTGATGTGGCAAGTGAACTCTCATTCAGAGACGCTGCTGCCACTCATCTGCGATAAAATGCGCTGTTGCCCTGAAATAAGATCCAGTGGCAATAGGTGTCCACGCAGTACGTTACAGCCACCCTTTTCTCGTTGTAGAGAGTCGGGGGGGGATGTTTTCGAGACTGGACGCTGAATCTCAGCTCCATAGTGTGCAGCATAGCGCGAAAGCCCTGGTTCTCAACGACTGAGAACAGACAGCAGGTCACATAGCCCCGAAGTCTGGCCTCGCCAGTAGCGAACGAAAAAACAGATTAAGACGAATATTTGGAGGACTTATTCGCATTTATAAGCAGCGCGGTTGGTTAAATCTGCTGAGAGACTGTCTTTCTCTAAAAAGTTGCGAAAAATAACTCGCTTCTCTTTCGTATTTTCCCGTTCCATTTTAAATGGTGCAGCAGTTACATTCGGCGCCTAAGGCAGAATTTAAGGTGGAACAGGAAAATTAGAACGATAAACTGGCGAATGAGAAGCGACTTCAGCCTCGTAAAACAGCCGCATGCTGAGACATTTTACAAGAAACTCTTCTAGTTTTGAAGAAAAGTTTTCTGGCGGAGATGGGAGGAAAGCGGCTAAAGCTAAAGCTTAAAGCAGAGCGAAGTAAATCTGCGCTCTCGTTTATATTTTTAGCCCATACTAGGACATTATCACATACTGAGACATACTGGACATTAAATGTTGTGGCTCCCAAGGTGGTTTGACTTCGTTGAAAGGCAAAATGGCTCTTCTTATCATTTGTGTTGTGACTCCTGACCTAACCTGGCTTTTAATGCAGAGGGAGCTGGTCGGATTTCTCGCTCCTCCAGTAGTGTTTTTGTTATGTGCCACCAGAGACTGTCCGGGCGCTGCACTTACCCACTTCCAGTTCAGCCTTTTGCGTTCCGTCAACATTACGTTATAAATTAAATATTTAGAAAATCGATTTTTGACGTTGAATGAATCGATTCAGAATCGTTCACGTCCGCATCGCGATGCATCTAAGAATCGAGTTTTTCCCGCACCCCTACCTGACAGTAATGTAAAGAGCATACACATGAGTTTGTGAATTGCAAAGGACAAACTAGTACTTGTGCCTCACAAACCTGATGGAGTCAGTTGTGGCAGTGGAGTCTGGGCCACAAAGTCTTGAGCAGTGTTTGAATTTGCTTCTTTTCCTACTGTGTGCATGTCCATGCATGGTGTTGTGATTGGAACAGGAGTGTGGTCTAGTTACTTGACTGTAAGTATCCATTTCTCAGTTTGGCAACAAGGCTAGGAATGATAAAGAATATCAACTGAAGTTATATTAGAAAGTAAAAGTCTGAAAGAAGTCTGAAAGATCAGTTTGTTTTTGAGAAAGGCAATTCAAAATGTAATAGAAATATAATGTAGGTAAAGTCCTAGATTTAATTTTGGGAAATGTACTTAGTTTAAGATTCAGATTTAATGTCAGTGTGTGCCAAGATTGAAGGCCCAGTCCTATTATCTTTGCATTTGAAGAGATAAATGTCTTTTGGTTATCAGTAATTCTCAACAAGATTTGTTTTGTAGCTCTTATTTATAGTTTTTGAAAATTCTACTCAGTGGAACTAGTATTCTATTATTATTATCGATCTAATACGAGTATTACTTCTATGAGTACTATTATTCTAGTGGTACTGCAACTTGTGAAGTCAGGTGTAGGTTTTGTGTAGGATTTAGAATCAAGTTTTTGTCAGGCAATGACAGCGGTTGAAGTGTCAGTGGCTGTGAAAAAATCCCAAATCTTGGAGCAGGTAAATCTTAGTGTGGTTCCGTATTCATGTTTAGTGGTGTGTGAGTTTATTGATGCCACCCTCAGCCCTCTCACACTTCCATATTTTCCTCTTCCTCATTCCCTCGCTCCACAGACCACTGAGGTGGACGTGAAGAGGAAACATTCAGGCTCTCTTATGGTGTCAGTGGACCAGCTCAACACGTCTTTTGGACGGAAAGAAAGAGCTAACAGTGTGATGACCGTCATCACTAACACACTGGTGGAGGGTACTGTACTAAGACTTCCGCTCCGTAATAAGACATGCATCTCTCATTTTTCCAAGCAGCAATTTTGACTCTTCTGTTTTTTTACTTTTCTTTATACAGAGCTGGAGGAGTCTCAGAGGAAGTGCCCACCATGCTGGTACAAGTTTGCTAACACGTTTCTGATCTGGGAGTGTTGTCCACTCTGGTTGAAAATTAAGGAGATAGTAAACCTGATAGTGATGGACCCATTTGTAGACTTAGCCATAACAATATGTATTGTGCTGAACACCGTCTTCATGGCCATGGAGCACTACCCTATGACGGAACAATTTGAAGAAGTGCTGAGTGTTGGAAACCTGGTAAGATTTTTGTTATTCTCTGTGCAAAATAAGTTTTTCTTTTACGAGGCTGACTTTATGCTTGACCCTTAAACGTCTGTTCATTTGACTTTAAATATTTAAATGTGATTGCATATTTACTTAATGAGTTATGTGGGTATATACAAAAGTAATTAAAAGAATCTTCACGTTCAACAGAATTTTTCTGCTTGCTTCAAATAATTTTAGTGAGAAATGAAGAGTTTCATTCCAAAGTGCTGTATAACATGCTTTTTTAAGCACGTCTGGTACTTTTATTAAGCACAGACTGGGTGCTTACTGCTCGTAGGTCACAGCTTACATGGTTAGAGTGACAGGCTCAGTGTATTGCTGTCACTGCATTCTTGACCATATCTACACATAGTCCTTCACACTGCACCCTGAGTAAGCCTTTTAATTAGTTGGTTTCCCGTCATTATCTCAGGGATTTTGAGGTGGCTGGAAAATAGTGTCAATTCAAAGCACTGACCTTTTGGTAGCTTCTGCTGATCGCAGGGCGCTGCGCGTGTGTGATGCTGTCTAATAATAATTCCATTTCTTTTAACATATCAACCAACTTTGAAACTGTTATCTGTATAGAAATGCAGTGGATTGTCTGATGGAGAAGATGGTCCTTATAGAGTGTCTTTTTCTTTGCTTTCGTAATTCCCTGTTACAGGTGTTCACAGGTATTTTCACAGCTGAGATGTTTGCGAAGCTGATTGCGATGGATCCATACTACTACTTCCAGGAGGGCTGGAACATCTTTGATGGCTTTATTGTGAGCCTGAGTTTGGTGGAGTTGGGTCTAGCTGATGTTGAAGGATTGTCAGTGCTCAGATCCTTCAGATTGGTGAGTCTGCATGTGTGTGTGTGTGTTCACTTTAAGCAAGTCAGTATAAATCATTACTTAAGGTTGAAGTACAGTTTAAAGGACTATTCACAAGATGCAACTGTTTAAAAGGGAGCTGCTTACTGCTTTAACAATTTCAAAGAATTGCAGAAAGATGGAATGTATCACAAGTCAAGAATATTCTTTAATTGTTATGTAATTACTATCTAAAGGGTGAAAATTAAAATGCAAAGGACCAGATGTCACATTATCACTGATGCTGCATGTTTGGCTCTAACCACAGTCATTTGCCATTTTGATTCTTAACCTTTTAAGGCAGACTCAAAAAGGTGGCTTTTTCTGTCATTTAATGTCTTCTTCTCCATTAATGATTTCTTAGAGCTGTTGTTGCATCTAACAATCCCTCACATGTCAGGTGTGTTTTAACTTTTCTGTGATTAAATAAAACAGTAATAAGCTTTTACTGATACAGATTGCGTTCTGAATGATGTTGCAGCCTTGCTTTAGAAAAAAATCACAGTAGATCCATCAATAAAGGATGACTTGTGCTTCTTTCATACACTGATAAAAAACACTGTTTCAACATGTGGGCCGTGTCTCCCTGTGGCCCACGTGGACATACAAGTGCCATAAGTCAGCAGATTTAAACGAAAATCCCCAAATTTTCAGAATAGGTTGCTAGCTTGGTTTGATAGAGTTAAAATGTAGGAATAAATAGATTTTTTAAATGCAGGTTATGAAAATGTTTTTTGGAACTTGAGTTTATATAGTCTTAAGCATCATGAGATCAGTTCCCAACCCCTCCATCACTAGAGTTCTCCTTTGCTCTGTTCTCCCACAGCTGAGGGTCTTCAAACTGGCTAAGTCATGGCCCACCCTGAATATGCTGATTAAGATCATTGGAAACTCAGTGGGTGCCCTGGGGAACCTGACCCTGGTGCTGGCCATCATCGTCTTCATCTTTGCTGTGGTGGGCATGCAGCTGTTTGGAAAGAGCTATAAAGACTGCGTGTGTAAGATCGCTCAGGACTGCGAGCTGCCACGTTGGCATATGAACGACTTCTTCCATTCCTTCCTCATTGTGTTCCGCGTGCTGTGTGGAGAGTGGATTGAGACCATGTGGGACTGCATGGAGGTGGCTGGCCAGACCATGTGTCTCATTGTTTTCATGATGGTCATGGTCATTGGAAACTTAGTGGTGAGTTCTCCCATCTCTGTTTACTTCACTTTGCAGTGCTGACACCTCTTCCTTGCTATTCTGAGCACTCAAACTGAGTGGTAAATGAAATTTTTACCAATAATGATATTTTGTTTATTGTATTGGTATTATTTTTTATTTTAATTTTGACATTGACGATAGGTAATTGTATCTGATAGGTAATTGATAGGTAATTGTATCTGTATCTCATTTGAAAAGAGCATAACGTGCAAATGGTTTACCTCGGATAAGCCACATTTTTTTTCTCTGCTCCAATCAGAGCAGGCCTTTTTACAAAACCTTAATTTACCTTGAGGTAACTCTCATTGCTAAATAGCCTATTTAACATCATAATAAAAATGACAACAATGAGAATTGCCCAGAAAATTAAGCATCCAAGAAGTGTGGTGTGTCTGTAGTTTGGAGCAACTTATGTTTAAAGTGACAGTGACAAATTATGCAAACATTGGCACAAAGTGGTTTTAATATAGAGAGAAAACAAAACAACTTTATTTTATTATTTATAAAGAAGTGTACGGTCAGAAATGCCAAGAAAGAAGCTATCAAACACTGTCATACTGTTGGCACTAGCGATGCCACCAGACAGTTGTCCGTTACTGAGGCAATTACACTATAATCAGCACAAATTTCACACCAAATATTTACTGTATTATGATCATTTGAACTGTATAAATGCCCAAACAGTAAGTAATGGTGCTTTATTTAGTGTAACATGTATCACTCTCAAGGTATTTTGCTGCTTTTTTTTTTTACTGTTTCACAGCTCTAGTGACTTTCTGAGCTTCTTTTGTCTCCTCTCTGTTCAATTTTTAATCTTCATCACTTCTTGAATACTACATATATAATGTGATATGATACATCATGATCAGTGTGGATAAACATCACCTCTTCTCTGCTAGGTGCTGAATCTGTTTCTGGCCTTGTTGCTCAGCTCGTTCAGTGCTGATAACCTCGCGGCCACAGATGATGACGGGGAGATGAACAACCTGCAGATCTCAGTCATCCGCATCAAGAAGGGCATCGCTTGGTTAAAAGTGCATGTACGACTCTTGGTGGCGCATATTTTGAAGAAGGCTCCTCTGGAGGACGAAGACAAGCCTTTGGATGACATGTATGACAAGAAACACAACATCATAGGAAACCACACAGGTGTGGACATAAAGTGCGGCGACCTTGACTTTGCTAAGAATGGTAACGGCACGACCAGCGGGATTGGCAGCAGTGTGGGGAAGTACATGATTGATGAGGACCGCATGTCCTTTATCCACAATCCTAACCTGACCGTGCGGGTTCCCATCGCTGTGGGTGAGTCGGACTTTGAGAATCTGAACACTGAAGACTTCAGCAGCGAGTCGGACGTGGAGAACAGCAAAGAGGTGAGTAGGAGAGAGAGACAGGGTGAGAGAGAGAGCATTGTGAAATGATGGATTCTGAGGCATGAATGAAATAATGAGGGAAAGATGAATATTGGAGTAAAAGGGGGATTTGTTGACGTATATGAGTTGACCCTTTGTGACTGAAAGTTTCACCACCAACATATTGCCTTTAAACTTGAAAAACTTACGAGTCATTTGAGATACCAACACAGGGTATCTAATGTTTATTCTGTGTTACACTGGTAAGCTGAACGGTTTGACAGTGTGCTTTATTGTATGCCGTACTTCCCTGTGCATTGTCTGTCCCCTAGATCACTTTGAATATACACATCTGATCACTTTATTAGATACACCTAACTTGTATCTACACTCTTTGTCCATCATCAGATCCACCATGTAGTTGGTAGTTCTGCAATTACAGACTGTAGTCCATCTGTTTCTCTGCAGTACTTGTTAGTCCCTCTTTACCCTGTTCCTGAATGGTCAGAACCACCACAGAGCAGGTATTTTTTGAGTGGTGGATCATTCTCAGTGCTGCAGTGGCGGTGATAGTGGATTAGACACAGCAGTGCTGTTGGAGATTTTAAACACTGTGTCCACTCTATTAGACAGACCTACTGTTGGTTACCTTGTTGGTTGGTTAATATACCTGGATATCATGGTATTAGATGACATTTAAGTTTAATAAAGTTAATGAGCCCCTGAGTACTTCCCAAGATACTGTATGCTAAAAAATGTCTTACGAACTTGACATGTTCTGGGGACATATTATATATTGTGAATATAGTGCTCGTTATTAATACATTATTTTTGAATCAAAAATTAAAATATAAATCAGTATTGTTGTGTGACACATAGCACTAATACCAGTACACTGATATAGATGATATATTGCCCAGCACTAATCAATCAATGGTTAATAATATAATATAATATAATATAATATAATATAATAATGTACATCTTTTTGCTCTTCTTTGTTGAATTTGCACTGAATCAGAGGAGACAGATGGATCAGACAGATGGATCAGACTTAATGATAGTTGTAATATATCAGGTTATGGTCAAAAATGTATAGCTTTGTCCATGTACAACTTTTAGGCTTAGGTCCTACAGTGTTTGAACCTGAGAAAAAAAAGGTTGATTGTGATATTACTTAAACATTTTTGATTCCCCAAATGGCTGTAAATTTTAGTCATCTTAAGCACTTCAGCATTCAGCTTTTCTATGGATGTCCACCCAGATTTATTGTTTATATTTAAAAAGCTGTAAATCAGGCTGAAGGTCTTTTCAAAGGTGAGGTTGTTGAACAGGAAAATTGAAAACTGAAATACCATAATATATCTATATAAGTTGCTGAATTGATTTCTGTATCAGCTGAAATTATGCTTGTGGAAAAATTCTATGTGTTCACTATTCTACATGGAATTGAAAAGGGCTTAGTGGTGCTTACTACACAGGACTTTAAGCAGTTTGGAAAGAGGTTATCCAGGCGATCCAATCAGGCACAGTTACTCTGCAAGACAAATACAGCTACAACTACATAATATTGATATGACAGTCTAATTGAGGAGGTGATTCAGGCAGTCTGGCCTCGATACATTGCTCAGGTGAGACGGCATGGAGGGGAACATGTAATTATCCAGTGTGGGCATTAGATTAAAGCTCTATTGAGTCTAAGGAGAAAGGTATAATTTGAGATTAAAGAAATATGTCGAGAGAAGAATAAGAGGGTTTGGGATGTGATAGTCAGTTTAAGAACTAGATTAAGGTTTATGAGGTTAGTGCAGCTTAGCAGATTATTGCTAAAATAGGCTAGTGTTGACCAGTGTGAATGATTTGGTACAGTCATGGCTCTAAATCCATGGTGTAATCAGATTATCATTCCAAATGACTGAAGCAGCTTTTCATTTGAGTAAACTAGTGCTGGGCGATGTGTCTAATGTTTGCAATATATTCACAATTATGTTTTTTGTAGATAAGAATTAGGCAACATCTTGAATATCATGGTGATCTTAATGTTTCACTACACTCATTTTACAGGACATATATGTCCCAAGGATTGTGACATGCAGCCCCTCTTTGTCTCACAAGTTTGAGCATGAGCTGTATGATCAAAATGTGATGCTTATAGCATGTAAAGTAGTTGAAAAGCACAGTGAATAAGACTGCTGCTCTGCACACAGAAGATCAGGGTTCAGTTCCCTGTTCAGGCAGAAATACAGACATCAAATGCTGCACTTGTCTACCATATTAAACTGCTTGGGATAAGAGTGTTTACTGAAAACATAAATGTACTCAGAGAGAGACAGAGAGGGTGAAGAAGAAAAGACCTCTCTGATCACCAAACACAATCCCTTGCAGTATAAAAACAAAATAGAATTGTTATACAATTTGTTCTGTGTTCATTTAGTGATGATTATTTACTGTTTTTTACTGTGTTTTATCTCTTATGGCAGTAAACAGTTTGAATCTACTCCGTTACTACTTTGTTTATCGGCAAGTATTATTGCATTTAATGTGTTTAGCCCACATTTTGGTTCTTCTTATTGAAAAATCACTCTTTTGAGCCATTTCAGAGAGAATGCATAAACATCTACATATATATTTGAAGGGTCGTGTTCCAAATCCTTTTTTTCGCAGTATATGTTGTGTCCAAAACACGGAAAATTATACGGATAAACATTTTGAACCACATTGTCTAGCCCAAAGTGAATCTGTTTTTGGGATAAAAGGCCTTTGAAACAGGGCATTTGCTTGTCTGCTTGTATTTCAAGTGACGACTTTGGGCTGCACAATATATCCTTTGTTAATCATTTCAACAATAGTGATACCACCAAGGCTGGCATTTTTTAAATAAGCTCTTTAACAAATCTCTAAACGTTTTATGGTGTGCTGTAAGCATCCTGACCTATTCTCACACGTCCCAGATGAGTCTCTGTGGGTGTTTGGATGAATCAGGGCTTTTGCATCATCCAACAAATGTAAATCATTGTGGGCAAAATAATACAAGCTTGTCTTTAACCACGTTAAATGGTTCACCAATAGCACTTTGATATATTGCAAGGTATATCACAACTGCAATGTATCAGATTGTAATATAATAGCAATATGGTGTTTTGTTCATATGGTGCGGCGCTAGTGATCTACAAATCCCCCACAAAGTATACAATTTGTGTCAGTAGATTAACGGCACCAAATGAAGGCACTATGAATGTGAGGTATAAGAGAAGATGAAGTCAATATGAGTGGATTAAGGTAGTATGGGTAGATTCATGCTGTGTAGGCTGTATGGCCATAGTGTTGAGCTGGGATACTGCCGTGATTTATTGCCTCCCTGCTACTGCTGAGTGCTTATCCACTCAGCCAGAGAATAGATGCAGTCCAGGAGATGATGTAATGTTTTTCCTTATTGGTCTGATTTCTTCTGTGTGTGTGTGTTTGCTCACTGTTGTGGATTTACTGTACACACTATTTGTACAGTGTGGCACAGGAAAGAAGAAAGCACCTACGGTGTTAGTAATCATGCAGAGACTGATACATTAATATAATATGCTAACAGAAATGACGTGTGGGCAAGCAGACAGTACATAGACAGACTTACAAAAGACTCTTAGATGGACGTGTGAGTGATGAGACCTAGGATTGAAATGGTATGCGTCCCATGCGTCTTCCTCCAGTGCGTTCGCCATATCTCCCTCACCCTCTCGCTCACTTTCTCTCCTCTTACAGAGGGTTTCCTGTCATAGTCTGGGTGTCTGTGTGATGTCTAGGTCACCTTGACCCACTTTAGAGGGACAGATCCAGTACCACTGGACTACACGTGCCAAGTGCTGAATAGAGATCCAATGATGTTGTAGCAGGTAGTGCTGTGTAGCCAGTCGGGGCACGGCTGGGTGGATCTGAGTCTGTGATTGGCTGGGCTGGGTCAGTGAGGACTGCAGTGGTGGTGTGTGAGTGTTCTTTGATTCTATTACTGCTTCTGTGTGTGTCTGTGCGTGTGTCTGTCTGTGAGTGTGTGTGTGTGTGCTGACGACAGGGATTTTTTAAAACTGCAGCGTCATCCCAGCTTGCTCAGATCAGGGTTGGGCCCTGCCGGTGGAGACTCGGCTGTGATGGACTTTGTATATGAATGTGTGCTTGGTTGGTGTATTGTGATTAGAACTTGGCAGCTCTTTAATTTGTGGGTTCTGGAGTTCAAAATGTGCTGCTGTGTGTGCGTGTGCCCATGTGTGTGTGTGTGCATGTGTGTGTGTGTGCTTGCTGACATAACTGAGGTTAGGATTCTTTGCTTGCGGTGGTTCCTCCTCTTACAGTTACCCCATCCATACAATTACGTAATCCATTCAAATTAAATTGTAGATGTATCTAGAAGTGTGCATTGTGCCTGAAGTGTCTCATATGTTTTTCAGTAAATCTCTGTGGTAGATCAAGGTGTGCATGTCAGCGTTAATGAGAGGATCATTGTTAATGATATTAGCATATTAACTTTAATGATGTCCATGTCATTTAGTAGTTTATATGAGACCTATGTATGTGACATCCATATATTAAATGCCTTTAACCCCTTAGCAGTCGCATTTATAATGAAAGCAATTTGTAAATTTATAGTAATTCTCACGTGTAATTCTTTGAAACAGTTGGTGAAATTCTAACTTCTAAACTTTCACATTTGATGAACATTAGATTAAAGGTTAGTCTTGTGTGTACAGTCTTTTATTGTGTAATTAATTATGTAATTACATTTAAATAATACATAATGCAACAAATGTATCATCAAAATGTCATTGACAATTCTAGGCTTGTTCTAGTGCATGCATACACCATCTGCGATAGCTGAAAACGAGACTTTGATTGTTAAATAATGTTCACTGCCATTCAAAAGTTTGTAATCACTGTTTTCACTTAAACCCAACAAAATAGCATGTGTATGTATAGCATATCTCCAAAATGAGAACATTACAGAAGAAGGAAAAAACCTCATTTACTTATAATGTAAGACAATGGAACCAGAATTTTTTCCAAGTCATTTTGAGCTTGGTTACTTTTGGTCCATTCGTCATGAAATTTATATCCAATGTAAAGGACAACAGGTAATTTTAAATTATGTCAAAAACTGAAAAACAAAAATGGAGATACAAGGTTTTCTTCTGACAACAGCGATATATAAAGTAGCATATATAATATGAAATCAATTTGTTGCAAGTGCATCAGCTATTTTATAGGAGGCTGTAAAAATGAATAAATTTTAGATGCATCCAGAATGATGAACAGAGCTGTAGATGGCTCCGTAATAATTGACGAAGCTGTATAACATTGAGATTAAAGTTATAATAAAATTAACATCTAGAACGTTTCATATTTGAAAAGTGGTGTTCAAATTTCCGGACAGGTAATTACTTATTTGTTACTCATGTCTCTAAGAGAATATCAGTTACAGCACAATGCATTTAATAAGTCTAGATACATCATCCACACCTGTCCCTATGTATGCGTGTATGTGTGCACTACCTGCGATAGCTGAAAAGGAGACTTTGATTGTAAATATGACCAGCATGAGAACAGGCGACTTTCCACTGCCGTGAACTAAGCAAACAGTCGTTTATTCATTCTAGTATGAAATTTATTGCTAAACATTCCCATGCTGAAGAAACAAGAGCACCAACCTCACCTTAGCAGTTCTGATTTTTGTTTAGAAAAAGCTCTGTTTTTATATATGAAGATTTTATTTCGAGGTAGCTGTTTCTACAGACTAGATTCTAGATTTTTAAAGCATTAGCCACTCGTAATTCTAAAACAGCAAAACTGGCTGTCTTATTAAGAGCAAAGGCAGGGTTAGTAAAATGCCTTTTATGTGATTGGTTAGTTCTTTCTAAATAATGTACTGAAAGGACTACTGGGTTATCTCTTCCACTTTTAAATCGGTGCAGATTTGTATGGGTTTTAGAGTAAGACGTAAAGTAGCAAGTAGTGAGATTATTTCTTTCAGGAAGGCATAAATAAAGTAATCCATTGCGGTATGAAAGAACTAATTAGTAATTTGTAATGGTTTACTTTTTTGAGTAACTACATCAACACCAATTAGGAATGCAGATATCAGTAGGCCATCAATGTGCAGTACACAGTGGTCCATTATCTCTCCCTGTGAGAAATGAGAATTCAGTGTGCTTGTCTGGACTGAAGACTCTAAGGGTTACTAAGGTGACTGATATGGAGTCAGTAGATAAAACATCAGTGGTCAAGTACAGAGTTGGAAGTGGTCATGGTCTGAGGAAGCTTTACACTGTCAGGACCTGGCCCACTAGGCAACACAGCCAGAGAAAAATAATTTTGCTTGATATCAAAGAATTTCTCAAGAGCGAGTAAGGTCATGATCCAAAACACACAAGTGTGCTTAGAGTGGAATGGCTTGAGCAGAAGAAATGAAGAAGTGAAGTGTTTGATGATCTGGTCTGGACATATAGCGGCAAAACCTAAGCCAAGTCATTCATGCTTGAAACCCCCCCATAAATAAATGAGTTAAAACAAGTCTGCATGGTGGGCCAAAGGTGAAGTGGATCAGAATTCTTCCATGGCAGTGCAAGCACGATCTCCCAATAACTCTCTCTTTCTCTCTTTTTTTGAAATGATTTCTCTTTCTTTTTATCTCAGTTGGATGACACCAGTTCTTCTGAGGGCAGCACTATAGACATAAAGCCTGATGAAGAGGAGGTGGCTGCTGTGGAGGTTGTGGAGGAATACCTTGATCCAGAGCCGTGCTGGACTGATGGTAAGCTACAGTAGGTACAGTACAAGGTCTGCCATTGATAAAGTACGGCATACTGTGTAGTTTATTAACAATTCAGTTTGGGCAGGTGCATAATCAGAAAACTGCCATGTTCTTTTTGCTATTATTTTTACCAGTGAACTAATCTGCATGTGTTTCAGACCTCTGTGGTAGATAATTTGAAATAATCTCTTAACTTTAATGCCATATCAGTGGCTGATTATGTGTCTATATACATGTTTATTGTGTTATGCCAGTAAGAATGCGGTTGAGAAGATGCAGTAGGTCACTTTAAAACACTGTTACACATAGTTGTGTAATGGTTTATATGTAATGTGTAATGTATATGAAAGTACAGTAAATCGTATGTGTGCTTCAGCTTGTGTGGCGCGGTATAAGTGCTGCGACGTGTCCATCACTGAGGGCTGGGGCAAGCACTGGTGGTACCTGAGAAAAACCTGCTACCTCATTGTAGAACACAACTGGTTTGAGACCCTCATCATCTTCATGATCCTGCTCAGCTCTGGGGCTCTGGTGAGGACATACAAATGTACACACATATGTGCACATAGCATCACACAAATGCCAAAACATTAGATTTGTCTGATAGCAGTCAAACCAAACAGCAGCATAAGCAGTTAGCTAGCATATCTAAAATGACTAGACTGATAATGTGTTCCAGTGCTAATGTGTTCCCCAAATGATTTTTGGGGATTATAAAAACAACTGTACACTGGAACAGAGGTGAGCTTGGATGCTTTGTGCTATATGATGTGTAGTTGACTAATGGCTGCTGCTGTAGTGCACTGTACTGGCTCCTGTAGCTCAGCAGTCTGTCTTGAGGCTGCAGTATCTTTGGGCTGCTCTAAGGGACTGTAGCCAAACACTGTAGAAAAAGCCCTACATGCAGAGGATTCTGCAGCATCTCTTGCAGCCACTCTTAGGGACCATGGCCAAACTCAGCATCTTAATGGAAGAGTTAGTTAATGTAAGTGAGGTTGCAGTGCCACTCTGTGGTGAAGCTGTAGGGAGCGTAGCCAAATGGATGATTACAGTCTAGTTCAGCCTTGTAATACACACAGAGAAAAGTAAAGAAACCCACAGACAGACATGCATTTAGGACACATTAGAAATGGGTGACAAATGTATGAATCACAAAGGTTGCGCTGTGATTTTGTAGTTGTTTTCCATCCATGAGGTGATGCAACACCTGAATATTATGGTATCATCTCATTATTATTGTGCGTAGCACAGACATCTATATATGTTTAGTAATTATCTTTTTCAAAATATTTTGTAAGTATTTTATCCAAAAATGAATTTCTGTAATATGAAAAACAAAATGTTCTGGTTTTTTTCAAGGCGTTTGAGGATGTGTACATTGAACAGAGGAAAACCATTCAGATCATCCTAGAATATGCAGATCGAGTCTTCACCTACATCTTCATCCTAGAGATGCTGCTAAAATGGGTGGCTTACGGCTTTGTCAAATACTTCACCAATGCCTGGTGCTGGCTGGACTTCTTCATTGTGGATGTAAGTATCTCTATTCATCCATCTCCCATTATACTTTGGCAATATCTCACCCTCTGTTTGCCCATCACTCTCTGTCCCTCTCTCTTTAAGCTGACGTCCAACAAGCCGATGAGTTGTCACTATGATAGATAAACCTGAGTAACAGAGCTTATCTCTTCACTTTTCGAGACTTTACTTCAGCCACAAATGTTTTTGCTTTGCTTTATCATTAAAGTTTTCTGTTTTTTGAATGATTGTTTTTATATTTAAGCTAAATTTATTATACACATTTATTCTTACATAATAACCTTTGGGGCTATCAAGAGAGTATGGGTGTGGGTGGTAAGCAATCAAATGTAACTCATTCTCATCTTCTTTTAGTCATATTTACTTTGCAAACTAATCACAAAATGAGTCATGCTAGCTCATTAGCACTGAGATTTCTCTGTTGCTCAGGCATTGAGTGACGTGAAATTGTAACACTGGCTATGCATATTAACTTTTCTTATTGTGTAAAAATGTACATTTGCTTTGATGATATATAACATTTTTATGTTGTGTGATATTTGTTCAGGAGGGCACTTTATATCATAGCTTGACTACAGTGCTAACATGGTTAATTTAAAGTGAATGGCATATCTATCAATTAGCACAATTAAGTTAGCCTAACATTGTGAAGCCGTTGTGATCAACCAGCATTCACTGATTATTAGCCATGTTAGCACGTCAGCTTGATTGAACTACTCCTTTAATTAATGTAGTCTCATCCTTAGCCTGATTGGGTTTCCTGTTCTTTTTGTGTTTAGCTCAACAATCTCTAGAGTCATAAGTCAGTCACTGGTATCATATGTGTCACACTACAGTTTTGATTGAGCTACTGAAATATTCATTACGTTAGTGCTATGTGGATGAGATTCATTTTACATAGGGAGTGGGGTAATGTAATTTTAACATAAGACGTCTGTAATGTTTATGAGGGATTTGCATTGGATTAGTAATCTCAGTATAAATTACCGAGATGGTGTCTGCTCAATGTACGCATCGCTATCACAGCAAAAAAGTTCCATATGCAGTACATCTTGCTGCTCACAGTAGACTGTCTGTCTAGCTGTCTTAAGAAAATGCAATGTGGCATTAGCTTTGTCATTACCATGTGAATTTATAGCCAACGGTCACTTTACATGCTTTAATGTTAGGAGTCATACACTTGAGGTAGGACAATACTGACTCGATTTGGGCCTCAGAAAACACAAGTAAATGTCTCCATTCGTAAGAATACCCACAAAAAACCCTTTTTCTACATGATATGATAGAATATTTAGTAATATGGCAATTTGCATGGGATTAACATCACTTAGATTATTTCTTTGGTTCACCTCATAATCAGTAAAAGCTGGGGAAATCAATAGGAAACATTCGAAAAATTACGTTATCCCACCTCCCTTTAGGTAAAAATAATTCCATCAGAATAGTACTAGTGTCAGTCAAAGTTAGAGATTACATTCTCTGGGCTTGTTAGTGTCCAAAAAAACAATGTTTATTGTCAGTTTATTTAGGGTTGTGTATAAAAATAGAACATTCTAAATTTGATGAGTTTAGGATATCAGTGCTCACTTATGGCCATAAATGTTATCAGACGTGTCAGTAATTTAATGTGTGGATTAATCCATAGACATGCAGTACTCTGTAGATTTTAATGTGTTGTATCCTTACTAATTATATTCGCTTGCACAATTTGCACTGAATAACAGTTTCCAGAAAACAGATTTAACAGCAAAAGTTAAAAAAATGAGATCAAAAGCATTCATAAATTTGTACAGACATGTGATGTCATTGCCAGCAGACATTTTCAGGTTTGGTTGGATAGAAACTGCTATGTCATCAGTCCACGTGTTCTATTTCGTCAGTCTCTTCCTGTTGAGTTCTACACAGTGACAGGTGCTGAATGGACACCATGTCAGGATTCATGTTCTGGAAAGGACAGTTTTACCCGTCCTTGGTGAAACAGCAGCCTCAATAATTGGCCTTGTTCCATTGTTCCCCTGCAGACTCTAGTTCTTTTCTTCTTGCTTTTTAAGCACTTGATCAAAAGTATGAATGGCCTGTCTGTGAAGACAACTGAAAGGAAAAATTTGCCAGCACTACACAGTATGATTCATGGAAGAAATTCAGAGAGCACTGTGTAAGTAAGTGTACAGTGCCTGTCAAATGTTTGGTGACACCTCACACCTAGCAGAAAGTGTTGTTTATAAATGAGCATGTTTTCTCTATTGGTTTCGGTTAATATATAAAAAATGTCTTTATTCTACAGAGGTCTACTTTTATATTATATAGACCGATTTGTTTGGCTTAGAAAAAAAAATTTGTTTCAAAATACAAGATTGCAAAAGTACCATGCTGTTGTGCAAAACAGTACATACAAAACAATACAACAATAGATAGGATGTGTGCGTGATTTTTATTTTTTCGCAAAATACAGCAACGATAGATGCTTGCATGAGAGTGATTGGCGTTTAAATTTCAATATACTGTTTAGGGCATAGATTTTTTTTCAGATTTCTGATACTGTATTGGAATTGTTACACCCTTTATGGTTGCTGCTGCATACATACAAACAGTCAATTTTCCTGACTATTCATATGAACAATATACTGCTAAGCCTTTTTTATGTTTTTTTTTTATTTTTGATATCATCACAAATGTTTACATGTGTGATATTATTTTCCTCAAAATAAACACGGTTAGTCTTTATTACAAACTGACAAAGACGCACATGTAATAAAAACATTTTGAGATGCTAGATGTCATCAAACCTTTGACAGGCTGCGTATGCATCAGTTTGTACGGACATACTCAGTGCTTTTCAGTGCACGTGCAGCATTTAAAATTGCAAAAGCAGTCTTCAAACCATGTATCTGATGGTGCTCAGGAGGCTGTTGATAAGTCAGGTCTATTCAATGATCGACTGAAGTGAGCAAAGGTTTGAATGTGTACATGCGTGAAAGCTGTATTCAGATTGATGTGGCTTATGTCTCTGACAGGTGACTGTAACCTTGTTTTTCTTTAGCGCTGATGGATCCAGAGGCACTGAGGGGCCTGTGAGGGCCGGGGAGTGAGGGGCCAGGGTAAGGTCACTGTTAGGACTCTCTCTCTCTGACAGGAGCTCCTCTTTCTCTCTGCCTCCTTGCTCTCCCAAAACCGCCCTCCCACCCTAACGACTCTCTACTAGTCTTGTGTGTACTGTATGCGGTGCGTGTTTGTATGTATTGTGTGTATTTCGTCTGTTCAGAGTACAGTGGATGTGCTTGTAAAGTCTGTGCACACCTCTATGCCTCTTCTTTTTAACGTTTCCCTCCTCCACCTTCTCTTTGTCTGGTCTTTCTTTCTCTCCCAGTATCTCAACCACACGTTTCCTTCCAGGTTTGCTGTTAAGCCGCTTTCCAAGCTTCGTCTGCCTGCAATAACAAAACAGATCACATACTAAGACTTAAGGAAAAAGCTTGGGGGCATCCACCATCCCTATAACACTTCTGACCGGATAACCCCACGTTTAACCTTACTCTCTCTCTTTTTGTGTGTTTATATAAGCATATATACATACATACATAAACACACCCTTATCTATGTATGCATATATCTGTTATGTCTCTAACTCTCCAGCTTAATATCAACGTAGGGTCCTCTCTTTCTCTCTCTCTCTCTCCCCAACGTCCTCCTTGACTCTAACACTTTGGCCCTCTCTTTCTCTCTCTCTCTCTCTCTCTCTCTTTCTTTCCTTCCCTCCCTTTCTTTCTCTGTGTAGGTGTCTATAGTCAGCCTTATAGCTAATGCGCTGGGGTACTCAGACTTGGGCCCCATTAAGTCCCTGAGGACTTTAAGAGCCCTCAGGCCTCTGAGAGCTTTGTCCCGGTTTGAGGGCATGAGGGTAAGATCCAGAGCTGCCCAGTGCATGCCCGTCACTCTGTGACAACACTACCGCATGCTAAGAATCATCATTACGCAAAAATGGTAAAGCGTAGTCCGAAAAAAGGCCAATAAATGTAGAGGATACGCATACACCAATGCTACACCATTGTGGCTAAGATGCACTTTAAATGCATGTATATTGGAAACATTGGCATGTAAATTTTCTCAACATTGCGTCATGATGCAGCTGAAATATTTAGACAGTTTGCTAGATAGTTCCATTCACTAGTTTTGAATACAGCTACATTCGCATACAGTATTTTTAAGATCTTTACTTTAAAGTACTTATTAAATAAATCTATCATTCTGGTTAAATTTTTGGTTAAAAGCTGCCTCATCACAAATAGATAGCAGTAGATGTACTCTTCTTATTACAGTTGGGCTGAGAAAACAGTCATTCATGCCACAGCATTAGTTCAAGGTCTGTTTATGATGTGTCAAGCATCCAATTGCCTAAGCAGTCCACTGCTATAGTAGTACCTCCACCTCACCTCCACCCCTTTCCAGCCTGACTTCAACACCCATATTTTGTCCTGATCTACTCAACCCCCTCCCCAAGCACACACTTCCACCCACCGTGCAGCCACAGGACCACATTCAGACATCTCAAAATGGAGGCAAACCCCAGCTTATATATTAGCATCATCTTATGTAATATTTGTGAAATACTCATGACAATGCTAAGACTGTCATAGAGGTTGTGATCATGATTATGAATCAGCAAAGGAGGAGCATGAAAAAGATACAGACATGACATCTTTATATGCTATACTGATATAGCATATAAATAGATATAGTTATTGCTACTGAAAATTATGAATTGGTCCCTAGGTAAACTGAAAACTGTACTGGGTTTGTTAAGAATATGGGGTTTGAAATTTGATCAACGTGATCACTTTTAAAGCAGATATAGTAGCATTAAATTGTTAAATTAATCTTACTCTTGTAAATGTAGGTGTTTAGAACTTAATTTCAACTGCACTCTGTTAATACATGTCATGTAACTTGCATGCTTTTCCCAGTACACACGGCTTAAAGCAAAAAAACATGCTCCCCTCTGTGGTGTGTATTTTAGTACATTTACCTCTGAATGAGTAAAAAACAAGCCCCATCACCTTATTCAGAGAGAAACATAGTTATTTACATTAGCAGAAAGATTTTTACTGAAATATGCTGTATTTACAGAAATATGATATATATATGACTTTTTGGTTGGCTGTGGCAGTACTGGATATGGATCATATCCATTTTCCTCGCAAGCCTAGCTGGTAAACTTGGGCAGATAGCCATGTGCCAGAGGGGAACATGGTAGCAGTTAGCACTCAGGCCTGCTGATGGCTCTGCATGATTTGTTAGCCTGCCATGTCAGAGCATCATCCAGCCAGCCAGTGACATCATCGCTTTTGTGTGTATCATAAGAATGTGGTCTGGGGAGGTGAAGCTTGGACACATCTCCTCCATTGGCTGAGGTTGTTCTCTGATTGACTGATTTTTTCAAAACTCAAAAGTAGTATACTGGTATGGCAAGAGTGTAAATATATGAAGATTCAACTGGTGGAGATTAACAGAGTTTTGAGGATTCTCAGAGGATAATCCTGTGATGATGGTCTCCACAAATGTATTATAACTAGCTGGCTTTACTTGACTTTACTTGACATTTGTGTATTTACATAACAAAATCCTTGCTCAGCTTTCTGTGGCCTACCTTGGCTTAATTTGTTGCTATCAGGTCTGGACCTTCTTCATCTAAACAGTGACCTGGTATTCAGTTTGAGCGTACTCTTTTTCAGCTATTGTCAAGACCTTTGAGAGCAAATGCCTCACATGGCAGATCTAATGACAGTACCCGATCCACAGTGTTGGGGACATGCTAGTAACTGTTAAGCCAAGAGGTCTGGACAAAAGATGAACACGGGTGCTAAAAATAAACTGAGATTATATTTCTTTTCAAACCAAAATAATATTCTGGAAATATCTTACTCTTAACTGAAAAGCATTTTTTGTTAGAAAGTCTCTTTAGACGAAAATAAATAAAATGACCATAATCACACTTCCACCCAGTCTCTTCAGCAACTACACTCTTAAAAATTAAGGGTTTTATGTGCAGTGCCATAGAAGAACCACTTTTGGATCCCTAAAGAGCATTGGTTCTTTAGAGAACTGTTTTTGTAAATGTTATGTATGAGAGTCAAGAACTTTGTGAAGTTTAAAGACATCTAGTGAGAACTCTTTCTTTAAAAGGTTCTTCAGACTTACAGATTTCTTTTTCAGACATTTTTTTTCAAAGAGTGGTTCTTCCATGGTATTGTTCAGAGAACCTTTTGTGGGACCTTTTTTAAACAGTATTTGACTTCACTTCAAATCAAATCAGAGGCACTTGCGCCATTCCAGTGTGCAGCTATTGTTTTTATATGTTAAATGACTCTTTTTTAATGTATGAATTTCTTCAAAGACATTACATGTAGATAATTAAGTACTAAGCACAGTTACGAACTAAAGGGAATTTCACTCATTCTTGGCTCATTAAACCTTTGTGCCCATAAAGCTTTTAAAAGACAAATATACTCCATGCATGTTTATTTAAACAGTCTCAGACATTGTTCATGGAGAGTTTCAAATAAACAGCTGACAGGAGGAACAGCATCAGACCAAACCCCATAGATTCAGACACATAATGTAGCGAGTGATAATTTCATTACAGATGTAAAAAATGAGTTAGGTTCCCTTTAAGGTTGACTTTTTGGTTTATTTATACCACTGTTGTATGAGTATACACACAGTACGTAGATTTAAGGATCAGAATGGTCTTTTGTGAGTTGTTCTCAGACTTCTCTCTCTCTTCCATCTGTCTTCCCACCATGTCTCCTTCTTTCTTTCTGTGTACTAGGTTGTGGTGAATGCTCTGGTGGGAGCCATCCCCTCCATTATGAATGTGCTGTTGGTGTGTCTTATCTTCTGGCTCATCTTCAGTATCATGGGGGTCAACTTGTTTGCCGGGAAGTACAACTACTGCTTTAACGAGACAGCAGAGGAGTATTTTGATCCGTCGGATGTCAACAACAAGACGGAATGTTTTGCACTCATTAATGCAAATTACTCTGAAGTTCGCTGGAAGAACGTCAAGATCAACTTCGATAATGTGGGTGCTGGCTACCTGGCACTTTTGCAAGTGGTATGTGTTATTTTTTTAATACTCTGTTATTAAAGGAATATAAATGCTATATAGCTATATATGCTATCGAGGCCATGTTCACTATTCACACTGTGCAAAAGGCAGAGATCACCCTTCATTCATGTAATTTCAGAACAGCCAAGCTATTCATTTTTTATTGTCAGAAAAAAACAGAAAACATATATTTAACAGAAAATTATACAGAAGACTAAACATCTAAATATAGTATCATTTTTTCAGTATTTAGTGGGTCCATTCTTTGCCTTTATTGCAGCATTCTTTTCTGGAGACCTGCTATCAAAGAAATCTGTAGGGATGTTTATCCACACCTACAAAGTTCAGTCTTAGAAGTTGGTTGCATTTTCTGCTTCTCATGATCCAGATCATCCCAAACACATTCAGTGATATTGAGGTCTGGGTTGTGGGGTGGTCAGTCCATTGTTCTGAGAACATCAGCAGCTTCTTTGTTTGATTTGTAGTTTGCAGTTTGCACTTTTTTTTGTTTGATTTTTTTTTTCCTTTCTAAAGTGGATTGTCGTATATCTAATCTTCTCAAAAGTATCTGAATAAATTTATACTACTCATAATTAACTGAATGAAGGGTGGTCTCTGACTTTTGCATGATAAAATGCATTGTTTCTGGCACAAAATTATTGGCCAGCTAAATTCTCATGGACTAATAAGTCCAGGCTGAAACATGTGAGAAACAGGCTAAAACACTGACTAACTGACCCCTTTATCCTTCACTTCTTTCAGGCCACATTCAAAGGTTGGATGGACATCATGTATGCAGCTGTGGATTCCAGAAAGGTAAAAATATCTCCTTATTGCTCTGCCCTGTATTTCTGTTGTATGTATTAGTTTTGAAATATACAGTGAGCTTTCCGTTTGTTTGATTTGAGTGTTGCCAAATCTGTTATTGAGCTGGTCGTTCATGTAAAGACATGCAACAATCTTGACTACAATACGTGACAGTAACTGCTTTCAGTAAGTTGTTGGTTTTTGTTATTTCCAGGTTGAAGACCAGCCACTCTATGAAGACAATATCTACATGTACATATACTTTGTCATCTTCATCATCTTTGGCTCCTTCTTTACACTTAATCTCTTCATTGGTGTCATCATTGACAACTTCAACCAACAGAAGAAAAAGATAAGTGTTCATCTCTTTACACCTGTTTTCATTAATGTAATCTCCTTTGTCTACTCTTTCATGCCTTGGTCTATCTTCTAGAATGTGCTAATTATGGTTTAGCATTAAAATTGAGTGTTTTCTGTGGGAGACACTAAAATCACTTTGGACTTACTTGCTTAAATCTAACGAAGCACCACAGGCACGCATGTCATTACAGACGTAAATTGCCAGATTGTAACCATTGCTGTTTTGTTCCCATACTTTGGAGGCCAGGACATCTTCATGACGGAAGAACAGAAGAAGTACTACAATGCTATGAAGAAACTGGGCTCTAAGAAACCCCAGAAGCCCATCCCCAGGCCACAGGTATGCCAACTGCCATCACTTTAAAAAACAAGGCAAAGAAATACATTTTTGTATTTTAACATCCTGACTTCCTTTTGTCTTTCAGAACAACATTCAGGGCATGGTGTTTGACTTTGTCACGCAGCAAGCCTTTGACATCTCCATCATGATGCTCATTTGTCTGAACATGGTCACTATGATGGTGGAAACAGATGACCAGTCACAAGAGACAGAGAACATCCTGTACCGGGTCAACTTTGTCTTTATTGTGGTTTTCACTGGAGAGTTTGTGCTGAAGCTCTTTGCACTACGTCATTACTATTTCACCAATGGCTGGAACATCTTTGACTGCGTTGTGGTGATTTTGTCTATTGTAGGTAAGTTAAATGTACATAGGCAGATGGTCCTAACCTGTTGGGACAATTTATAATGTGGGGTGTAAATCTGGGGTGAGGGGAAAATTATGAAAATTAGATTTTTTTGCCACACTGGTTCTTTAAAACATGTATTTTAAAAATTTCAAATTTGCCATCGTTTTTAGTCACACTTTCCTTTAATTTGAACGATTCATTATTTCTCTGTCTCTTTGCCATATCGCAGGTATGTTCCTGGCAGACCTGATCGAGAAGTACTTTGTGTCACCTACTCTGTTCAGGGTGATCCGTCTGGCTCGAATCGGCCGCATCCTGCGTTTAATCAAAGGAGCCAAGGGCATCCGGACTTTACTGTTTGCTTTGATGATGTCACTTCCTGCCCTATTCAACATTGGCCTGCTGCTCTTCCTGGTTATGTTCATCTTCTCCATCTTCGGCATGTCCAACTTTGCATATGTGAAAAGGGAGGTTGGCATTGACGACATGTACAATTTTGAAACTTTTGGAAACAGTATGATAATCTTGTTTATGATCACCACGTCAGCCGGATGGGACGGCTTGCTGGCACCCATCCTCAACTACCCCCCTGACTGCAACCCTTCCAAGGAAAACCCAGGAACCACAGTGAAGGGTGACTGTGGTAACCCTTCAGTGGGAATCTTCTTCTTTGTAATGTACATCATTGTGTCCTTCCTGATTGTAGTAAATATGTACATTGCCATTATCCTGGAGAACTTCAGCGTTGCAACAGAAGAGAGCGCTGACCCGTTGTGTGAGGATGACTTTGAGTCCTTCTATGAAATCTGGGAGAAATTTGACCCAGATGCCTCACAGTTTATCACCTTTGCCAAGCTGCCAGACTTTGCAGATACATTGGAGCACCCTCTACGTGTGCCTAAGCCCAATATAATCGAGCTGATCGCCATGGATCTGCCCATGGTCAGTGGAGACCGCATCCACTGCCTGGACATTCTGTTTGCTTTCACCAAGCGTGTGCTGGGTGACAGCGGCGATCTGGACATGATGCGTCAGCAAATGGAGGAGCGCTTTGTGGCGGCAAATCCTTCCAAAGTTTCATACGAGCCTATTACCACCACACTGCGCCGCAAGCAGGAGGAGGTGTCAGCCGTGGTCATCCAGAGGGCGTACCGGGCCCACTTGGCTCGCAGAGGCTTCGTCTGCAAACGCCAGCCTGCCAACAACAAGCTGGAAAACGGAGGGACAAATCAGGAGAAGAGGGAGAGCACGCCCTCTACTGCGTCCCTGCCATCCTACGACAGCGTAACCAAGCCGGAGAAGGAGAAGCAAGACGACAACAACGAAGGCAAAGGGCGTAAGGAGAAGGGCCGAAACCAAAAAGATGTCAGGGAATCCAAATGTTAAAGCTGCAGCAGTGAAACACACAAACACTAACAACGGTCATGATAATAGAATAACAATAACAACTCTAATTCAAGCAAGACAAATGGAAACCCTGAACCAAACTACACAGATGTACAGATTAATTTCATTTGCAAGTAACAAAATGATATAAAAAAAATCCAAGATTAAAGGAACAAAACAAAAAATTGTTTACAAACTTCACAGGTTGTATGGATGCGGCGGAAAGCGTTGGGGTTTCTTCAAGCTTGACTCTTAAAAGTTAAACCAAACATAATCAGCTTCCTGTGTGACACTGTTGCATCAAGACTTGATTTAAACAACATCAAATAGGAATTTAACAAAGGATTGATACTTGATATCGTGTATTAGAGGGCTACTCTGCGCTTCAGGACAGAACTCGTTACTAAGCAGGAATATGAGAAACCAAGGGAAAACTGGGATTCACAGCATGGTGTTCCCCACATCTGGAGAATCCCGTGCTTATGCAGTGCGTCTATGGAATTTCCGTCAAGGAAACAAACACTGCTTATTATGGAAGAATCAGCTTCCATAAGCGGACAGCGGAGGAGTCTGTGCCGCTTCATTTCACAAATATGTGGATGAACTCAAAAATGATTGTACGAATGAGCAGGGATCAGAGTGTGATACACAAAACTTAGAGCTTGGCTGATTCAAATGGTATCTTTGTGTTTGTCAGCACTAAATATACTTTACATGGTCTTTACATTATTTGAGCGGCAAAAAAAGGAAAAAGGGGAGGAACAACAACAACAAAAAAAAAATCAACATTTAACATTTTGCCCATGTCACCCTCAGTAACTGTCATCATATCTTTGTTATACTTGCATCAAAAGGCTTTTTTCTACATGGGCTTTCACACTGATAGGATAGGGGGCAATTACCAGGGGCCTCCAATACACATCTCCAAATGAATAATAAATTATTGTGCTTGTTCAATGCATAGAAATGACTTGCATGATGGCATGTTTTGATCAGAAATCTTGCATGAGTAATCATAGTCCACAAGACACTAATACAGACCACCACAGTGGCTTGACAATACGTTAAAGGCTGTCCACTGGCTAAATTTACTACCAGGAATTGAGTATAATCTGAGAACTAAATTGGCTGAAGACACTAAATTACATTGTGTCCTTTACTTGTCTCTGTTACGTACACTATAAAATAGATCAACTTTGGGTTTTTGGCTTCAGTACCTATAGAGAGCCTATAAACAATCAGTGGCTTTTGATGAAATGATTGATAGCAATGTGGCACATTTGTGAGGTGAACGGGACTAAAGAGGGACATCCTATTTTTTTGCTGCTCAGGAGGTTGTGAATGAACAAATGGAATGTTGGAATGTGTATGGAATGGGAAATGATTCTAGGAAAAAAGAACACTGTAAATCCTAAAAGGTTCTTATTTTATTTGTATGCAGCAATATCGCTTAGCTTGCCTACAGTGCTGGCCCACTGTGGGTCACATGGTAGGTGAGTGCAAGGTTGGTTAGGAGGGAAGGGTGGGTGTAGGGTGGGGCACTATGAGGGGTGTAGCAAGTCGACTGGCATTTTTGATCCTCATCAGGGGTAAGATTAAGATGGGCTATAACTGTTTTTAAGAAAGTGGCATACAGAAGTTGTTACGGAGATATTATTTATGTGTTGCGTTGTATTACTTTAGAGAGTTCTGCTGATGTGTGTCTATGTCTGTTCTTCGTCCTGTTCGTGCCAAAGGTATGAACTGTGCTTTTTTATGTATGTATAAAGCCATTACATCTTTAGCAATGGTATGATTGTGGCTGGGGCAGGAAGGAATGCCAATCAGAGGGAGAGCCTGAGAGAGGGTGTATTAGGAAGTCACAGCTGCAAAAGGAGAAGCCAAAGAGATCTGTCTTGCTATTCAGTGTGTGCTAGTTTGGTCTGAAAGTTTCAAGAATGTCCCAGGAGTGGGATGGGAATGCACCCCTACCCTCCTGTTTTTTATGCTTTCAGACAGACTGATGCTTGTTGAGTTCCCCCATTTTTCTCAGGATACAACGCAGATTTATCATTCTTATGACTCTGATGTCATCAGGAAGGGCGTGCCTAAGGCCCAGAGAATGTGATTTTTTTTCTTTGGAAGAGCAGGACTGGGTGTGCTGTCTTGACACTCACACTAAAAGAGCAGGAGTTGTAGGGCTAAAAGACACAGAGCCGAGCTCCTCTCACCACCCAAAGCAGCTTCCATCTGCGTGTGGAGATTTGAATGTTTACCATCTACACTAACACAAACAATAACTGCAGTAATAAAAGTGGTGCATGCTATTGCAGAGAGGAAATCACTGTGAGGCGATGAGATTAGATGCGAGATGTCTGACTGTCAATCGAATATCACCTACCACTTCTCCTCACTGTTGCGGTGGGAGAACAACAGGACTTTTGTCCAAAAAGTAAACCAACCCCTGGTCAGCCATAGTTCTCATTAGTAGGTCACCACCAACTTAATGCCAAATAGCCATCAGGGCAATCTACTGTGAGCAGAGCAGCCACTACAACAGAGCTGTTGCACTTTTTGTTGTGTAGTGACAAAGTCTGGAAACCCAAGCCCCTAATTGGAACTGACTGCGGCATGTGTGATCGGTGAGGGTGTTGACCTGAACCAAAAACAACAAAAAACTGCTCAGCTAAACTAACACCATTCACACTTCCACAGCACATTGAGGATAGACTGTATAAATTACACAACATCAGACCATACATCCATTTAAAACTAAATAAATTAAAAATGAATACAAAAAAAAAAACAGCAACGATATTGTACAGTACAGGCTATGTTGCAAACGGCACAAAATGCTGAAAAGTTAAGAATGAACTTTTTAAGAGTCTATAAATAATGTAATATATAATTTTATTTTAACGGCATGCATAGTTTTGTGTAAATACAGAAATACTTAAAAAAATTGCTATTAATCTAATCCTGAAGAAGAATAATAACCTGAATAGAATGGCTTCACTCATTGCCCAGGTCTCACTTGGTAGACTGTGAAACATTTGTTAGAAGGAGTAGATTTTTGAGACACTTTTCACAATAAAGAGGGGAATCTAATACAAATATATATTAAAATGCAAAAAGTATATAAATCTATATATAAATCTAGGCATATATAGAGCTATACTACATATGTATCTATGTATACATGTATATGTACATATGTGTATATATATATGCACACATATACATATGTATGTATGTATATATATATATATATATATATATATATATGACAGTAGAACACTGTCCTCCACTGAGTTGACCTCTGCTTGGAGTGGAGGGGAAGCACCACTGACTGTCTTTTGCTCACATTTCTTATTTCTTTTTGTGCAATACGTTCAGTGAACGACCAAAACTCTCGCCTGGCCCACGATGCGTGCATGTTTGTGTGTGTGTTTGTGTGAGAGGGATGGAAGGAGAAAGTCAGTGTCTGTGTGAATGAGTGCATGTCTGAAGGTGTGTTTGTGTGGGTCTGTGGGCCTAACGCTCAGTGCATGGTGAAGTATTAGCTGCTTATGTCTCCTGTATTTGGGAGGGGAATGCATTACCAGCACCTCATTTTCTACCTATGTCTTGTGTGAAGATGACATACCCTCGCGCTGCCCTTCACCACACATACATGCAGGCGCGCACACACACACTCACACACACACACACATACGTTCATAAAACATACAATGACACATCCTCCTCCCTATGAATCTTGTTTCATTTACTGGTATAGACACCAAATTCATAATCTTTTGATGAAAATTTGAGTATTTGTGTGTGTGTGTGTGTGTGTGTATGTATGTTTGTGTGTGAGTGCGTGCGGACGATCGTATGTGACAACTTGGTCACTTTAAGTGTGTGTGACGCAGCTTAACTAGAGTGTAGCTTCTTCCTCATCTCCTAGGTACACGGCAATGCAATTTGCATCCTTACATTGAGTTAGGCTTTTTATTATAGTTTCAGACGTTTCTTGTCTGCGTATGTTTGTTTCAGGTGCCTTTTGCTGCCTATTTTGTTTGAAGAAAATTTAGATGATGATGTTGCATTACAATTCTCCTAAACAAGTGGAGCTTGTTTAAAATGAGCACTGGGGAAAAAAGAATAGTTCTAAAGGATGTCTGAGACATCTGTGAATAATAAAAAAATAAACCTTAACTGGCATCAGCCTGACTTCATCCTCAGAGGTTGTAGTATAGATGGCTGGAGTGCACACTCTGAAGTGATGGAGTGTACACTCTGAAGTGCTCACTCTGTGAATCTCTTAATGGTTCAGTCTGTGGAGAGATAAGCAGTCTGCCTTCTGTGCTCAGCTTCTGTTCATTTCTGACCATTTCTTTATTTTTCTATCGATACTAATTTATGTATGTTTTCTTTTGTAGCATGACTGAGATGCTATTTCTCTCATTTGCTAATATGAATAATTCAAAAGTGCTTATTGGTTGACAACGTTGTTCTTATCTCTTGCCACTGATGTTGGAAAGGAGAGGGTGTGTTGCACAACCACTTGGACTTAGTGAGAATCAGTGAAAGATTGTCTTCATTTGAGCACGAAACCTTTTTCCAAACAATAAAGCAGCCTTCCAGTTACGAGAGAGTGCTTGTGTGTTTTATTTAAACATGGATGGGACGGAATGTCCTCTGTGTATTCTCTACACATTTGTATATATATATATATATAAATGTTTGTATGACTTTCTCAATAATAATTAGTATATTTAGTGTATATATATATATATACATATATACATATATACATATATATATATATATATATATATATATACACATAAAAAATCACTGAATTTCTGAATTTTTTGGAGAAATGACAACAGTTGAATTTATCACTGATCATCATTAATTAAATAATAGTGAAATAATAATGAAAAGACATTTTCGGTATCCAGAACAATCAGTGAATGATGTCAGGTAGTCCTACTATCTACACAAGCTGATTTAAGAAGACTCAAATCAAAATGAAAATCTGGTGCCAGATTACTGACTCATTGTGCACTGACGTCTGCAGTAGAGGCACAGTGAGTCAGTAATCTCCCTCACTCACCTCTGGCAGTATGTAAGGGTCATTCTGCAGCAACAGCTAAAAAAGTTACAGCTTCCCCAAGTACTGAAGTCCCTCTGCTCCGATAAGCAGAATAAGCGAGTAATATAGGTGTTTGCATTTCTCCCTAAGGAAAAGAAAGATTTAAAAACTAGTTCTAGATTTTAAGGTTAAAACCGTCCACTCTGCTACCCCACTGTCACACATCCTGTGATGTCCATAAAGACTCCATTTCCCAGAACTCTCTGGGAGATCTCGTGACCCCGGAACTTCCACTATCCACCGAACAGCGCTCTCGCTCACCCGAATACTGACTTGTCGCACCGGTGCTGCAGGTCATATGAAAAGCTGTAGTTTAGTATATGAGACCGGGCCATAGGCTAGATTATTTGAGAGATATATTCGAGAGATATATATCTTCTCCTTGTAGGGCTGCTGATCTCTGCCCTTTCGGCTCTGGTTGCCCGATATTGTTTGTTATGTTTGTCTATTTCTGTATTTTGGCCTTTTTGGATTTGACTCCTGCCTGTCTTTACTTTTTTGTCCCGAGCTTTTTCTCTGTAAAGCCATTTCTTCGTTTTTACCGCGAGCGTCTGGCTGGTTCTGTTCCGTTACAACCTCATTTTTACTTGAATTCACGGCCTAAATCTACAGTTATGTTGCCAAGAAAGTAGTTTGAGTGGCTCTGGCTAAATTCGGCGGTGCCATTAAGTCTCAAATATACTTTTATAATGTTATGTGCTGTAATAACCCAAAAATGGAAACAGGGACATATGAACACACCTTTAGGAAAAGATTTATATTACAAAGAATTTCTGAAGGATTCCTACAATAATCTTACAGTAACCTGCTGCAATTCTGAAACGTGCCACTACTTGTGTGGGAGCTCGAAGTGCCTGAAAGTCTGCAGTTGAATACTATGGTCTCTGAAGGGCCCTCTGTGTAAACATTTAGTGCTTTAGCTCAGTAACAGTCTGCAAGAAGAATGAGAATTTTTTTATTTAAATGAAGATCCCACCAAAAGTGCCGATCAGGCTTTTAAATGCTCCAGGAAAAAGACGAAAATACATTATTAGCAAAAACGGAAAAGACAGCGTGTCACCCAGTAAAGGACTGTTATATAGATATACTGGAGCTGTAAACAGAAAAGAAGCTTGTGCTTTACTAAATGCAGTTTTTTCTAGCAAATGGAAATGCGCGACGGTGCTGTTTAAACAAATGTTCATCTCATCACAAATTTACAGCATCTTTTGAGATTTTCCTATATATAAATCAATAGTGCAACATATGCTGTTTTTCTCTTTTCATGTTCTCTCAACCATTTAAACGAACAAAGGGAAGGTGAAGTAGAAAGTAGCCCAGTGTCCGCTATGTATGCTGAAGACACTCTCTAGCCTCCCCATTTTATCTTTTGCCATTGGTGAAGCACAAATTATATCAGTAAACTGAAACTAAAAATTAAATGAAATTTTCACAGGACCCAGTGTCTTTGATTATGTCCATAGATAAGCATTCATTTACAGCCAAATGGTTGTAATAAGTGTATAGAATGAAATTGTCAACTCTGTAGATCTCTGCTGTTAGGATCCTAAAGTTATTTTTATGAAGAAATATATCAATAAGTTAACTACAGCCAGATTCTGTGCATGTGATGAGCACTCCAGGCATACATACATTTATAAGAAAAGAAAATTATATACAAGCAGCACTCACAGAGGACATAATGTCTTAACAGTCTTCTTAGTGTTGAGAATATTGTAGCATTTTCCACTGTTAAAAGAGACACAGCTTTAACACAAGTCATGGTGCTTTATTTTCCAGCTGTTGTTGGCCACAGCTACACCGCACTTAAGCAGAGATTTCTTTCTTCAACAGCATCTTTGCTACCTACCCCGCTAACGTCTCTCATCTCACTGCTCATGCGCGCTCTGGGGTGGCTCCAAGCCCTGCACACTAGAATAAGAATCCTTAGGAAAATAATCCTAGTAAGTAAATGCTGAAGAACACCAAACTAAAACTAGCATGCAACACTTAATCCTAAAGCAGAGTGACCACAATCAACAGTGTCTACAGAGAAGAAGAAGAAGAGGGAATATGGCTTGCTCTTGATGGTATCAGCTGTTCATTAAATACTTTTTAACAATAACAAAATCCATTGAAAGAGGCAAACCATCTCTATTTTAGCTCCATACTGCAAGCTGACCAGCCACAGTTAGCTAACTACTGAGCTAGCATATCTGCTATCTAATGCATCTTTCTGCTGTAGCTGGACTGGGTCTTCTTTCCATTGATCTCAACTGAGGAATTTGCTGAAGTCTCAACGCATGACTGATTGTACATGAAAAAAAAATGTGCCACTGAAATGTTTACATGTTTAATTTAAGCCCAGTTCTAAACTTTAATTTAAATGGCGTAATCAGGACCTTCTCTTTGCCAAAGTCTTTTAATATTGGAGGTCTTAGAGGAATGTGGGGTGAAATAGACTGGCTAAGCACATTTAACAACTACACATGATTATCATGTAAACTAGCCTGCTTGAACATTTACAGAAGGATTAACAGGAAAACAAATTGCTAATTGATGTGTCGATAAGATCTGAAGTAAAAATGTTTGTTGAGTCTACTTTGTGCATTAATCCACAACAAGATCTGTTCCCAGACCTGATCTAAACTTTTGAGTACCATGAGCTGATTCTAACAAATGAGATGTACAAAATGTGCAGATGGGAGTGTGTTGTCTTCACTGAATCACAACATAAAGACAATGTGACTTCTCAAAATACAGAACCTCCAGTCTGGAGTGCTCTGAAAGAAAGCTTCAGTTTATGGACTGTGTGTGTGTGTGTGTGTGTGTGTGTGTGTGTGTGTGTGTGTGTGCGTTAGAGTGTATAGGCTGCACATTTGGAGGCAGGGAGGGGTCAGTAGATAATAGAGCATCTGTCACCCTGTGTGCTGCAGCACAGGTTTTGGGGATGGGGGTTCTGGGAGCTAAACAGAGCAAAATTAGGTGTGAAAGTGGAGGGTAAAAGTCAGGCGTATGATTTGTAAGATCCTTTCTTGGGTTGGAGGTCTCTCAATAGGTTTGATTGACTTTGAGGCTATGTATATTCTTCTCTAAATTATTTTAATCAAGGCTAGAAAGAGCACATATTATAACAGGCTAGTAAAAAAAATAAAGTTTTTTTTCACATTATTGATACTTTTTACTATTGATGTTTTTCAGTAATAACTTTGTCTAAACTGTTTGATGTTGTTTATCATCACTGTCCAAAAAACCCTCTAAAATGTTAACTTTACAATACAAATCCTTTACTGCAAGTTCATATAAAGAGAAATTTATTACACATAATCGTAAAATATTTTTGCTAGTCCATTTACCATAAAATGTCTTGCAATGTAAAGAACATCTGCTGTTTTCAAATTATGTAGGAAAAATAACAATGAAAGAAATTGAGATACATGCAACATGCAACTTTATGCAAATAAGTTGTCTCTGAGGAACATGAAATGACAAAGTATTTATTCCATTTATTCCAGGATTTATTCAGTTTTCCTTACATTTCAAAGAATAGTTTGAACCCAGCAAAGACAACAATGTCCAACAGTATGATATACACAAAACCGTAATATAATTGCCAGTAATTAAGCCTCTTATATGAAGCTGATCATTTAAAATTGTTTATCATCACCAAGCTCTGCCCCACAACAGCTTTGTGGTATGTTTGTGAGCCGAAGGGATTATTTCAGTCATATCAGAGTTCAAAGGAAAGCAAAACCAATTTTTAAAAAACACAAGATTAAAAGACGTGCGTATTGGTATAGTTGCATTTATTTTGCATAAAGGATTGTTGAGGTAGACGTTCTACAAGTAAAAACAAAATAAATGAAATACAGTCATGCACCCACACTTAATGTTCAACATAAATCTACATAAGCCCAAACATGAGGTAGTGGTTTTTGACAACATATTGAATTACAGAGACAAAAAAATGTCAGTTGCATAACAGTTAACACTCTTGGGACTGTTTGTTACCCATTTGTAAATCTGTTTGAATCTCATTTAGCAGCCATTTGCCTTCTCACATCTCAAAAGTACTGTGGTCCTAGATGGATCCCACTAGCACAGACCATCTCACAATACAGCCACTGATGCATGTCAGGAGGCTTAGGGAAGCTGTGTGCACGTCTCTGTCAGGTACAAAGAGAAGGAGCCTTTTGACTTTTTAGGGATATAAACAGTATTCCTGAAGGAGAAACTGTTGCCTGATATTTCTAGATAAGCAGCTGAAGGATAACATTCCAGGAACATGAAATGATAAAATCACACTTCTTATTGTAAATGATACATTTAGCAATGACTAATCTAATAGAGACGTAACACAGTATTGAGAACCATAGTTAAAGAAAAAAAAATCACAAAGCATTCACCAGGCTTTTATCAGATTGTAAAGTAAGCCTTCTTATCTAAAATTCCCAATAGTACTAAAACCTTATTTATCTACTAGCATTGGGACTCTATGGCTTCATTCACAATTCCTGAGAAAAAGAGTTACATTCGAGGCTTGCAGAGAAACCTCTCTTTACAGAGGTTCACTGTTTGCGTATGTTTTTTTTGTTAATGTGCAAGTGCACGTTTTTATATGAACAAGAATACTTATTCAGTGTGTCTATCACAACATTGCAGCGCATTGATTTACAACATATATTCCTGAGCACTCAATATTTACTTAAGCTTTCATTTTAATTGTACAATCAAATCCTTCTTTGTCTTCCTCATCCTTTGTTGCATGCCTCCCTCTCTATCTCAACCTTCTTTTGGATTAGAACTTATTGATTGACTTGGTGGATTAGTGCTTGCCATAGTTATAGGCTATGCCTCACTACACTGATTGATTACATAGAGAGAGAGCAAAAAGGAGGATAGAGAACAAAATACAGATGAAGGAAAAGAGAATGGAGAGATATAAACATATAGATTCCCTGCCGATTTGTGCTGGAACCCACTTTAGTAGTAATTTGGTCATTGTAAAATAAAATGGTGTGTGACCCTATGCCTAAATCCCAATAGTACTAAAACGTTATTGATCTACTAACATTGGGCCTCACTGACCAACCGTTCTTAAGAAGAAATTTCAGTTACACAGTTTTCACAAAGATTCTGACATTCACCAGTGTTTTCTTATTTGGGATTTGTTCTTAGGTAAGAACAGAATCTACACACTCAAGAGCACAAAGGTGCGAAATTTAAGAAAAAGCATATTGGTGAAATTGAAGATATTGGTGAATGAGGCCCTCTATGTTACTACCATTCTTCGGTTTCAAGCGGAGAGCATGTATTACGTACATCCAGTGGAAGCGTTCTTGTATAAAAAGGTCTTATTTATTGCATAACTCAAGTAGACTTAATGGTAGGTGTATTGGTCTGGACTTCCATAAGAGGGGGGCTCCAGGGGCTGCAGATGGCTGCTCTTCCTCTCCAGCTCTACCTTCAGATTTGACTGTGAGAGATGCCTGAAGTTTTGGACATCTGCACTGCCATTTCCAATGCCAACGCTAATGGGCTGGTCACTGTTATCCCTGACTGCGTAAGGTGACACTCTGGCAGTTTTGGGCTGATCGAATCCAAACTTCCTGTTGCGGGGAAGTTCCTGTAACTCCTCAGGTCGTTTAAGAGGTTGAATGCTGTGGTTGTTTGGGAGACTGCTGCTCAGAGGTGTGGTTGTGTGTATGCCTGAGGGAAGCAGGGAGGAAGAACTAGGGGGTGTTAGACTGGGGGGATAGGTGTACCCTGGTGCAGGAGGCGGGTAGGCAGGTGGCAAGGCAAACGCTGGCTGGGGCAAGTAGGTGGGTTTAGGGTACAAGTGTGGACCGCTATAGGTGGAAGAGTAATCCTGAGATATGGCACTGGTGCTGAATTGCTCTGAAAGGTTACTTGCACCCCCCAAAGACCCCTTTACTCCCTCTAACCCAGGGGGCCCTTCTGAGTTGTAGCCCATAGACCAGGCATCCTGGGGGGGTTCACTTCTTCGGAAAGTCCCAGGCTCTGGGTAGGCCAGACTGAAGGAATATCTTTCAGCATAGCGTTTCAGTAGGGTGGAGGCACTCAGGGCATTGATGTCATCTGAATAGCCAGTGAAACCAGGACGACTGGTCTGTGGGTATGAAAGAGGCTTAGGGTGGGCAGGGGGTGACGTAGTAGAAGAGACGTCATAGTGTTGCTCTGCCCACTCAGACGACCAGTGCATCTTTACCACATCTAGCATAAAGAGAGAGACTGTGAATGCCTTGTATACTTTTTAATATTACTGCCAAAATTTAGCAATAAATGCTATGCTTTTGTCATTGTCAAGACAAAAAAAGGCTTGTATCTCTATTTTTGGAATTTTGATTGGCTTTTAGTGTGTTAAAATTTTACAATGAATGGATCAATAGAAATTTTCCAAAATTATTGTACATCTTGTTCCATTTAGTTACATGCCAAGTTAAGAATGTGTTTCTTTCTTCTCTAAAGTTACCATATTGGAGACACAAGGCTTTTTCCTGACAATGATGAAATGCTAGCTGCCCTTTCCACTGTATTACCATTTCATGCAGAATGTACCAGGAGGTAGTCAAAAAATGGTAGGTTTATTGGTTGTGTAACATTACGTATCATTGCCTTAACATAAAGTTAAGAATGTTTTTTGTCCCTTAATCTATAATATTACCATTTCTGAGATGATTTTTACAGCAATGATTAACTGAATTAGATTTTTATGGGTTTACGTAAAATATTGGATTAGTTAGATTAATATGTGGTAATATGATTATGACAGTGATCTCTGCAGAATTTATAAAGAAACATCAACTGATCTACTGACAGTATTCCTCATAAGGGTCTATGCACCACTCTGGACAGGCTGTAATCTATGTGTCTTAATCTGGGTGAGACATAGTAATCTCAGTGATGTGGCATAATCCATGCCGTCCTTAAACATTTCATGTAGACAAATTAACTCTGAAACTGAAATGTGTTGGTGTGGATGTGCATGTATATGTGTGAGAGCATATACATTCAGTAGATGAACCCAGATTAGACAAGAAAGATTAGGGAAGACTTGTGGAGGGGGGTAGATACTGGTCAGCAGACTAAGAGCTATTTCTAATTCTTGCTTAAGTGCATTGTACAAATATATGCTCCAGTTCATTAACATAGAAGGGTTTATCAAGAATGCTGAGGAGGATTTAAGAAAGGTATTATAAAGCAGTACTGTGAAAAAGAAAATCCTCCAAAACCATAAATCCAGAGCACAATATATGGCTTTACATTGGTAACACTCTCTCGCCTGTATTAATATGTTCCCCTTTGCCTTTGAAATTACTCTCTTTAAAAGGCCCATATCCCATATCATAGTCCCCTTTTTTTCACAAACACTTACGAAGTTTGTGTGGTTTTAAGTAAACAGTCATAATTCATTTTTACATGACTATTTTACAACCTTTCATTATTCCTTAGAATTAGACTGTTTTAGTTAGTGTGCCTTTAAGACAGATAGACTCTGTTCTGATTGGCTGCCCTGTAATGTGTCTTTAAAAAGCAGTCCAGGCTAAAACACTCTTTATAACATTGGCGTAAATGGGTGGGGCTGAACTGCTGTAAACTGAATAGGCAGATATATGTAAATGTATTGTTTTTTGTGACATCACAAAAACAGTTATTTCAAAATGAGTTTTTTTTTCAGCTTAGTGTTCAAATATGGACTGTATGGACTGAGTGGTGAACAGTACACTTTAAAAGAAGGTTTACAAACTACATAAAACTCTTTTATTTCCAAAAAGTAAAAAATGAGCTTTTCCATGAAATGGACCCTTTAATACACATTTGAGACGAGTAAAAAGAGAGTCCTGTTCCCCAAAGAAATGGCTGCTCATGGAATGCCAAGAATTCAGCCTGGGATCTATTTACAAAGATCCTCTACACACACGCGCACACACACACACGCACACACACACACACACGCACACACACACACTCATGGCCCATTAAGGGGGACATTTGTATGATATTCTAACTCAGTCACTAACACTCCTATCAAGATGTAAGTGGTCACCAATGTAGAACTCTGTTACTTTGCTGGACCTCACACAGTTGTGCAGTTCTAATCAGAATTACAAACTACAACAGCTTCCATGCTGACCGGTACAGCTGCAAATGTCCTGCTAAGTGCCCCCCTCTGTCTCACACTGTGCTTTAAAGGTTAATGTGATGAATGCACACAGAAGTCTCGGCTGCTAAAGTCATTACCTCCAGTCCAAAACTACCCAGCAACACAATTCCACTATTGCACATTGTGCAATGCTGCTGCGCCTTGGACTTTGTCTTAGTGTTGCTGGTGTGTGAACTGATAGTGTTAATATGTGTCCATTCACGGTCTGTGCTGCTTTACAGCTCACATGACTGAGAGTAAAACTGTTCACCATTGGATTCAGTATCTCTCTCTCTCTCTCTCTCTCTCTCTTTCGGCTTTTCTTTTTAAACAGGATAAGGCAAAAAAAGAAAAGGATTGCAAGTCACACATGGTATTTCAGTGGACATGCACATGCATCTTACCTTCTCATTTCCTCCTATGTCCACTCTAACCCTGCAATCCACAATGACTCCAAGCTGACAGTCCTATATCTTCAGTCTAGGACATGTTTCTGTCTCTCTCTCTCTCTCTCTCTTCTTTCTTCCTCTCTTTCATTCTCCCTCTCTGGTCCCAGTGACAACAGCCACACATATCCAGCCCCTCCCCCCCCAGTCCACTCCTCCCCTCCCCCGCCCTCTCTTTTGCTTGAAAGTATTTAAGCTCTTGAAGAGAGAATGCCCCCAGAAGCAATGCAACAATGACTGCTTCTCTCATTATAAGCCTTAGCTCCAAGATACTGGTTGTACATTTCCCACTCACGCTCAACAGAACAGTGCCAACACACATGGAGCATGTACCTAAACTTTGTATGCAGTCTGGAGCTGTTTTTCTTATGATGGTGTTGATGATCTTCTGCAGTCGTTATCTCAGAAGTGTACAAGGACAACCCTGCAGAAGTCTGCAAAGAAATTGCTCAAAAAATAGCAATATGAAACACAACAGCTGCCTTTTGAACGAATACTTTACCAAACAGAAAACTGCAGTATTTGAATGGTCTGTTTCAAACAAATCCCACTTCGGTTTGACATTTTGTTTCCTAACACAATGAACATAATATATTTTTCAGTATGACACAAACGTCCAATTATTTTTGGGGGCCGCTGTTTATCACAATATTTTTTGTTTGTGAAGAAGTTGGAACAGACAAAATAGACAACAGCCAAAAAAAGAGGAAAACAAGCAATTTAAGGATGAACAGGAAGAGAGAAAGTGGCAAAAATAAATGAATAAATAAATAGGGTGTGCTGACACTAAAGTAGACCTTTGTGTCCAAACATTAAGAACACTGTTTGGTGCAGACCAAACATTACGCATTAGCCAGATCCAACATATCTAGATCATTGCACTGAATTGGTTTATAGTCAGTGTTCAAAGCTCATTTCAGACTTTTAACTGTCTTGGACTTTAGACTAAAATCCCTTTGCTTTGAGTGACCCTATACTTTAACTATGTTTATTTTATTAAAATGAATGATTGAACATTTCATTTTGTCACTACCAAAACAGTAATGCCTCCAAAACAACTGCTTTGGTGGTGACAATTATTAGCTAATTTTGAGCATAGCTCAAAAACGTTGGCCAGTGCATGACTAGCAAACAAGCTTTGAACAGCTTTAAACACACAAGAAGTCATAATATTTTTCATTAAAACACAAAAAAATGTTGCTTATATGCAGAAGAGTAGTCATAGAAAAGTATTTTTTATTGTGACACACTGATTTTCAGGCTTTGAGACACATTTACTTCAAAACAATGAGATTGAAGTGCTCACCATGGGGCCATGAGGGACAGGGGCACAGTCTCACTTCTTGCACTAAAATGCAGGGGTGTGGTAAAATAAGGCTCTGCCTAAAGACTCTTTAGTCTCTGGACTAAAAGACTAAAAGACACCTCCCAATAGAAAGTACCATTCAAATAACGATTTTTATATAAGAAGTACAAAAAGCCTTTATTAAAACATGGAAATAATAATAATGGGCACATTATTGCCATGTTTCAATAAAGGCTTTTAATACTTTTTCTAAGGACGGTGTGCCCGGGATTTCTTTGCTTTGAGATTTATTTTGCACATGCTTTGTGGAAGCAGATGGATACTTTTTTGGTTTTTCGCCTCCCCCAGCATGGAGCCATTTCTTTTTGAATGATTTTTATATATTTAGCGTATTATTATCTCTTTTAATGCCTTGATTTGAAACATATCATAACATAATCCTTGTAAATAATAATAAATAATACTTAATAATAAAGGTCTGAATACTTAATAGTTTTTTTTTTTAATTGTTTTCTTTTTTATTGTGGGAGTGCAGTTAATTCAGTAGAATGGTCCATTTGTACTGAACAAAAATATAAATATATATAAAAATATAATGGTTTTTACTAAGAAATCTTCAATTGTTTTTTATCAAAATGCTGTGAAACAAGAGCAAAACCAAAACGGATGCATTTATACTTTTATTCAGTATATCCTGTAGGTAGGTGTGTTAGGATTATTCTGTGAGCTCAGTGAATTAATATGCACTGTGCAGGAATTCTGAGTAATAACTTACTTTATGATGTCTTTCAGCAGGGTAATGATCCAGCACAGTACAACACTAGAGTGTCTTAAAAACAAGAAAAGGGAGTTCCTTGTGTGGCCCAGTCAGAGGCCAGCTCAGTTAATAATTTCAAAATCTGTTCCCCGTTGTTGTACATCAACATTCCCTAATTACCTTGACACAACTTTTTTGCAAGGAGTAATGTGTGAATATCACACCATCATGACACACTGAGCTGGATGGTGGGATTTTAAAAAACGTGTGACTCACAAGCTTCCCAGTTTAGTGCACTGCAGTTCTAGCCTTTTCCACTTAGATGTGGTGAAGAAGAGGAGATAAAAGCTGAATTCTTAAAAAAGGGATGATTATATGTTTTTGCAGGCACAAATATGTAGCAGTTATTTTAATTACAAGACCATATAAATGACATGTTGAGGAGTATTAACGATAATGATCAGTTGAGGGTGCTGTTGCGATTCCATGCAGAGGTATTTCCAGCAGGCAGGCTGTTACTGAGGCTGTGCTGGGCTGCATTGTGTACGCTAATCCCGACAGGCGGCAGCAGAAATCGAGTTTCTCATTCCAACAAAGCTGGAGCACCTCTCAGTTGTTTTAAGACTGAATTTGATTGAGTTGATTAAATAAGTAGAGTCAGCTGTGCTCTAACTTGGTCAGAGTGAAAATTTTCAGCACACTGGCCCTTTGTGGAGAAGATCAGTCACCACCATTCTGGACTGCTCTAGAGTCTGGGCCAAATTAGGTGTGTCTCTATGGAAGTATGTGCTGTAAACACAGCAGTAAAGTAACATTAAATAAAAACATTTTCACTAATAATTTGTATGTCTGCATTACTAGACATAAAGCATTCTAGGTAAGACTAGGAACCACCATTGAGCAGTCTGCCAGAGCTCTGAGTGAGAAGGACAACAGGTGAGAATAATCAAATCAGTGAGCTGATCACATGTTCAAAGTGTTTTGCCTTCAGTGGTCAGTTTGTGGAATCTGTATTGGCTTCCATTGAGCTCCACACTAGCACTAGGCAGTTTACAGCGTTTAGTCTGGAGTACATTTACATTTACATTTACAGCATTTAGCGGACGCCACATATCCAGAGCAACCTACAAAAGTGCTTTGTTGTCAAAAGAATATATCTTTGCTAGTACAAATAGATTGGGGTAAAAGCTACCCCTGAGCTCAGATATTGCTAGAAACAAAAGCCTTTGTTAATACCTAGAGAGGAGAAACAGAGCATAGTGCAGTACAAAACATTTCAGTAAGTACTTATATTAGTAGTGACAAACTGGAGTAGTAACAAAGTTTATGGAGAATTCTTATTAAACATCTGGACCCTTTTAATGGTCAGGAAGCAAGTTATTAGTGAGGCAATTTGTGTGAGCATGTGTGCATCATCTGTATTGTGCACTGTGTTTCTGTGTGTTGGGGTTTGTGTGTCAGTGCCAGTCCTCGCCTTCTCAAGGTCCTAAGCAAAATCTAAATTTTGCACCCCCCAATAACATATGCTCAGATATCACCCTACAATCATCTGCTGTTAATAATTATGTTAACCCTGCAGTTCTTTGATTATTAATTGTTGAATTTATTTTTATTGATTTTATTGTTGGAAAAAAATACCAATAGAATTTAACTTTTCTACATTTTCTGGAGGCAAAGTTGTTAATCATAACATCATAAGATGATGGCAAGACTACTCAAACGCTCCTGGGACACAGACATTCTGTACTGTAAAAAAATGGTAACTTAAAAAATGGACTTCATGTGGTAACAAGCAAATTAAATATAAAATAGCAAACTGATGATAAGCTCTGTTCAAAATTTGCCTCCAATTCCCTAAATACAGCACTGAATAAAATATTGCTTGACTCAACAAACCTTACTTACAAAATTCAGTTGCTTCTACTTTAAAAACTTTTTTTTAGCTTTACTTAAAGTAGTTTATGCAATGCAGAAATGTAATTTCTTGAACTCAGAGAAACATTGAATGAAAGAATGATTGTGAGTTAATTCAACATCAAGCTAAATTCAAGTTCATCCAACTTATTTTTCAAGCCTGTGTTCATTAGCTACATCATATTGACCCTGAGTGGCTTCAGGCAGCCATTTTTCTGATCCTTAGAGCGCAGAGTTTCAGAGAGCTTTCTCAGGTAAGATAACATTAAGTAAAACAACTTTGCTGATTCCTTTTTTAGATGGGTATCTTTTATACTTTTGAATGCAGTTCATCACATTTGTGCAGTTTTATCTCTTTGTGGCCAATAAGACAGCTATGCCAGCTAAGCAGCTAGTGACAGTTAGCTTAAGCATCTGAATGGTGTTAAGTTAGTTAGCTAACATGAGTTATCAGTCAGCTGAGGTTTTTTCAGTCTAAAATAAGAAGATTCATTTGTGCATGATTTGATTCTGTATATTGCATTAGGGACATGAAGAGACCTGCTTAATTGTAACCTGCATTGTCAGCTGCTTGGGATGATGGACAGATCTGGACCACTGCAAGGTAACATAAACCTTTACTAATTCTGCGTTATTCACAATGGACAGGGTGTGAGTTCATTTTGCCATGGTTATCAAACAGTGGGGGAAACTGCAGCTGGTCCCACAATGACTCTTCCTCTTAGTGGATGTAAGTAAACCATAATAAACTCCAGCTCAGAGGTCAAGTGTTAGCTTCACATTGTTTCCCTCACAGAGGTCTATACGCAGGTATATGGATTCCAGACCAAGTATATTTTCACCCTTTTAAGAAATTTGAGCATTTTTAAAATTTGTTTAGAAAAATGAATCATGTGCTTTGACTTCGACTGCTAAATGAATGCAGGTCATATCAAGGAAGAGTGAGAGAGTGAAGGGGAGAGCAGGATTGCAAAGATGTCCTGACTAAATTTGCTTTCTCTTCGAAATAATGCAGAGTTGGGGTTGCACTACAGCGTTGAGAAATAACTTAAACAGAAGCTGTGTGATGAGGAGGAGAGGCTGGTAACTCAGATACCCTGACGTGCAAATTCATAGCATCAGAGAAGAGCTTAGTGGTCATTGAGATACTATAACTTC